AACTAATAGTAAAGGGGGTATAATTTACTTTTATAATAAACTATAAAGCTACCTTTAAGGCCTTAAAGTAAGCCTTAATATTAATATTAATCCTTTACTATTAATACTTAAAATTATAAATCTACTTTAAAATAGATATCTTTAAGTTAGTTTATATTAATACTCTTTTATAACTATAACTTAATAATAGCTTATAATACTTTATAGCTTATTTCTCTAAAGTAATATCCTTAATAAAGATAAACTATTTAATCTATAACTATAAGATAATAGTAATTATATTAATAATAGAGAAATAATATATTAAGCTATTTACTCTCTTATAGAAGTTTAAAATAATTATAAATTACTAACTACTTTTATACTTTATAATAAAGTACCTCTTTAGTATTTAATAAGCTTAATAGGCTAATATTTTAATTAGTTTTAATTTTATTATAAAATATAAATTAAGCTAAAAAGATATCTTTATTAATATATTAATATAAAAAAATAAAAATATCTATATTTAGTAAGCCTTTTATAAAGCTAACTAAATATAAATACTATTACTATCTTTTTATTTAAATAATAATATTACTATAAAGCTCTATAAAATATTATTAGCTACTATAGAGGCTCTTAAAGCCTCTATAGGCACTATAGACCTAATAGAAGAGCTTAAGAGTTATCTTCTTATTAAATAAGTATTATAGCTTAACTATAATAAAACTATAATATCTCTTTAACCTCTCTATATTTTAGCTATAATAAAACTATAATATCTCTTTAACCTCTCTATATTTTAGCTATAAATAATAAAGAATATTAAGCTATTTATAATAGTTTATTAGTTATAAATAGTAAGTTAGTAGTCTCTAAAAAAGAAAACCTATAGATATAACTTATTTAAGAGGCTTATATTTAAAAACTAACTACTTATTTAAGCTAAAATAAAATACTAAAGATATTTAAATAGTATTACTATTAGCTCTATTTTATAGTAAATATAGAGTAGTATATTTATAATTATTATACTTATTATTATACTTAAAAGCTATAAGATAAGCCTCTAAATAAGCTTAAACCCCTCTTAGTACTTAACTACTCTTAAGAATATATTACTATAGATTGCCTTTAAGTACTATATTATAATTTAAACTATATATTCAATTTACTTTAGGTTTAGCCTAGCCTACTAACTAACTAATAGCTATTTAGCTATATAACTTATAGACCCTATATATAAGCCCTCTTACCTTAGCTATTAGTTTATTACTTTATACCTTAACTTTCCCTATTATAATAATAATAATAATAATAATAAATTTTTTACTATATATCTAACGCTTTGATATTCTTCCTCTAAGCTACTCCTCCTAGCTATCTACTAGATAATTAGCCTTAAAGCTATTAAACTAATATCCTATTATACTATTATATTATTATACTACTATTAGATATTAAGCTTTTTAAAATTATTTATAGAAAACTCTTTACTTATTATTATTATTATTACTATTTAATAAAGCTATTATAATAATCCTATTACTTACTATTAGCTATATTTATAATATATTATTTAAATAGGCTTAACTTATAGATGTTTAATTACTTTAAGCTTTAAATCTATAGCTATTTAGAGTAAGCCTATAAGATACTTATAGGCTAATAAATTAGCTTTAATCTATATAAATAGCTCTACTTTATTAACTTCTAGATTATCTAACTACTCTAAAAAATATAAAATAAGCCTTAAAAGCTATTTATAATTAAGGATAAATTTTATAAGAGTTTTCTTTTTAGCTAAGGTCTCTAAGTCCTTATATTTAGGGCTTAAGTTCTAGATACTATACTTAATAGCTAAAGCCTTTATATTATTATACTTATTAGGAGGTATATTAAATAATATCTTATTAAATAATATCTTAGAGGAAGGATTTAAATATAGTAATAAAGAAGGATTATAGGAAGATAAGGAATAGGCCTTTAGCTTAAGATAGCTAGCTTTATAAGCCTACTTAATAACGTAATAGAGATACTATTTTAGCTAAAGGACCTTAAGGGTAGTATAAAGAGGGATTTATAACTAAAAAGTTTAATACCTTTATAGTAGGTTTAAGCTACTATTATTACCTATTAGTAACTAGGCTTACTACTTACCCCCTCTACCTTTTCTATAGCTCTTATAAATAATTTATATACCTAAAAACCTTAGCTAGGCTAAATATATTAATATTAATTTAATTATAAATTATATCTATTTATTTTATTAAAAGATAGTATAAGCTAAAGTGCTATTATTATAATAAATATATTATAGAACCTTATATTAAGAAACTACTATAAAGCTTATTTAGAGCTAGGTACTAGTTTATCTTTATATTACTATAGATTATATATTATATCTTATTAACTACTATAGGTATAATAATATATTTATTATTATTTACTACCTATTAAAAAAGAGCGTTTTACTACCTTACTATAAAATATTAATAATAAAGAATATAGTATAGCTATATTATATTAATATCTTCTACTATATAGGTTTCCTAACTATTATAACTTTAGATAGAGGCTTATAGTTTATTTTAAAGTTTTAAAATAAGCTCTATAAAATCTATAGTATATAGATATAGTTATTAACTATTACTTATATTAAGACTAATAGTTAAATAGAAATTATAAATTAATACTTTATTTAATAGCTTTAGCTTTAATTTAACTAATTTTAAGATAACTAAAGTAAAATACTATTTACTATAGATTTTATTTAAGTTACTCTATTAAATAAGACTATAAGTTTTTACTCTTTTAAAATAAAGTATAACTATACCTTATAAATAAGCTTTAACTAAGAGAAATACTTAACTACTTTTAATAGTATAAGAGAGAAATTAAACTAAATTAATACTTAATACTTAGCTAATAAGCTTTATACTATATAAAACGTTATAAAGAGAAATATAGTTACTATTTAGAGCTAATATCAATATACTACTAACTATTATTATTACTCTAATAACCTCTATATTAGTAATAAGGTTTATATCTTTATATTTAGCTAGTACTATAAGAACTTCTTAAAGCTATTCCTTCTATAGGATAGTCTCTAGCTTATTAAAGCTATTAATAAGGGTAGTATTTAGATTTTTAACCTATTAGTTAAATATAAATATTATTTAGTTTTCTACTTAAGTAAGCTATATAAAGCTATTAGGGACCTATTATTAAGCTAAATAGAGCTATTACCCCTATTAGTTAAATTTAATAATAAGCTTAAATATAAAGTATTTTATATTATTACTTTATAAATATAATATAGTAAGCTATAATATTAAGCTAACTAAAAGGAGTATAATAAGAACTTAATATAATATAATATTAAGAGCTTTTAATATATCCCTATTATACTTTATAACTTTTATATTAATAACCTATAAAATAAAAGCCTATTAAAATACTTTAACGTTTAACTTACTATAATAGCTATTAATAATATTATTACTACTTATTTTAGTAATAACTTACCTACTTAAGTATAAAAAATACCTAATTAATACCTCTTACTATTAGTAATAATAAGATATTTAATATAAATAATAACTTTATTATTTATACCTTAAGAAAACCTACTTAAGAGAAAAGCTAATTAATTAAATAATATTAATATCTTAAAGATCTTAAGTAATTTTAACTTAAAAGTAATATTAATATTCTTAAAATCTTTAGTATTTTAAACTATAGAGAGACTTAGAGGCCTTTTATATATTAAGCTAAAAGATAATTATTATTATCCTTATTACTTTTATCTCTTTTATTATTATTTAATATTATTACTCTCTATTTATTTATTTACTCTTATTTATTTTCTACTTAAAGCTATAATACTATAATATAACTTTTATACTATTTAATAAAGTTAAATTAAATATAAAAACCTTAAAATAAATAATAAAAATAACTTAATTAACTTTAAAGTAAAATAAAAAAACTACTTAATTATTTTAGAGAGATCTAGAGGAATTTAAGCCTATTTAGCCCCTTTTATAGAGATAATTTATATTTAATATATCTATATTATTACTATAAATAGTAATATTTCTAAAGGGGGGAGTAATATTATAGTATTAATAGCTTTAGGAGCCTTTTAAGCTTAATTAGTAGTTATATAACCTCTATTATATAAATAGGGCTTTATATACTTTAGCCTATAAGGCTAGGATCTTATATATACCCTATAGTAGAGTTTTCTTTCCTTCTTTAGCTATAAATTTACTTAATATAGTATATTTTAGTACGCTAGCCTAGTCTATTTATCTATTTATAATAGACTTTAATAATTAAAGCTATTTATAACTACCTTTTAAGTAAACTTTATACTTAAAGTTTATATTACTTTAGATTTACTTTATAAATTAAGTAGAGTAATTCTATTTTTATATATAATATTAAGAATAATATGAATCTTATTACTAAATTAGGTTAGAATATTAGTTATATAGCATATAAATACGCTTTGCTTACGTACCTCAGCTATCTGTACCGCAATAGGGATCCAGAACCCCTGCATTGGCTTTACACCCCGCCCCGGGTTAGACCTTACTGCTTGCTGCACCTTGCTTGCTACCTAGGTAGGTATCGACCTAGATACGTCAGTTCCACGATCAGTTCATTGACGGCACGCCGGCAGGTTTAAGGTCATGTAAGCTGCCTCTTTCAGTAACTTGGCCAGGGTCCCTAGTGGATAGCTTCTCTTCCATCTCTTCTTACCTACCTTACTCAACTCACCTTACCTCACTCCAGCTATCAAATTGAGACGGGAAACCTAAAGCTTTCGAGCTATTGTTTCAGCTTATTTCTGTCAGCCATCCGTTTCGAGACACATACTCTCTCGAACTGTTCATCTCACGCGTACCTCTGTCGATCTCACCACCACACTACATCTCATCACACGTCGAAACACCATCCAGAGTAGAGACCAGCTCTCAAACTCATCTCTCTCCGGTCCTCGGCAGATGGTCCTCCCCCCTCTCACGACACCAGTCCCAAAGCCCAGCTCGCTCTTCCTGCCCGCCATGTCGTCCGCGAAACCATCCTCGACTCAAGCACCACCTCCAGGCCCGCCCGCCGCGACTCCCCTCCCGGCCCGTCCCAAGTCTCCGGAGCGGAAGCCTGCAGTCCCCGCCGTCCCCGCCGGAACTGGAGCTCCCGCCGATCACCACCGCCCCTCCGACCCGAAGTTCGACCTCCCCAAGCTCCGTCTGGAGATCCGGGACCTCAACCACCCGGCCGCCCCTCACTTCCTCTCCGCCGTGAACGCCAGCACCGCCCTGGCCACCGCCGTACACTCCGTGCTGAACCTCCTCTACGAATCCCCCTCGTGCACCACCACTCACGTCCCGCCCACCCGCTCCGTCACCCTGGTCCTTCGCGACATGGGCGGCGTCGCTTACACCACGGGCTCCGACCTCGACGACGACCACAAGGAGATCCACTTCTCCATGTCGTACATCGCCGGCATCTCCGCCGACCGCCGCACCGACGAGATCATGGGCGTCCTCACCCACGAAATGGTTCACTGCTTCCAGTGGAACGCCCACGGCACCTGTCCCGGCGGCTTGATCGAGGGCATCGCCGACTGGGTCCGCCTCAACAGCAAGCTGAGTCCGCCCCACTGGAAGCGGGAAGGGAGCGGGAACTGGGATGGCGGCTACCAGCATACGGCCTACTTCCTGGACTATCTCGAGGGCCGCTTCGGCGCTGGGACTGTGCGCAAGCTGAACGAAAAGCTCCGGAACAGGCGCTATCACGAGAAGGAGTTTTGGACTGAGTCTCTCGGCCGGCCGGTGGAGCAGTTGTGGATGGACTACGGGGAGAAGTTGAAGGAAGAAGAGACCGTGATTGTCAATAAGGACGACATCTCCGACGACGATATCAGGCTTGGTAGGATTAGAGCGGCCGATCAAGACATCACTCAAGCTGGGTTGTCTGGTTGAGTCAGCTTTGCGGGAGACGACGACTTATTGGGATGGTTCACCGATTGAAATCCGAGATTCAAACTGCATGTAAACAGACGTGAGTTAGGAGCGAAAGATAATTTGATTCATGTACCCGCCACCAAAACATCTATGGAAGTGCCAAGTCCTGTGAACCTTTTGCGCCGTTTCCCAACCTTTGCATTTGCCTTTGCCTTCGCCGTGCTCAAGTGAGTCGACTTGTTCGACCTTGATATACTTGAAAAAAAAATGAAAAAAGTCACGAATCCAGAAATTGACTATGCGTGAGTGGGCTGCGCCTCGCTCTCGCTGATGACGCTGCCAACCTCTGACCAACTGGCCGGAGTCATCATGCCCTCACTCTCGCTCAAAACATCATAATAACGACCGGTGTCGCCGGCCCTCGACGAGGCGGCATCGTTGGCGACATCCTCACCGGAGCCGGCAAGGGATGCGGAGTCGGTGGGGGTAAGCTCGCCGTCGCTAACCAGCTCGGGCTCGGACATGGGCACAGGCGGCGACATGGGAAGTGGCGAGTAGAAGTTGGAGGGGCTGGACCCCTGAGCCCAGGCCTGGATGGAAGCGTAGGCCTCCTCGCGGTCCTCCTGGCCGGCCGTCATGTACTCGTCGGTGTCGAGCTCGCGGTCGAGGGTGGCGGATCTTTCGGATTGGGACGAGCTTTCGTTGGGGATCAGGGCGGGCACGGGAGGAATGACGGCGGCAATGTCTCGGGGACGCTCGTCGGCGTCGCGGGTAGTGGCGCTGTAAATGTCTGACATGGCTTCATCGCGGCCGGGGGACAGGTGGTTGGGCTCCATCGTCGGCAACTCGTCCTGGTCGATTTGATGCTCGTCGGCGAAAGGGTTGGCGTAGAGAGAAGAGTTCAGACCGCGGACACCTTCGGGGCGGCGGCGGAGGAGACCGTCGTCGTCGCCGCGGACATCTGCGCCGGTGTTGAATACGAAAGCGCCCTTCTCGCTGTTCACGTCCTGTCGCATGAAGTCGTCGAAAGACTTTCCGCGTGATGGCGCAGGGGGCAGCTCCTTTGACTCGGCAATCTCGGCCTCGATCTTTTCCTTTTCCTTCTTGGCGATGTGCAGAGCGTTCCAGTACAGCAGTTCCTCACGTTGACGACGGCGAGTCTCATCGTCGGCGTCGACGCCGGCCTCGGCTCCTCCGCGGGACTCTAAGAAGCCTTGGGCATCCTCGGGGCGGTTGAACATGGGCGGGCGGTCCGCGGGGTCGATGTTCTCGCCGAGCGAGTGCAAGGCGACGGCGATTCGCCTCCGGATGTCGTCGGCATAGCGTCGTAGTTCGGGGGACTCGTAGATGGCGATGGCAGCTGCTACGGCAACAGAGACGGCAATGACGCCGGCTGAAGCCAAAGCACCATTGTTAACACCAGGCATCGCGGGGCTCTTTGCAGGTTGGGAAGAGTGAAAGCAGATCAGACGCGGCCAGCGGCAGTGAGGAGAGGGAAAAGAATATACAGGTTTAAAAGAGAAAGTTGGAAACTCAAGCCTGAAGAATAGGTTTCAAGCCGCCTCTACCAGATTGGCCACGCGACGGTCAAGCTGTGCTTGCGTAGACCTGGAGGCCATTTGCCACAGGCCTGACCACCTCAGGCAAGCAATGTGATTCGCGCCGGTGCTGGCGCGGGGTAGCGGTCGAAGTGCCAGAACAGCAGATCGTCGGGCGGTGTTTGGGGGATTGGGGAACGCAGACAGGGTTCGGCGTGGGCGGTAATACAAGCGACAAGGGAAGAGAACTGGGAAGTTTGAATGTATCACTCACCTTTGGCAGCGATCGGTACAGGCATTTCGAACGACCTCTGATCAACAGCCCAAAACACGGAAATTGAGGTAATGAGTGACCATAGGTTGGAGGTGAGTGAAGAGAAAAGTGCAGCAGAGAAAAGATGGTGTGCGGCAGGCAGTACTTTTTAGACAGCCCAGAATCAAGGTAGGTACAGTAGGTATCTTGGGTTGGCATAAAGGTAGGTCGGTACCTTTCCATACCAACTGAGCAAGGCTTACTTCAGTTTTAAGGTCGTAGCCAAGCAGCATGGCATGAACTCGTCACCTCCGGAGCCAGAAATGCGACACACCCAGGTACCGAACCATCCGTCCAGGTGCACCCGCACCGCTATTTGAGAGGGACAATACCTTTGCTGCATCGAATCCAGGGGATACTCGACGCGAATCACAGATACCTACCTACCCCTCCGACGGAGGAAGAACCAGCCCGCTTACAACCAATCAACGACAGTCATTAGGACAGGGCGCCCCTTACGTTAGGGGGCGACGTGCCTGATAAGATAAACCGTCGGCAGCCCCGTGACGTTATCCAGTACGCCTCAAGGCAGGCTTGGACGCTTTGGTCCGGGTCCGTGGCGCGGTCAAACGCTCAAGGAATCACGCTCCTGTGCTGCTGTGAGGGAGGGGGAAAGAGGATTCCTCACCTGCTAAGGTACGGATACGTAGGTACCTAGCGAGGTAATATGCCTTACTGAGAGGGAGGCCTGCGCTAACATTTGGGGGCCGCGACATGACAGGCACTTGGGGTAGAGTAAGCCAGGAATTGCCACAGAGTTATTGAATTCCAGCCGCGAACAGCTGGTGGATGAAGGGACCTGGTGGTTGCGTCTCCCAACAGTTTGCCTCACCGCCACGGCCTGGCCACAGCATAACAGGGTGGTTCGGTCGAGTGACCATCCTATCGACTACGGCGAGTCCCTCCCATTTTGACTTGCAATGTCTCGTCTGAAGGGAAAAAACAGGACTTTGCGTCTTGGAAGTATTCGTCCCAGATTCCTCGCCTCATTCTGGCGGGCATGCAAGCCTTTTCCCTTCACTATGTGTGTCAGATAGGCTCCAGAAAGTGTAAGTAATCCAGTGCTTGGAGCTTATGGCGGACCAAGCCAATGAGAAATAGAAAGAGCGCCGAAACCCTCCCTCTGCTTAGGGAACTTGGCGTCGTCCGTGTTGTCTCGTCGTGAAGCACGGTGCATGGCACGGGAAACGCACGCTATTGTCCGGGGGCCTCGGGGCTTGCGACCCCACCTTGTGTTACAACACCGAGCGTCGGATCCGAGTCCGGCGATCCACATCTACGGAAGCCCGGGTCCGGGCTCCACACCTACCCGCCATCAAGCTCCGACTTAGCGTAGCGCCCCAATGCCACTGATTTTGTCAAACTCGAACCATCATGAGAGTCCTTGATAGAGAATACGAGTTCGTGATAAATATTTATACGTGCGTCTAGACTTGATCATTGAAACCTCGCGTACAAGACTTGCCCAGCACGCTTCAAAGTTCGTGTCTTTGAAAATTACACATTCACGACTACGGAAAGGAGCGCTATTAAGTCCAGATTCAGCTCAAACTCATCATGAACTGTCTCCGCCCGAATGTAAGCAGAACATTTATCTGAGTGAGCATCATATTCGGGTTACGTTTATGGGCCGCAGGACATCGTTGTAGAGGTTGAATTCCCCGGTGAAAAGAAAGACGTTTTTGCATTGTTGGCGAACTCCTAAGAGGTTATAAAATCAACAAGCGGTAAACGTATTTGAAACTCACAACTGAGACACATCAATTCTACTCGAGATACCCAAAGACAGCACCATGATATTCGAGTTTTATCCGGACGAGTGCAACGGCCATGACTACAGCTAAGCACTGAGGAATTCGATATAAAAGCTCTATCAACCGGCTTTCGGCTGGTATTTCATCTGATCAGAAGACACGTGGAATGTCGAGTATCCTCGAACGATGGAGGTTTGAAGCGATTCCGAAGACCCCTCGTCTGATGCTATGAACGAACACCCGAGGCAACGATTTAATCCAGGTCAAAGCTTCCACAGCGTATGAGCAGAACGCAGTGTAAGCCTGAATTCATCGTAGCCCTATACTTCCTCGCCCATTATTGATCAACAACTGAGTATAAGTGTGCAAGCTATACGACCTTGTATGGTATAAGACCGACGCTCGAGAAAGGTTACGGGCATCTTTCTGGCGGCGACAGCTTTACGCCCGCAGTAATAGTCCATCAACACTAACCAAATCATCTTCTCACTTACCAGCTCACTTACACCAGTTCACTTATACCAGTTCATCATGGTCGGGTGGTCCATACTTCCGCTCAAATCGCTCCCACTTAATACTCCAGTTCACGGCAAAAATGCGAGACTACTGATCTAAGAATCGGTGTTCACATCATGAGGGTCATCCTACTCAAAAATTCGAAATTCGAGCTTGGTAAGCCTCCCCGACGATGAGGAGGCAGGCTCTTATGAGAAACAAGAAACACGACGACGACACCTGCTCGGCCTTGCACGTCCACTTACGTCCGTGACCTCCTTGGGGTTGCTTATCTCATCGAGTGATTCCCATCAGGTGTTCCTGCGTCGTACGGCGCCAACCGTTTGCTCGAATACGAGCGTCCTGGTGAGTGCTTGGCAACCCTGGAAATAGTGCTACATCGAACTCGTCCCGTGGTTCTGGAGGATGAGAGCAAAATTGGCCTTGCTTCTTTCGCTGGTTTCGGCCTATTGTTGTCTACGACGTGTAGTTACGGTGTTCCTTAAGTGGCGTCTTTCCCGGGCGTCTAGCTTGTTATATTTAGAAGACGTTGGTCAGTCTACCTCATCCTTCTGTCGCTGCGGTCTCAGTCTTACGCGTACTCATCAATGCTGGCTTGGACGTCTTTCATTGACGCACAGTGAAGTGGATGGAAGATGAAAGGTCAGGCGCGATGTATACACCAGTTCCAGCTATCGTCGGCGATGAAGCGAAAGCGACACCGACGCTTCCGCAGCCGGCGTCCACTTCGCCTTCCGATGGAGCTCGTTGATTATCGGTGCCGAATCGGTGCTTCTCGGCGCGACCTCACAAAAGCAGCGAGAAGCGACCACGGGCATGCTGCTAGTTACAAGCTCGCGTGCTCGGTCATTGACGTACAAGGTCGCAGGATCGTGCCGAATGCGCGGTACGGGTCCAGGCTTTAGTGGCATCACCTGGCGTCACCATCATACGCCTGGATCAGACTACGCCGCACTATAGGGCTGTAATGAGTTCCGACAAAGGCACAAGCATAACCGGAGCCGTCAGATCAAGCTGGCGAACGACGAACGACACCGGTTTTCCGCTGACCGGATTTGGGGGCGAACCTCCATCAGAAGTGTTGTCGATGAGGGTCGAATCCGCAATGGTTCGTCGGTGATTTCTTCTCATCAGCGTCGCGTGTGATGAGCTACGCGCTGTCTCACAAGATCACAGCAAAGCCGCGGAGGTACCTTTGGTGACAGTCCTCGGAAGGGCGGCGATTGGCGCTCACAGGAACACGTCCACGGATGTACCGGAAGTTGGACCAACTCCTGGGCCGCGGGGAAAAAAAAGGGTCTGATGGGCGCAAGAAATTTTGGGACTGCGACGCTTTGGAGAAATAGGTATTGGTTTAATTCGCGAGGGAAATACAAAACTAACAAAATAGGTATCAGCTGCACGCTGCTCTACTAACGCCATGATTCTAACCAAACTCCGTGGACCCTGCCATGCCCTAATGCAGACCTGCGATGTCAGATGGCAGGTCATCCTTATCCCGATCCCCGGTCGGAGTATTGACTTCTCCAGTGTTTTCCTTCTGCCGTGCTCGCGCCTCAGACATGACTGCAGCGAGGGAAGTCTTGATGCAAGAGAGAAGGGACTAACACCACACACCACACACCACCGGGAACATGGGCGGCCAGTTCCCGAGAGCGTTGTGGCAGCGTGTGGAGAACATGTGGTGTGCCGTCAACTCCGACCAGCCAGCCTCTCGAGGATTGGATGGCACGCTCATCTGTCGTATCTTCGCTCCGTTGCGCGCTTTACTACCGCAGTGAACGCCCGTGATTGCGCCGTGATTTGTGGCGGAACTTTTTTCGGTTCTCCCCCTTGGCCAGATCGGCCCCCCACCAATCAGAGTCCCTCTACCCTGGTGCCCATCTTCCCGATTGAGGGAGCTGTCTAGTGGGAGGTGCTGCTGATGGTAGAAGCAGACGACGTGCTGCTCTGGGTGTCGGTAGAGTTGGTTCTGGTGGCCTTGACACGCTCGCTGAGGATGGCTTGTAAGCTGGTGATCGTTTTACCGCGGCGTTGTGGACTGGAACTTACTGGGTAGCGCGGTCGAGGATGTTGCACTCGTACTTGGCGCTGCCGGTCTTGATCTGGAACTTGATGCCCTTAGACTCGATGGCGTTCTGGAGGTTACCCTTGGAAGCAGGCATTGTGAATGTTGTGTAGTTGTCTGTGAGAAAGTTGGATGAAGTGGAGGTTCGAAGGAATTACTCAGGCGAAGAGATGTAAGACGTGGGAAGAACGGGCGAGAAGATTGACGATTCAGACAAAGTTGTGTACGGGTAGAGGTGGGAGCGCAGCTTCAATATATAGATGGCGATGGCTGCCGACTTATCCAGGGCTTTTGGCTATGCCGAATCGCGAACGAGCGCAATGAAGGGCCCAACACCGAGGACGAACCTCGAACTTTGGATTCGGAGACGGGTAAGGACACCCCTGCAGCAGGCTCAAGTGCCCGCCCGGAGGACGAGGCAAGGAACGCCGACATGAGCGATATTTTGGACTGAATGGAGACCTAACCCCAAGACCGAGGGGCGCAAAGTATCCATTCGTACATCTTACCTACATCTTACCCCATACTTCTTGGTCGGATTACAATTTGCTTGTCGCTATCCGTGTGCCGACATGTACCCAGACATTAGAGGATCTTGCCGTGCGCCCTTGACTACCTGTAATGAGACAATCTTTGTTGAGTATTCAAGCTGGCAAATTGGTCATCTGTATTCCAGAGTTGACAGACCCCATGACATCGCGTGGGAGGCTTTCGAGGACATGTATTCGGATACGCGGGATGCAACAGCGGTCGAGTAAGAGTTGCAGATGCAGCCTTTGAACATACATATTGTCCGCGGTACCTGAAGCTAGACTTCGGAAGCGTACCCAATACGTACCGTTTCACTGCAAGTACGGAGTAATTGCCTTACCTGAGGTGCCTTGAGAAACCCATCGGGACATTGCTCTTGGCGGCGCCAGCTCCTCTCCTCTCCTCCCCCATCATCTCCAATCTTCCCTTGCTCCATTTCCGTGGTCATTCCCATCCGTTCCCATTCGCATTCCCGTTCCCGCCACTGGTCAGTCGCCAAAACCTGACGAGATGAGCAGCCCTTAGCGTGGGATTCCACAAGTGCGGTGAGACACGAACCGCGAACCAAGTGGCTCCTCGAGATCCTCCACTCCAACGAGAGGAAGCTTCATCCCAGTTGAAGCCCGTCTTTGCGGTCTGCTGCCATCGCGGAAGACTGCGAGACGCCGTGAGGCGAGCGAGTCCCACCGAGTTACCAGCGAAGCGTGCCTCACTTGCTGGCAGAGAAAGAGACACGCTTTCGACTGGCCCTGATCTACCGCCAATCTTGGCTGGTCAAGTTGTCATCAACCCCAATGTTTACAGCACACCCTGGAAGTCGGAGAACATCGTGATGCATGAGCACGCAGACAACTGCACATGGCAACACACGGCCACAGGTCACAGACAACTTCACATTCTTGGCTCTGGACAAGACTGTTTGTTTCCTTTTGGCCGACCAAACCCTCAAGACCGTTCGATGTCCCCGAACAAAAGATGAGGGGTGGTTGGCTGCCGTCAGCAGAACAGGGCAAGAAAACCCAATGCCAAGACACCAGACGAATAACACGTTGAAAGACATGCTTCTAGAAGCATTCCATTGCTCGCCAAGCCTTCGCGAAAGCTTGGTCCTGCCCGAATCGACCCAAGTGCCATCCCATCAATCACTCATGCGCTCCAATGCACCATCCCCAACGGACAAACGAACCAGGCCTTGGCCTGGACTGGCCTGTTTTGTACCCTACCACATCGTCTTCCTCGGATTTTCGATCGCATGGGCGAGTTCGTGGGCAGTCAATACAACGCGATAGCATCCAGAAGCACCAGATCGTTTACCTTCAGTAGGCCGATCGCAACGGCAACTCAGGCCGTCTGTCCCGCGTGAAGACAAACAAAAACGATCACCTTAATTGGGGGAGCAGTTGTCTGAAGGTCGGGGGACGGGGCGCCTTGGGCGCTCCCGTGCACTACCGCATCTCATTCCCCCCTCCTCTTCGTGACGATCCCCATGGGGGGCACGACGATGCCCGTCGTCAACCAAGGAGGAAAGGGAACGTGTTCCCCCAGTTCCGAATTCAAGAACAAGTTCAAGAATCAAGTAACATGGGGGTCCCGTTGACAATGCGGGACGATGACCGGCGAATCGAGGCAAGGCATGCCGCCCTGTTGACTCCGTGGACAGCGTTGCTTGGAAGGAAATCCGGTACTCTGTACATTCTGGCTAAATGACTCGCAGTCTCTCCCAGCCGCCCGGATGACTGTCAGGCTTATTGTTCACACATCGGTCGCCCCCCGAGATTGTATCCGTACGCAGTACCACTAATCCTCCCACACGCCGTGATGATCTTCATCATGTGCAGTAACAATCAGCGGGAAACTCGGGCGGTCGGTTCAGTTGGTGTTCACCAGAAATATGACACCGGCCCTTCTCCAAGCATCACAATGGTCGCTGGCCGGATTTCCCATTTGACTTGATGCTCACTGACTCTACAGTGGATTATGGCTCATCGAGATACTTCCATCCTCGGAGTGGCATTGTATCTGGCCCCTCCGCGGCACAATTTGCCCTTGGCTGAGAATTGGCTTGGCCTCATACAAGTAAATCCTCTCCGGCCGCGATCGTTTGTGCGCCTGAATCGATCTGGAGATCACATCCTGGTCAATTTTTCGACACAGGATTCCGCGCTTAGGCAGGCTGAAGATCACAACTTCTTTCGAGGACCATGATGTGCAGCGGACAAGGCTCAACATAGACCGCCTTATCCCGGGAAACACCTGCTGAGTCCCTCAATGCACATCTGTCTTTCGTCCCACGAAACAATCACATGAGCCTCCCGGAACAGGCTCATAACCACGACGAGATACTCATTCCAACTCAAACCCAACGACGTCTCATCTTACCATCGACTGAGGGGAAGACCCCTCCAAAGGCCCGAATCTCGAAATGAACCACGTCTCCGCGATACTGGACAACTCCAAGGCTTGGCCGCATATCACGACTCGGAGGACGTGGGGCCGGGGTCCTCAATCGTGCCTCTTCCACTGGACGGAGCTCGGGGGGTTCCGCAAAACCCCGTTGGCCGATGGCTGGGTTGAAAGTGAGGCCAAGACTGGTGGACAGGAGAGGCAGACACCTGCAGATACGGACGACGAGACAATGAAATGAGACGCCAGTATATCTCGTCCAGGGCCAGACAAGCATTGTTCACCCAAAGCTTGCCTTCGCCTCAAAATACTCGGGCACAACAATTGGCCTATGCACCTGTGGAGTCCGAGGCTTCGAGTAACGCAAAAGACGGCTCGCATCTTTGCGAAATCAAGCGCTTCCACGCGACCAACTGCCCCATCTTCTGGGGTTTATTAGTCAAATCGAACGGACAAAATAGCAGCCTCTGGCGCGATACCCGTCCCGCGTATCCAACAGCGAGTTGTGTGACATGCCACGCCCAGGATTGGCCAATTGACGAGACTCTCGGTCCCGGAATCCGTCACCGACGAAAACCAGATGCAGTAACGACAACTTGATAGCGACGATGCTTGGCAGGCTTGGCCAAGTCTGCTGTGCGCTGTTTTATCGCTCATTCTGTTGAGCCACCTGTCTTCTTCTCGAAACACGCGGGAGGTGAAGTGACTGTCGCTTGAGTGTCAGTTTGAGAGCCGCTTGGTATATTCACTCAAGAGTCTCACTTCGTGTCCTTGCCTGACGTATCTTTAAGAGAGCGGCCCTCAAGAAAGATTCAGGACAGCAGCCACCAGCCGACGCACTTGCATTAGCGGCATGCGCTTGAAATCACTTAGAGAGCTTCCGTTATTCATCCAGGTGTCCGAGGAGAAGAAACCGCCGGTTTTTCTCGCGGAACAGGCCCAAATCGTGAATCCCTCGCTGTTCCGCTCGTGTTCTAACTGAACACTGAGCGGTCAATGTTTAGTTGGTCGCTCTGCCGGGACGAAACACAGCGCGAATTGAGCCTCACTCCCGTCTTCTTCTGCCCTAGCCTGATGTTGTGCTTCCCTAAGCCCACCCGTGGACTTGTCAGCTTCCGTCCTTCTACTCCCCGCCTCAATTTTCAACAGTGCCAAGGTCAATTCGAGGCAGCGTGCTTGGCGGACACATCACTGACCTACCTAAGGCCCGTAGGTATGCCGATGGAAGGTTCAGCCACAGAGGAACCTCCAGTGTGGCGACGGTCACCTTATAATGGACGGGAAGCGGACTAGAGTTATTCCTGCCAGGACCTTACCATGGCGGGGTTGGGGCAGCTCACCGAGCTCACCTGCAATTCCCGACCCGGGTTCTCGGTGAGAAACGGCGCTAAGTGGGCTACACCTTATCAGCGCTGCCAACTGCTGTTGCACCTCCCTGAAGTGGACAACACCCATTGAAGCTGTCGACAGCTCCGTTGTGCTGTTTCTTTGCGCCAACTAACGTGCTTGCTGCCCTCTGGCGCTTTCATTCGTTTCCAGAAGGCACTGTCACCCGCTGCCTTTTGGCCAATGGAATCTGTCGCTATTCGCGTTTGAAACGACCAGGTGCTCCACGTACTGCTGCCAGCAGTGAGCTCCCCCCGGCCGATCTCCGGTCGGCTGGGATTTGCTACTTTCTCTTATACACAACACGCAAAGATACCCCAAGATGGCTTCCGACTACGAGCGAACGATTCTGGAGTTTTACCAGCTTCCCACCCCGTACCCAAACGAATGGCCCGACGAAAAGAACCAGAGCGATGCATCCGAGGATGAAGACGGCGGCAAGGACGAGAAGAAGGCCAAGCTGAACCGCCGAAAGTCGCGATACCAGGCGCTCGAGCGAGCTGTGAGCAACCGAAGCAGCATAATCCCCGGCTCGCAGTCGGAGAAGGGCGGCATTGGAAACATTGTTCAACGAGACGAGCCCGATCCTTTGGGCACCACTGACAGCGTCGTCAGGACACTCCGCCAGCTGGGAGTGCCCATTCAAGACGACCCTCGCTTGCGTATGTTATGTTCGTGAACCGCCGTCTCCGGCAGAGCTGACACGATGCCGCAGGCAACCGGTTTCTCCTCTCCTCGACCACCTTCTCCCCCGCCCTGTTCCTGTCACAGATGCACGCGACTGCCGACACTCAAAGCTTGCTGGTCGGCCTCGACACTCTTTCCCAGTCAATCGATCAAAAGTCTGCATCACTTAAGGTCCTGGTGGAAACCAACTTTGAGCGTTTCGTCAAGGCCAAGGCCACTATAGATAATGTCTACAAGGAGATGAAATACCGCGGCGCTGAGCCGCCCCCGCCGCCAACGACAGGTCGCGCCCGAGGCCATTCCCGAGCTGCCAGTCGAAGCAGCTTCCGAAGCAGCAATGGCGCCATAGCCCTGGCCAACTCACTCGGATCACCGACGGCCGACGCGCGCAAGAAGAACGCCCTTGTGAAGGAGAGCGAGTACGGCGTCGCGGGAATCAAGGCACCTCTGCTGGACGTGTCTGCCAAGGCAGAAGATGTGTGGGGTCCGGCGTTAGGAGGTCGTGAGAAGGAAGAGAACCTCAAGGTTGTGTCGGCCAATCTGGAGCAATTCAACGAGTACGTCGAGCTGAGCGCAGCCATTGCCGACAGCATCAAGCGCAGAGACTACGAGAGTCTCGTCGAGGAGTACAACAAGGCTCGGAAATTCTCAGATGATGCGCGCAGTCTGGCCGCCGCCGTTGCTCAGGGGTCGTCAACGGATACGCAGCTGTACCAAATAGTGTTGGCGGCGCGTATGTGGCACGACGTAGACGAGCAGATCCAGTCGTTCAAGCGAGACGTTTGGCGCAAACTCGTCACCCTGCACGGCGTGTCGAAAACCGACAACCTTGGCCAACAAGATCAGCACATGGAGTTGATCAGTCTGCTTCTGGAGCTGGGTGTCGACGACAACCCGATTTGGGTCTGGCTGCTCAGTCGATACGACCATCTCAAGGGCAAAATTCAATCCATGTCAGATCGATCCAAGGTCGAAGTCGAGGTTTTGCGCCGGCGACTGGCGAACGCGGAAAAGCCCGGCTCGCACGCGGTGGCAGCACACCTCCGGTCCCTGGGCCGCGTGGCCGTGGAGAACAAGATTGCATCAGCAGACTCAGCAGATGTGATCGAGTTGTGGGAGAAGATGCTGGCATACCTTTCCGGTTTGCTGTCTTCGCAAGGGATTTTGGGAGAGGTTGTGGACTTCTGGCAAACCGTGCAAGGCTTCTTGGATGGCAATATTCAGCGGACACTGCCGACAGGTTACAATGGCGAATCCCAAGAACACCATCAGTTGACAGAGCAAGGCGCTGAAGACCTACAGAAGGGGACACTCGAGCTTGTCGACATGATCCGCGAGACGGTGTTTGCCTTTTTCGCAGGTCCACCGCCAGAAGATATCTCGCTGCTCTTCTCACCCTTACCGATCTCGCCAAAGAGCCCCCCTTCTGCTTCCGCGGGAACCCCAACCGGCGTGCGGGACCCTCGTCTTAACCTTGATCCCAACAACATTCCGCCTCCCTCACCCAAGCGTGGCGAGACATGGGAGAAGCTGGCTTTCTGGCCTCCTTGGTCGAACTCCGTCAGCGGTGTTCACTACCTCTCCAAGATGCTTGCCTTGGTCGGATCTGGGGCGTCTGACCTGGCGAGTATCGGTCCTGTTGCGAGCGGGCCAGACGCTGGCGTGTTGGACAGACTCAAGTCGCTGGTCAACATTTCGAGAGAGAGGTGCGTCACCGCTCTTTGCGCAGCATGGAACAAGGACGCCGAAAACATCAAGTACGTCGAGGATTGGCAGCGGTCACCAGAACTGGGAGACCTCACTCGCATGCCTTCCAGCTTCGCTGCCTTTGAGGGGGCTCTTCTCGCAGGCATGCAAAAGATTCTTTACATCTCCGAAGCCATGTCTAAGCCTGGCGCGGGGGATATTGTCCTCCCGCCGCCTAGTAAGCTCTTGCAGATGGTCAGAAGCCAGTACGTTACAACGCTCTATAAGGCGTTGAGCGGCATGGTGGAAAACGCCGAAAGATCTGTGAAGAAGGCCGACGACGATTGGACGACGGATATTGACGGCACTATCGCCACAAGCACCCCGCCCGCTCCTGCTGGCGGAAGAGCGACCCTTGATGCTGGAGACAGAGTAAGTCAACGATACGCAATTTCGACGAGCTGCGCTAACATCTGCAGAACGTGCGAATGCTTCTCACTCTGAGCAACTTACAATCACTTCGAGCCAAGGTTGTCCCGAGTCTTAACTCCCAATTCGAGAACGCCTTCTCCGTGAAACTCAGTGATGAATCGAAGACGATCAAGGATGTTCTAGGCCAGATTGATGCTAGACTCTTCCAATCTTACACCAGACCGTCCATCGAGTCTCTCCGAAATATTGTTCGCGCCGGTGTTTCATCACCAGACTGGGTCCCTGAGACGGGCCAGAAGCCACGAGAAGCCCAGCCTTATGTCTACGAGGCTCTTCTGAGTCTTGTCCTGGTTCACTCTCAAGTGTCTACGACGGCGCCTACTCTCACTTCCCAGGTGCTGTCCTACCTGCTCGAGCAGACCAGCCGCGAACTTCTCGAAGCATTCCGCACGCGGCCACGATACACGCTCGAGGCCCTTATGCAGGCTACCCTCGACGTCGAGTTCGTGGCCCAGACGCTGAGCCAGTACACCACGGACCGCGCCTCCCAGCTCCAGAGCGAGATTTACTCGGAACTCGACGGACGAACCGACAACGACGCACGCGCCCGGCTGCAAAGCGAGCTCCCGGAAATGCGTAGCGTGCTGAAGAGGCTACGTGAGGCGAGCAAGAACGAATTCGCCTGCTTCCGAAAGCCGAAACGTCCCGGGATGGGACCACAGCGCACAGGAACCGGGGACTCTGCTGCTAGCATTCAGAAGGGCTAGAGGCCTCCTCCGGAATGCAGTTGGCGACCTGTCCATTACTGAGCGGTGAATTACTCACCGACTGGTCGGCGGTCGCTGTATCATGCCTATTGCCGAGGGTTGCTGTTCGAAGCTTGAGGAACCACGATGCCGCATAAAGGCTGAGGAAAGTCATAGTTGGGTAATGGTGAAGAGGCTAACGGGTAGCCAGTAGACTGTAGGCGCTGAGACAGGAACTTGGAATCCGTGTCGAGTACGAGGCGCGAGATGATGCATGAATGTCAACGTCGGATAGCCCAATGATTTTGCAATAACAATTTCTATCAAATCCCACAACGGTATCTAACGGTTTGTAGTGTGAACCATGAGTGTTGGTATTTGTGGCAAGGGGGTATCTACGGGCAAACCTCCCTCAAATTCCCTGGAGAACCGGGGTTTGCAAGCCGTCTATAAACAGAGAACCGTCTATAAAGTCCGTGTAAGTTCGTTTATTTTTCCCGATTCCTCCGCCTCGCATTGAAAGGAGCCCGTTCTTTTTTACCATTCCTGGGGACCTCAACGTCATCAACCTCGTCCATCCAGTCCTTTTTTCGCTTGTGGTAGGCCAAGGTCCTGTGATTCCTTCTTCAGCCCCTTTTCTTTTCTAAAACCTATGTGTGCGTTGTTGAGTAGAAGTCGTACATCGTTAGTTATTCAATGGTGTCGTGACCTGTGTTTTTTTCTTTTTCTGTTTTCTTTTTTTCCTTTCTTGGTTCTCATCCAGTCATTCGTCGTAGAAGGGTATATCTTCCGTCCTTCTCATAAGAGAACAAGCAGCGCCGATGGCTGGACAACTGACATGCTCGCGCTCCAACCTTTGATGCTTTGCGACGTTCATCACAAGTCTGACGCCGCGAACGATCAATAGGGCTGCAGTCCATAGGGCTGCATTCCGTACGGTTGCGTTCCATACTAGGGAAGCGTCGGAGTGAGCGCCTCGACCGAGGGAGAGGCGATAGAGGGAGGGATAGAAGGAGGGGGAGGCGGCGGTGTGGTGTGGCCTGAGCTGGTGGGCGCGCCGATGTGGTGGCCGGCTCCGCTCTCTCCCTCCTTGGGCGGGAGGAGGACGTGGCTGCAGAAGTGGAGTTCCAAAGACCGCGAGGTCTCCGGGCTGAAGGCGCAAGTCTCGAGCTTACGGACAACATCGTCGTCTGTTGGGGAAGTCAGTCAAGCTTGGTAGGAACGTGTAGGGTGTGTCTTACAATCGAGATTCAGCGCGTTGAAGAACTCCACAACGGGGGCGAAGTCAGGGTCGCCAATGTCGAGGACGGCCAGGCGTCCGTCAAGAGCCCGGAAGGTCTTGGGGTGGGCCTTTCGGAGAGTGAGAAGCATCTTGAGAAGGTCCGCAATCTCGTGGCCCTGGTTGACATAGCACGACGGTGGGCGGTCCAGGGGCCAGCGCTGACGGAAATCGTCCATCTCCCATACTTTGAACGTCCAGGTCGTCTTCTCGAGGCAGTGGAGGAGAATCAAGATGGAGAGGTAGATATCGAAGTGGATCTTAGCCTTGCCGTTCTCGAGACAGCGCTGCAGCTCGCTGATGAGCTTGTTGGAGACGTTGTTCGCCCTGCGCTCGGTGGCCGCAGACAGCTGAAAGGTGATCAGGTTGTATATGTCCTGGTCATCGCTTCCGGCGAAGTCTTCCGGGCCTCGAGGGACGACGACGCCCTGGCGCTCTTCGGAAATGTACCAACCACGCTCTCGGTCCAGTATCTCAATCAACCCCCATAGATCGATGGCAAGCTTCAGAGCCTTGCCAGTCGTCTTTTCTTCTGGAAACTTCTGGGCAGAGTCCAAAACCACCTGCATAAAATGGGATGGCTCGCGCTGAATGAGGGTCGGAAGAATGAGCTTCAGAAACTCTTCCATGCGGGCTGGGAGATCTTCCTTATCCTGGTCAATCATGACAACCTGGAAGAGTGTCGGCGACTGGGCATCTCCGTTGGTTTGTTCTCCTCCATCCTCGGCGACGGGCTGGGGCTCCGGCTGGGGTTGGCGAGGAGTGACGAGAGCGGCAAGACTCAGGCTCGGGCTGTCTTCCCACAATGAGACAACCAGAGATGTGCCGTTTGAGAGGAGCTGGTAGGACTGTCTAGCTTGCTTGACTCTGTTCTGTGCCAAAACGACGAGCAGGGCGGCCGAGTAGAGCGTAAGCTCCTGGTTAAGGCGCGTACGAACACACGGGTAAGTCCAGTGACGGGGTCCTTGAATCTTGCGGCACTGATCGCATGGGTCGTGAGTACCGCACGTCTTGCGAAGAATGCGACATCTAATACAGGCGCCTTTCTTGCGAGCGGCCTGGACCTCCTTTCGTCGGCCCGGTGTGTAAGCCTTCCTCTTGTGCTCACTCGAGGTTCCGTTGCCGATGGGCATCCTGGTGCCGCCTCTATTGGGCGGTGCGATTGGGGCCACATGAGTCGCGACAGTGGGGTTGTGGTTGGTAGTCATGTAAGTCATCTCTCCCCATGGCTGTTGAGGGGTGCTGTTGACTTCGGGGACCGCATTGTTGATTTCTGGTGGTGACATGATGGGGCTCACAACCTGGGGCTCGTGGTGGTCGGCGGTGAGCTGCGGGTCCATGAGCGTGTGTGTAAGACGCGCGGTTGCAGCGGCAGCAACAGAGAGGTCTGAAGTGTCCAATGATCCATTGGCTGGCTGCTGGGTTGCTGCTTGAAGATGCTCCATCTTCTCCTCGGTGGTGAGGTAGTTTAGAGGGTTGGCGCTATCCTGGGAGGTTGACTCTGTGTGAAAGTCAGCATTGACCATTTTAGACTGAACCACGAGAGAAGTACACTCTCTTGTGTCATGAAATGAATAGTAACAGGAAAAGGGAATAACACAGGGTAAAGGGGGGGAATTAATGAGAGGTAATGTCTGATCAAAGCCTTACCCTTTCTCTCACGGTTAGGTCTGTTCTCATAGCTCACTGGTGGGTTCTCCAAGGTGAACTGCTCCTGCACCTCAAAGCCCATCCCCATTTGACGCGCTGCCGAGTCTGCAGCTTCCCGACCCGGGCCAGGAGGAACACCCATCTCGTTCTCTCCAACCTGTCGCGATGCTTCGGCAAGGGTTCGGAGCGCGGACCAGTTCTCTGGGGCCTCTGGCGCAACATCCGCTACGGCAGCAGGATCGAGCTGGTTGACGGTGAGATTCATCGACCGCGGGGCCGAGGCGCCGGAGTGAAGACCAGCGAATCCGAGGGCGGCATTGATTCGCTCTTCGGGTGTAATCGCAGGGCATTTCTCGGTGATGTGTTTGTGTAAAACCTCGCCGCGACCCTTGGGGAAGTTTTCACCGCATAGCTTGCAAGTGTGCGGGTACCGGTTGCTGGAGTCAGCCAGTTTAGGGCCACGGGTGAAATACTCCCCAATGACGGGGTTTGGTTTCCGGCCCATGATGGCTCTCTACGAGGCTCCGGCCGAGAGAACAGGCCGAAGATTCCAAAGGTGTTGTTTTGGGGCGCAGGGGACGTCTGGTTGACCGCCGGAGACCGAGTGGTTGAGAGACCGGTCACTGAAGAGTCGCGGTGACCGCCTTCGAAATTCTGCCCTCGGTGTCGATAAGGATGAATTGCTGGCGGATCAGCGCTCTGAGAGATCGAAAAGCTGCGTCAATGTAGGCGTGTCAGTCTGAGGGCACTGCAGGCAAAAAATTGCCGTGCCTGGCTTTTTGCAGCGCGCGACAAAGAACAATTCGCCTTGGCTGGACCTGGGAAGAGCGATGCAATTCACAAATTCTGCCAAAATTTTACACCGCTCAATGCCTTTTTTGGATGAGGATAATCCGGATAGCCCTGCCAGCCACCTGTCGGATTAATGCTGGTGGGGCTTTTTGTCATGTGACAGTTGGCCCCTGCTGCTGCCGCCGCCATCTGGCACCGGATGGGTAGTGAAACCTAACCAGGCTTCTTCTCATAGCCCTCAAGCAGCTTTCTTTCCTGCAACGTGAACCGTCGATGCAATACTCGAAATGCGGTGCTTTCGGTGGTTGAACAGCAGGTAAATAACGTTTTGTTCTTTGAAACAATGTCTCGAACTTATATACTAGTGTTTCAACAGGGCCAGTGTCTCAATTGACTGCTAAACAACTCCACTTTGAATTCAATTCTCGGTCCATCAGACACAGAAACAAGGGAGAGATTGCTACGCTGACCATGCCAAACAGGACTGAGAATGCGATGAGAACGAGCTGATTCGATGCCAGCTTAGAACTGTTTTCTAGGCGTTGCTACCCCAGATCTCAGTGAGATAGTCCTTAGCGGATGTGAACGTGAAGTTTGGCATCAGCTTGTTCCAGTCATCAGACACATCCCAAGCTCCTGTGATAGTTCCCTGGATGAACTGCTGCGCTGTGAACCTAGACATCACGACTTCTTGACCGACAGGGATCCCGGGATGCTTCAAAATCGGCACCCACTCGGCCGAGAGCTGACCAGAGAGAATGTCACCCTCGTCAACCTTTTCGATGTCGAAGGAACCTGTGTGTACGTGCACATGTTAGACATGAATCCACCACAACCATCAGGTCACCTACCTCTCAGACTTTCAGCGACCTTAACTAAATCGCTTACCATCATCCGCGATCCACGGATGCCGCCTGTTGTGGGCCACTCTCCAGTGTATTCGATCGCTTCGGCAATCATGGCCGCGGTATCCCGCACCGTTGTCAGTACCAAGGGGTAGTCTCCATTACCAGGCACAATAGCCTTGCGACTTCCAAAGTCGATGAACATCGCGTGGGTGTTGAAGTGTTACCCACCAGGGCGCGGGTGGGCAAAAAAGTCCAGAAAAAGACCTGGCTGAAACAGGGTGTACTCGATCACCTGCGCGTGTAAGTCAGAGCAACCAGTCCGGGCCATGACACGTCGGCTTCAAACTACCTTCTGTTCCTTGTTCACGTCTTCGAGATACCTCCGAAACTCATCTTTAAATCCATAGACAAGTGTGCCGCTGTTGCTTTGACTGGTCATCCCGTTAGAAAGGGCTGAGAGATATGCTTGTCAAAGACTCACGTGGCCCACTCGCTCGGAGCGAAACGCCGGACACCAGCATTGATAGCAGCGTCGATCAAGACTTTCTCTCTTTGAGTGGCGCTAGCTGGATCTGCCCCCGTGAAAAAGCAGAGAACCACATCGCACCCACGGAGAGTCTCCGTCAGAGCGTTTCGGTCGTCGTAGTTGACCGCTTTGCAGACGACACGCCCGTCTGTTGCAGCATCCCTTTTGTTTTCGTGCAACGCTGAGCATGGAATCCATGACCCGATCACGGCCTGGCTTACCTGACGAGAAAGTGCGAGAATCTCATGGTCTCCTTTGGCGAGAATAGCGTCGATCACATCGTGAGCAAAGCCTGGAGTAGCGTTGTGAGGTCGAGGTCATGAAGTTGCGAAAACACTATACGTACTCGATGATGCGCCTGCGATTGCGATTTTGACCATGACGTTGACGATGAGTGGTTAGCTGCGAACTGACTTCCCGAGTCCATGGAAGTAAGAAAGTCTGCCGTTCAAATAGTTCACCAGATTCGCTCCAGAAGAGACTGGAGACGACTGGGTGCCCAGCTGAATTTTGCTGCTTCAGGTTGAAGTGTTGAAGTGAGTGCAGCTCCGCAAATCCGCAAACTCCGCAAGCCAAGAGCGTAATGCTACAAACGTACTTCTAACAACTACTCGCAGATACTGAATTAGGAAAGCCCGGAAACCTCATGTTTATCTCGATGCCTAACGTTTCCGTCTTCGGGAGGTATACAATTCCGTCAACACGGTGATGCTATTTCGTGAACTAGTTGGACCACAAACTCTTAACCCGTCGAGGTTAAATAACTGACACACAGAACAAAAGTCCGACTCATAACAGAGTCATTCGTGTCTCTTAGACTTTTCTAACTTGACTTTGAGTTAAGGTTCAGTTTTTTGACTGACTTTCCAGGGCCTCGTTACCTCATAAAAGTTGTCGCGCTTACTTGCTGATGCTATCTTCCAAAAACAATCTTCTTGAAGTACGATTAACACAACATATCCAATATCAAGATATCAAATACATGGCAAAATGCAAGGAAACTTGGGACATATACTGCCATCATGTGTTGTTGCGGAAGTTGCCTGAGTAGTGGCTACCAACTCTGATGCATGGTAATCCACAATGTCAACAGCGCAAAGGGTAGAACACAGAAACCTCATCATCAACAATGATTTCGAAACCCTACTGCACATATTCAATGAAACTGCTGGTTCTGTCCTTTTATCGGATATTTGCTGCCTTCCCCTGTCCTCAACTAGTGTCACTATTGTTGCAGTTGTTGCCGGTATCCTTCTATGCACCTGCGGATCGCTGGCGAACAATTCTCTTATGTATCACGCAGTTGCGGAAACATTTCCGTATCCGAATGTACAAGGCGCTAGAGCTTGATGTATCTTATGAAGATCAACGTGTGCATCTAGTTGTCCTGAGAATCTTCACTCCCCCAGTTTATCAATCCAGTGACCGCCTTGGGACTTGATGAAATCCCCAGGTATGGTTGCTGGTACACATATCATAGACTTATCGAATTACAGTTGCAAAATGATCATTCTATTAGAAAATCGATGTGTGCCATTCCAGTGTTCTTCGATCAATAGAGTTGAGTGGTTGCATGTACCCTCTTCTAGACTCTGTTAGTTGCAGTCCACACGTGCATCGGCGCTAGTATTTCATAGGCTCGCAGGTACCTTGCTTGCCGGACCAATCTCCTCCTGCATCGTGCAGTAGGCCACTTGTGAATCCAAGCGATAAAATCTCGGTTGAGTCCTGTCGGTCAGCTTCGCTTGTCGGGGGAGTGGGGGTCAGGCGCGAGTTAACCGAAAGCCAGGCAATCGACTTTCCGATAATATAGTCTCACCGATCGAAGTTTGTCTCGCTTTCTCGGCAGCAGCTGCGGTCGGGTGTTACTGGCTTGTGCCTGAGAGGGGCTCGAAAGGGGTAGGGAGGCTAAGCAACGTCCAAGTCTCGGCGTTGTTTTGTGGAGACCGCCCGGCACGGGGCCGAATGCAGGGCCACATGCGAGGGCCGAGTGCCTCGAGTGTCTCCGGCCGTGTCCTCAAGAACGCAATGGCTGACGCTAACGGGAAAGGGGCACCACATCCGGGTCTCGGCATTTGGCCCCCATCGAACTGCCAAACCGCCCCTAGGAATGTGTCACCCCAGCCGTAGGTTCCCCCCCCCCAAACATCGCCCCGCGAACCCGTTCGGCCCGGGCGTTGGTTGGTGGCTATGTACCTGTAAACGTTAATACCCCCAGGGTCAGAAATACCTCGTTCCACGATGGCTGTAAAAGAATCGACCCCCAGACTGTGCGTTTCTTCCTTTGTGAGTTTTACTCGGTAAACAACACCATTTCGTCTACCTACGCCATGGAAAGGTCACATCTTACTGAGGTGGCAAAGGACTTGTTCGGGCACGATGGTCAACTTGGCCCCCGTTCCCGGAGAGGAACACCGTCATGACAAGCGAAGCGCTGGTTATGCTGCGAAATGAGCCAATACACACCCCTTGACGAATCCGTCAACACCAAGACTCCGCGCGGCTCGCGGCACTCAGGACTGAGCACTGCATTGTCATCTGCAGCCTGCCATGCTGTAGCTGTCTTAAACACCGCCATCCGCGCTCATTCTCGATTTCTGGATTTTTTTTTTCGGCCATATATATATCTCGCTCCCAAGCTTCGTCACGCCGTCCCGAAGGGTTCTCTCGTCCAGTCATAGTCTTTCGTTCCGGCACGTTGCTCGTCCCTCGTTACCCACCCCACGATCCCTACCGCACGAGAATACCACCTCGTGGAGGCTCCTGCAACGTCGTTTCGTGCCTGCCTTGGAGACCCAAGTCGTTCGTTATCAGATCTCCAGTATCGTCTCTGCGCCTTCCTTCTTCGGGCCCGCATCATTCGAGACTCGTCGGAGGGCTTCATCCGCCTGCGACTTCAGTGGCGGGTGTCCGCGTGAGGGGTTCTCGTCATCTTGAAATCTTGGATATAAAGCTGCTGGAAACTCTGCGTTGAAAGGACGGCAGTCTCAGAACAGGACAACACGCGGCCCATCGACAGAAAATGCGACGCTTCACCCTTTTGCACATGGCGTCGGCCGTCGCAGCACAGTCTGCCGACCTTGCCGGCTACGTGTTGACAGACGTAAGTTGCCTCCACGCTCGATCGACTGAATTTGACCAACAATTTCCTAGACTGGCTCCGTAGGTGGAGGCAACACTTTCCCCGGAGTCTCACGGCCCCTGGGCATGGTCAAACTGGGGCCTGACCTAGAGAACGGAGTCGACGCCTACTCCGGCTACCTTCCCGATGGCCACTTCATCGGCTTCTCCATGCTGCATGAGACCGGTACCGGCGGGGCACCCAAGTACGGCGTTGTCAACCAGATGCCCATCGTCGGCGACGTAGAAAACCCCCTGAGCCAGAATACAGACACCCGGGCAAAACCCGATGAGACTGAGGTCGGTCATTATAAGTCTTACCTCAGCTCTGGAGTCACTGTAGAACTCGGGGCGACAGAGAAGGCTGGGCTTTATCAGTACAGCTTTCCCGAAAATAATGGTAGCGCCAACGTTATCGTTGATGTATCCCATGTCCTGCCCTCATATAGAGGCCAAGGTCTAGGACAAAATTACCTGGGGGGAAAGATTGAGGTGAAGGAGGGCGACGACTTTCATTATGAGGGCTTCGGATCCTACGATAACGTGAGTTAGGCCGTATATCTTGCGGTTACACCTCTTGACTGACACGACGCAGGGTTGGAACCGCGCTGAGGAGTGGAAGGTCTACTTCTGCGGATACTTCGACCGCCCAGCGACTTTCAAGACATTCCTTGGCAAGGACCTCACATCGAATGACTTGTCAGAGTATGGAGCTGAAACGAGCTACGAGTCTAGAACGCAGCGGTTGGGAGCCGTCTTCACCTTTGAAGACACTGCCATCAATTCGAGAGTCGGAGTTTCATTCATCTCCACCTCTCAAGCTTGCAGTAACGTCAACTCACAAATTCCGGCGGACACGAGCCTGTCTTCAGTCCGGGAGGCTACCCGGGAGGTCTGGAACACGCAGGTTCTTTCCAAGGTCAAGACGACCGAGACGGATATGACGAAGCTAAACCAGCTTTACACCGCGTTGTACTTCATGAACCTGCTCCCGACAAACAAGACGGGTGAGAACCCCCTATGGGACTCTGAAGAGCCCTACTACGACGACATCTTTACGTTCTGGGATACCGTGAGTCTTGAGATTGCCATCATCATGTTTAAAACTGACGTGACAACCCAGTTCCGCTGCACGACCTCCCTCCTCCACATCCTCCAACCGGTAGCCTACGAGGAATTCATCCGCTCCATGATTGATATCTGGCGCAATGAAGGCTACGTGTCCGATGCCCGCTCATCCTTTTGGAACGGCGCCGTCCAGGGCGGCTCCAACTCCGACAACGTCCTTGCCGACGCGTACGTTAAGGGCGTCCGCGGCAAGATCAACTGGGACGACGGGCTCAAAGCTATGCTCAAGAACGCCGAGGTCGTGCCGCCCAACAACAACGACCCGCGCGACCGCTCCAGCTCGACCAAGGAAGGCCGTGGAGCCCTCCCGGACTGGCTCGAGTTCGGCTACATCACGCCGACCTTCGCCCGCGCCGTGACCCGCGCCGTCGAGTACGCCACCAACGACTTTGCCATCCACCAGGTCGCCAAGGGAATGGGGTTGGCCGACACCGCTGACAAGTACCTCAAGCGCTCGCGCTACTGGCGCAATCACTGGAACAAGGACATGACGGCTCTCGGGTTCAGCGGCTTCATGGGCCCTCGCAACTCCGACGGGAGCTTCCCGCCGCAGGATCCCCTCGACTGCGGTGGTTGCTACTGGGCCGAGGCGTACTACCAGGCCACGCCTTGGGAGTACTCGTTCAACGCGCACCACGACGCCGCGCACATGGTCGAGCTTGTTGGGGGCGCACAGAACTACTCCGACAGGCTGGAGAAGACGTTCGAGCCGGGGCAGTACAAGGGCAACGGCGCCTTCGGAAACACAATCTTCAACCCCGGCAACGAGCCCAGCTTCGGCACCCCGTATCTGTTCAATTTCGTCAACAAGCAGCACCTCACCGTGGAGCGCTCGCGGTTCGTGGCCAAGTCGTACTACAAGCCCACGCCCGACGGCCTGCCCGGCAACTCAGACGCTGGAGCGATGGAGTCGTGGCTGCTGTGGAACATGATCGGGCTCTACCCCCTGACGGGACAGACGACGTTCCTCATCGGCTCGCCGTGGTTTTCCGACCTGAGTATCTCGCTTGGCGGTGGACGGCAACTGAACATCACGTCGACGGGCGGCGGTGATGATTCGTTTTACGTGCAGTCGCTGCGTGTCAACGGCGAGCCGTGGGATAAGTCGTGGGTAACGTGGGGAGACATATTTGCTGATGGAGGCTCGCTCGAGTTTGAGCTGGGACCGGAGCCCAAGGAGTGGGCGACAGGAGACTTGCCTCCCAGCCCGGCCAGCGAGGATTCCCCTGAGACTGCTCCGGTGCTGAGGCAGCAACGGCGGAGGCGTTGGTGGCGCCATGAAATGCAATCGGCCAACGGATGGTGATCTGCCGTCTATCCGTAAAGGTTGGATGTGGGAGTGGTCCGGCTTGGATACAAGTGAGGATATAATGCGTAATGTGAGATCTAATGACAAAGATTACAAGACGCCTTTTTGACTTTTGACGGCCTTCTTTTTCATGAGTGTGGTCGCCTTCAAAAACACGTGTATTTGCCCACCTTGAAACCTTCTTGTTATCTAAGAATCTTGTAGAATGTACTTACAATCGAATTTTACCGTACAGAAGCAACTCTTGTATAAATGAAAACAAACGGGGCTCGTATTCTTTACACAAACTCCTTCGCTATGCCGATATTGCTTAAACATTGCAGGAGTGAGGGTATCAAACTCAAAAAACCATGAAAGCAACGTTGAAGTCTTATATCCCATCAACGAGGTTGGCTACTGCCCCAGACATTCTTGAACTCATCTTCGTCTCCGACACGGAAATTCTGATTAAAATCGTCTTCTTGTTCGCTCTCGGCCCATGGCGAAGCCATAGCTTCCTGTAGATCGGGAGACTCCGACTCCTTGTTCGTGGTTTGCTGCTGAGCATTTGGTGCTTGCTCCGACTCAGCGGGAGGACCAGGCGGTGTTGCTGGCTTCGGCGCCGGGCTTTGCGGCTTAGTCGACGGTCCAGATTCGGTCTGATCTGGCGATGACGTCGAACCCGACCTTTCGGCCGGTTCTTGCTTCTGCTTCTTCTTCTTCTTGCTGGCAACCACTATCGGCTGATCAGGCCGAGGAGACCGCCGCAAGTGCTCTGTTGTCGACCGAGACGAGGAAGCAAAACCCAAGCTGCCTTGAGAAGACATATACCGCTTGCTCAGTGGTTCGCTCGCAGTGATGACGGGATACTGCTTCATGTCAGCCAGCCACAAGCGGCTCACATATCAGGTCGACTTACGTTCCAATCGCCAAACTCCAGCTCACGAGCTTTATCATAGAGTTGCTCCTCGTCGGGGTCGATCTGAGGGTCGTTGGCGAGGTCTTCGTTGAAAGTTCCGTTGGCGTAGTTGTACTCTTCGCTCGGACCGCCCGCAGTTCCTACCAACAGAGGATCCCGTTCATTCATATCGCGATTCACCTGGCGGTCCACCTGGCCAGGCGTAGGGATCCAGTACTTTCCTTTACCGCCCCTCGAGTATCGCATGCCTTCCTTGAGTCTTCCAAGTCTGGCACGTGATTCTTCGTGTGCCATGATCTTATCGCCCGAGTCAAAGGCCCGGTACCCATACATGTCGCCCTTGAAGGTTTCCTTGGAGTCTTCGATGAGATCTCTCACACCGAAGGCGTCACGGAAGGCGAACTTAACAGGCATCCTGGCGGAGAGTATACTGTTGTCGGCGAAGTCGTGCCAAGAGAAGGCATACCAGTGGGCGATGGCGAAGGCGGGCATTTCTATGCAGATGAGTGCATCCTGTATGGCTGCTGCCAGGTTGGTCGGGGTGTAGCCCTCGACGTTGTCGGGGATGGCCCCCAGCCAAACGAGAATGGAGAGGAAGAATCCTTGCCAGTACGAAGCGAAGATGATGAGCTTGATGCACAGAAACTTGGGTACTGGCCGGAACGGCGCGAGGTCATTGTGCATGCAAACCCAGAAGAGACCGAGCGAGTACAAACTCACGGTGACGCTGATGTTGTAGACCAGACTGCTCCAAAAGTAGCCTGATTCAGCGCCGATGTAGCCCTCTTGGTAGGTCCCAGTCGCCTTCATGATGACGGTCGCCAGAGCCAGCAAAGGCTTGAGCCACGCATATTGGAGGATGCCTCGCTTGATGGCCAGGAAGGTATGGGGATCGGATATGTCAACACGTGGGAGGACGTGGTTCAGGGGCCATAGGTGGTGGACTGGTTCTCGACCATGGGTCATGATGATCAACGCTCGCTCTCCTCCGAGATAGTTGATGAGAAGCTGGAAGAAAGTGTAGATGGTGAAGGCCTGGAAACGTCAGACAGCGCAACCTAGTCGTTTGACAAGAGTGTGTACCTCGTAGATGTCGCGGATGGGGTCGAGGAAGGCGGCCGCCTGGATGGAGACCATGCTCGTCCATGAGGCGATTGAGTAAATCGGGACCCTAGGACGGTCAGATTACAGTCCCAGATGTTCCACATGCCCAGCCAGCCAACGTACATGAGCAAGATTCGAATGACATAGCGCTGAAGAAGAGGCTTGCGATAGTTCTTCCTATACTCTGTTTAGTCCCAACCGTCGAATATCGAAGAGCGCATCGCGAGACAACGTACGACTGCAAGAAGATGGACCTGCGAAAAAGGTATTAGCCAAAGCCGTTCCAAGGTCCTTGGGGACACTCACACAGCCGATAGCAACGTCGCGATCAAGGCCGCAACGCCTGAGACGATGATGGTCGCCGTGGTAAGCTTCTCGCCCGTGCCGCCTGCCATTTTGTCTGCGGCCGAAGAGGGGCGTCAAAAGTCGTGAGTCGTGGAATGTGGTGAGAGTGGTCGTGTGCCTAGCTAAGAGCCATCGAGGAAGCTCAAAGTAGAACGGGGAAAGAAAAGCAGCGTCTTGAAATGTCAGGTTGTTCTCGCATGTACTGTCGGTCTTCAGCCAGCAGAGGTCGTCGCCCGTTGGAACGAGCAAGTCGACGGGAGTGAGATGCGAAGCGGGAGGGGGCGATTGTGCTGTTCCGACGCGACAGCAGCGATGACGATAGACCGTGCTGCCGTCTGCCGCAGTTGCAATCGCAAAGGTGTTGCGTAAGTTCAAGGTACCAGGTAGCTCGATGCAGCGAGTAGGTACGTATCGGGAGTACGTCAGGCGGGCCGGTCACCTAACCTGACGGGAGGTACTGCTCAAGATACGACAGCTGCAGCACGGGATGCGGAGGGCAAGTAATAGAGCTCCCGTCGCATTAATTGTTAGGGAGGTAGGGAGTTGGCGGCAGGCAGCTCCCTTGAAGACGGCCCAGTTTCACGGCGTGATTGGGGTTTGGTGGTTTGGTGTAAGCCCACCTCACCTCAGGGACATGACATGTGCAGGTGCCCACTGAAAGCGCTGATTACGGGCATCCACCGGGGCACGACGGGAACCTGGAAGGTCCACACGCAGCTGGAGTGTCCAGGGCAGCACCTCGGGGTCACTTTAGCGCGAGATGTACCTTTTTGCCCCAGGGCATCACATGGATGCGCCGGGGAACTCAGACGCGCCTGGTCCGCGACTCTGGATTCTAGATTCTCGACCTTGGCCAGGAGAAGAAGGCGGTATGCTTTTGTGTTATGCTGCATCATTGCGCATTGCTGTACTGCATTACATCCCGAGCTTGCATCCCATCCCATCCCACCACAGCAAAACATACCTCACCGCAAAGGCTCGCCTGAGCTTTTGTCTCAATACCTACCTAGGTACTCGAATTCGAACCACGACTCTCCTCTGTCAACCGCGAACCTCGAAACCACCAATGCGAGTTCTCGTCAACTGCTAGCACTGCTTGCGACGGCTTGCTAGCTTAGTGCCCCCCTACCTTACCTACACCCGGTGACGGCGACGGACGCGAATACACGATACGACGACATGGCCGCGGTGTAGACCGATGCTCAATGCTGCCAATTCGATTTACCAATTCTTGTCATTGCGCGCCTCGTTGAACCGCCACAATGCCGCAAGAAGGGGAGCCGAATCCCACGCCGACGGAAACACCGTCGTTTAACGGGTACTTGACGCGATCCGACATCGACATGTCTCTGCTTCGCAAATGCTAACCACTCGTCCGTTCAGGGAGTTTCTGGCCTACATGCTAGTATGCGCTGCTCTGTAAGATGCCGGCCTTTGCTAAGAACACGCACGGCAGCCGCTAACACTACCAAGCGCCGTCTTCTTTCTCCTATACTTCAACCGAGCCTTCGGTTCGCTGCTGTCGTGGGGCATACGGACGTACACCTGGCACCGCTACCGGATTTACCTCGATATCCAGGCCCTGCAGGTCTCTCTCCTCGGCGGCCGCATATTCTTCACCGGTTTACGATATCATGGAAACAACGAGACGTTTCTCGTTCAGCATGGCTACGTTACTTGGAGGTATTGGCTGCGCCGCGTACGCGAGGTCGACATCAAAGCATCCGCGCAGCAGCAGGCCGAGCAAGCTTCCTTTGCCACCAATGGGCGACATTCGAACCTCCCGTGCCGAGTGACCATGTCCTTGGTCGGCTTGGAGTGGTTCATATACAACCGAAGCCCGGCTTACGACAGCGTTTTGGCTGGATTGAAGGAACCCACGACAGCCGAGAATGTGTCAACGGCCTTCGAATCAAAGGAAGAGACGGCTTCTCTCAGGAACCGTGGGCAGAAAGATACAGAAAAGACGGATCAGTCTCAAGAAGCCCCTGAAAAGGAGGCTCCGGGAGCAGCTTTGCTCTCGAGGATTGGGAACACTCTAGGACGTCGCAACTCTTCCGCTAGTCAAACGAGTACGCCCTCGGATGCGCAAGAGGACAGCAGCGACACCTCTCCGTCCGACTCAGACCTGCCGTTCCTTCTGCAACTCTTTCCCATCTTCGTCACGTGCCAGAAAGCGGCCGTTGTGCTGGGAAATGACAATACCAAGGCGATCTTGATTGTAAAAGCCGACGGGCTGTCGGGAGAAATCGATGCCTCCAAAACATCAACACCGGATCCGTATAAACAGATCTTCAAGATCAAGTTCCAGCATCCGATCGTAGAGATGAGGGAAAACGATGACTATAAGGAGGACCAAGCCACTCGAGCTAGTCGGGAGAAATTGGTCGCCGAGGAACCTAGCCCGGCTTATAAAACGTCCTTCTTCAAAAGACATCGACGTCGTGCGCTTGGTACGTTGAGGAATCTGGTGCCGTACTGGCGAAAGTCGGTTGAGTCGTTCTCCTTGGGCTCTCGAAGCCCTCTCACCACAGCCGTGTCCCAGATACCCGGTTCAAATCACTGGCAAGGACTGGCGCGCTATCTAGACGAGGACGAGCAAGATGCCAGGCTGCGCTGGGCCGGTGTTGAATACGCCGCCGAGTCCACCGTCGTGGACAGTCCAGAAGCAACGCTGACGATCTACTGGGACGTTGTCGGGAAAGTGAGCGCGGAAGCCGCCAGGCGCCAGTCTAAAGAGACGAGTGCCGCAACCTACATCAACGGCGACGAAGCTCCTGCCTGGGGCATGATTCTTGCTATCAAGGGCGGAATCGTAAACTATGGGCCGTGGGCGGATCGCCAGAGGGCCGACCTGCAGCGCGTTTTTGTTCCCAGTCTATCCAAAGACGCTGTTCCGGCGACTCCCCTTGCCGAGGGTGCGTATCGAGTCCCAACTCAGTTCAAATTGTACGTCGAGTTGGATGAGGAGGTGACGCTGCGAATACCCATCAGAGAAGACTCCAAGAATTGGAGATGGAAGGGCAAAGAGCCTCCGATTAAAACAACTCCGCCGCAGCAGAAGCGGAAGCAGAGGAACCGGGCAAAGAAGGACAGCAAGACCGATGCTGCGCCTGTCCGCCCAGGCGGCTGGCTCGACTTCATCGTACCTGGAAATTCTACAATCTCGTTCACGATGGACATGCTCGCCAGCACGACGGGATATCAGATGAAGCTTGATGTCGACCTGCCCAGTACCGAGCTCGCAAGCAGCGTCAATCATGAACTTCTCTGGCGCTCAGGGGCTCAGCGTATCTCTTGCGACCTGTCCACCCCATTGAAGTGGAACTCTTTGAGGTCTTGGTACTTCAACATCGTGGCCGACGAACTGGAACTGTTCATGCTCAGAGACCATGTCTTCTTGCTGATTGACTTGGTCGACGATTGGGCCACCGGCCCGCCGGCCGAATACCTCGTGTTCACGCCTTTCAGATACTATCTCAACTTGGACCTCCGCAACGTCAAGCTGTACCTGAACATCAACGATGGCAACATCATTAACAACCCCACGGATCTCGAAGACAACGCTTACGTCGTAGCAAAGAGCCCGTCTCTCGTTGCGAATGTCTGCATTCCAATTGACAAATACCGACCCAGCATGAACGCCGTTTCTTTCGCTCTGGGTGCCGAGACCTTTACACTGTCACTGCATGTTCCGCCCTGGAATACCCAAGCCGCGTTCATCTCATCGAAAGAAATCGGTCATGGCGAAAACTTCGAAATCGACGGCAAGTACCACTATAACGCCACAACATCGCCGGCTAATATCGACACCTTGACGCTCAACATGGGTGTGCAGTCGCCCACGATAACACTGTACGGCTTCCTAATACGGTACATCTTGGTGCTCAAGGACAACTACCTGGGCGATTACATCCATTTCAAAACGCTCGAAGAGTACCAGGACCTCCTGAGGGCGAAGGAACTTAACCCTGATGCAGAACTGGCGAACCGGCCGCCGCCCAAGAAGTCCAATGATCTAGACGTGATCCTGTGTGTGAAGGTTGACGACCCGCGGATTTTATTGCCTGCCAACTTGTACTCGAGTCAACGACACGTTCAAATTGAGACTGCCGGGCTTTCCCTGGATCTGCGATTCACCAACTACTACATGGACTTGCAGGTCAACCTTAGCCCTCTGAATTTGTCACTCGGAAATACAGACTCGGGCATGGAAACGCCAATCAGCGCCGTATCAAGCACGCAGCTTTTTATTGACGGCATCACCATCTACGGACATCGGCTTTTCGGACTGCCCCCAACAGAGCCGACGTACCTGTGTAACTGGGATATATCCGTCGGCACAGTCTCTGGCGAGTGTTCGACTGACTTCCTAACGGCCTTGATAAGTGGAGGTAAAGCGTTTGCATTTGAGTTCGACGACGACGAAAACGCGCTGATCCCGCTGTCATCTATTATCGTATACGATGTCACCTTCCTACGCGTAGCTGTGCAGGGTGTTAAGGTCTGGTGCCACGTCGAAGAAGCGGCGTTTCTCTTCTCAATTGGCACCATTGACGTCAAGTTCAACGACTGGGCTCGGACGCATTATTCTCGACGTGCAGACATCAAGATACCCGACCTCCAGGTTTCGTGCGTCAACTCGGAATCGGCCATGAGACATAAGTGGAAGTCTCAACATGGTGTCGAAACCGAGGCCTTCTTTCAAGCTTCAATCCGCGTAGCCATTATCGGGAGAAAGTTTCACTTTTCCGAAGAACGAAAACTGCAACAAGAGCTCATACGTCGCGAGGACCAACGGACGGGTCGTACCGAGTTCCTTCTGCTACCTGGCGTATTGGATGATATGCTCCCCGATCAACTTGATCCTCCTGCCCAGGGGTTCCCTCCAGTACCCGAACCGACGGTCATCGACGGTGCCGGTGGCGATCAAAGATCATTCGACAGCAAATCGACATTCACTCGTGCTCCGCGTCTTCGTCATAAGAGTTCTTTCCTGTCAAGCACTAGCTCCACCTCCAGCAACAGCAGTGTGGTGAGGCCGAGAAGCTCGGTCAGATCGCGCGCAAAGTCCAGACAGTCGGATCTCCTGTACCCTGACAGTCCCGAAGTCACAGGTAAACGGCACCAACGGGACATCTCGACTTCAACTGGTCGGCACTCCGCCTTTTACAGCGCCGTCGGAGATTTCCAACGAGATGCGAATTTTCATTCGTCTGTAGCTTTCTCCAGTCAATTTTTCACTCCGCCATTCCCTCTTGAGAGCGTCCGACCCGACACTTCGGAAGCTGTTCTGCACAGTATCGAAGAAGAAGAGGATGGCTCTGCCTTTGGCTTTTCAGAGTTCAGTCTCGACGAGATTGAACCAAGTTCATTGGCAGAAGATCGTGCTCAGAATAGCATCATTGTCGAAATACCTTCAGGAGTGACAGCCTTCCTCAATCCCTCCGCTGTCCGGCACGCATCATTACTCATCTCAGCATTGCAGCCCAGCGAACCGGAGAACATACTCGACAGCCTGCAAATCTCTTCAATGACGGACATATTTGACCATCAAAAGAAGAAGAAGGTCGCCGGTGAGATCACTGACGTCATGCTCAGGGTTCCGAAAGCCAGCATCCGGTTCCTGAACTCTTCGTCCGTTGAACGCTTCAATCCTGGCGGAGAGGAACAAGACCAATATGACGTGTCAGCGTCCAAACTTTCCCTCTCTCTCCGATCAACTGAGGCTTGGGAGAATCCGGCGGAGCCGATCAAGAGCAACAAAAGAATGTCGGTCCTGATAAGACTCGGGTCTGCAGAAATATCGGCTTCGGAACGACAGTCAGGCGCGGATGAGAACCAAGCCGCGTTCATGGCCCAGATCGAGCGAGTGATGCTATCGCTGGGCTCAAAGGATGTCACTTACATCGACGCGGAGATCGGCAGCATCAAGAACAGCACAGCATCGGAGAAGATTGAGTATCTCGCGTCGCTCATACACAGGACCGGTGTTGTTGCCTCAGAGTTGGGAGAGGTACTGAGCCAGACAGTGTCTCGACACGAAGATCGGGTCAAGCATTTCGTATATAAGCTCATGACAGACGGACATCCCGTGGGCGATCCATCATTCTTGACACGCCCGTCAGCAGTTCTAAGATCAGCTTCAGAGCATCTCCGGACGTATGACTCGTGGAAGATGGCCGCCCGACTTCGCCAGATTTGGACGAGGATGCCAGCAGCTTTTAGGGATGACCTCCTCATCAACTGTCTTTCTGGTTCAGTCTCGCCGCCACCTGATGCCCCCCAGCGGGTTATCGATGCCTTCCAGCGATGGCGCAGCTGGGATCTCTACAACGTGGCAGGTTCTGAACTCATCAAGAACGTCTATGGCAAAGTTGACGTCAGCGACAATCCTGACACAGCAGAATTGCCTGTCATGGCGGCGCTCCGGCTGAGAGATGTACAGTTGCTCCTGGATCCTGGTCCAAAGGAGAACAAAATTGCCTTTACCGATCTGACGACAAGAATGGAAAAGAAAACGGTGACGTCTGCAGAGCAGCCCGCCGAGTCAGAGTTGAAACCAAAGAACATGACCGTTCTGAACGTCTACTGTGGCGAAGCAGCTATCATGCTCAACTGGGAGCTTTGTGAACTTGCCGAAGACGTCTTACGTCTGTACAATAAATCAAGCCGGGCAGCAAAGCCTCCGAAAGAAACCATGGCGGAAAGCGCACCACCCGACAAGGCGAAATCCCAGGATGCCTTTCATGTCGTGCTGGCCGTGGGACGAGGGTCGATAGAAGTGGACACCATCAACCTGAGCGCCACATCCCTCGGCCACAACTTGAAAGCATCTTGCCTGGTTGACGGGTACGAAAAGACTGGATCGTCGATCAACTTCATCTTGAGCTGCGACGCTGTGACATCCCGGCTGCATCACCGCTCCGAGCTTCTGGGAATGTTTCAGTTGAGGGACCCAAGTGTGTTCATTTCTCACGAACTCCTCGAGACAGACACCACTTCTTGCCATACGATCAAATCAACAGCCAGTAGTCGCTCATTGACCCTAGCTGTGAAGCAAGACCCCTTGTTTCTGGTGGAAGTCGTTGACTATCTGGTCAAGGATGAGTTGACGCAAATACACAAACTTCAAAAGCAGCTACCAGACTCTCCGGCTCCTCGCAGTCGCAGAGATAGCATCAAAATAGCCGAGCGGCTTTCGTCCTTCCGAGTCAACGTTGCTCTGTTCCTGGATGAGTACCTTATCAGCGTACCACTCCTGCAGTCCATGACCTACAACATATCGGGCGTTGTAGCTCGTGCAGCAGTGGCCGCCAACTTTGGGAAGGAGCTCATTTTTGACTTTGATGTCAAGGAAAACTCCCACGAGATCCGGATGGATGTCAGGAACCAGCCGCGCAGCATCTCTATTCTCCGCATTCCGCCTACGAACGGCCGCATCGTAAGTCACATGGGCCAAGGGGAGCACTCGGTCTCTGTATTCGGCTCCGTAGAGCTCATGCAGCTGGACGCTTCTGCTGTTTATAGTTTGCTGCGGGCTCTGAACCGACCGCAGATATCCAGTGCCGTGACTGAGCTGCAGGAGGGCACGAAGGCCATCCAAGGACACATCAATGACATGTTCGGCAACACTTCTGCCCCTACTCCCAAAGAGACTTCGCCGCCACCTTCGACATCGAACCTTGTCTACACCATTCATCTTACTTTGGCTGGGATTGAAGTTTTCGGTAAAACGCCTCTCGTGTCCGAAAAAGATCCCACGGCATGCCTTTCTTTCGCACTGGACCGAGTACACGTAGAGGTCGCTAATCGTCATGAGTCTCACGGACCCATACTGGCACAGCCGGAGTTGCACGTCAATCTGCGCCAGATCTTAATCGACGTGCAAAAGGGCAGGGACAGCGAGATGAGATCTTGCGGTAGCTTGGCCCTAGGAGCTCTCATCTCAGCGAATACACGAACCACCGAAGACGGCAAAGAGGAAAGGTCCTTCAACTTCAGAAGCGACGGACTCATCATCAATCTATCGCCAGAGACCGTCTCAACTGTCGTAGCTGCTCTGGGATACATGGGAGACAAGATCAAAGACCTCGACACATCACGAGAGCTCGAGTATCTCCGTAAGATTCGGCAGACGAGGCCACGAATCGCAATCAATGACCAGGAGGAGGTGGAGGAGCCAGATATCATTGACTCGTTCCTCTCGTCGATCGTGTATCGGTTTGAAGTCCGCGATACCCAGATATGCTGGCTTGTTGGCGATCCATCAGATGACTTGATGCCACTCGCGGGAAGCAAGGAGGACCTGATCTTGTCAGTCCAGCTGGTCAGCTTCGGAACACGCCAGACAAAGTCGGCCAGGCTCACCATTGAGAACTTCCAGTTGCAAATGGTTCCTCCCGGCCAAGACAAGAGCCTCAGGTCACTCCACTCGGCACTGCTCCCCGAAGTCGTCTTCAACATTGCCTACGTCTCCAACCCCAACACACGTCGGATGGCGTTCCAAGCGGTGGGCAAGTCGCTGGATCTTCGCTTGACGTCAGGCTTCATCATCCCTGCTGCAATCTTGAACGACTCCATCGGCCTCTCGATCAAGAACGTGCAGCGGGCATCCCAGAACTGGATCACGGGTACCGCCGCTGCAAAGGTCGACAAGGTAGAGAAGGTGGAAGAGCCAGCTCCGCCAGGGCGAAGCATATTTGGCACGAAGAGGCTGGAATCTCTGCTAGTCGACGCTGACTTTTCTGGGGCCGTTGTCTATGTCTCTGGCAAAAAGCCGACGGATGTTCTCCGGGGGAATACGAGAACTGGCAGGCCGTCGCTGGCAGGAAAATACGGCCAGTTCAGCACGGATGACTCGGGCAGCAGCACCGTCCTCAGGACTCCTGGCTTGGCCTGGAAATTCGAATATCGCGACAGCGGTCGTGAGGACCCCTCGCTTTATGGCGAGATCAAGATTGATGCGTCGAGCAATATCTTGTACCCATCTGTGGTCCCACTCATCATGGATATGACGACAAGCGTTAAGGAGGTTGTCAGCAAAGACACAGATGCTCCGGCAGTCAAGACTCCTGCCGCAGCCAAGACCAAGCCCGGCAACGAAGATAACATCCTCACTGCTGACCCGAACGCCGTCATCGGTCGCTTGAAGTTGAACCTGGGACTGCGCATTTGCCGACAAGAGTTTTCACTGAGCTGTCAACCCATCGCCCGCGTTGCCGCCACAACATGTTTCGACGACATCTACTTTACCGTCAACACGGTGCGCTCTGTGGAACAAGGCAACTTCTTCTCGATCTCCGGGGCTTTCTCCAAGCTGCAGGCCTCGGTTCAGCATGTGTACTCCAGAGAGTCGACTGGAAGCTTCGATGTCGACTCGATCGTGCTGTCGTTGATGAATAGCAAACACGTCAGCGGGACCAGTGGTGTGTCGGCCATTCTCAAAGTCAGTCCGATGAACGTCTCCATCAATGCCAAGCAGCTCCAGGACTTCCTGCTGTTCCGCGAGATCTGGTATCCCAGCGAACTTCGAAATACCACCACAGCGCCGGTTGCCAAGCTCAACACGGAAGCATCCCAGGGTCACTTGGTTCAAAGATACCAGCAGGTGGCCGCAACCGCGGCTTTTCCCTGGACAGCGACAATTTCCATTGCCTCTCTGAATGTCAGCGTCGATATGGGTCAAGCCATTGGAAAGTCAGTGTTCGCCATCAAAGAGTTCTGGGTCTCGTCCAAGAAGACCTCCGATTGGGAGCAGAACCTTTGCCTCGGCTTCGAAAGCATCGGCATTGATTGTACGGGCAGACTGAGCGGGTTCATCGCTCTCAACAAGTTCCAGCTTCGAACATCCATCCAGTGGCCTGAACGGGAGGCGGCGCTCAACGAAACGCCTCTGGTACAAGCATCGGTCGGTTTCAGTCAATTCAGAGTGAAAGCCGCTTTCGACTATCAGGCGTTCCTCGTCGCCGATATCACGTCCTTGCAGCTCCTCATGTACAACGTTCGTCGGAGTCTCGAAGGCAGTGGAGACCGGCTGGTGGCCATCTTTGACGGAGACGCGGTGCAGGTTTTTGGCACCACGACGTCTGCAGCTCAAGGTGTCGCGCTTTATCAAGCCGTTCAGAAGCTCATACAGGAACGACGAGCCAACTTTGAGATGTCCCTGCAAGAAATCGAGAAGTTCATGAGGAGGCGGTCTTACGGAAGCTCGGCGGTGTCTCCTCATCTGACGAGCATGCCCAAGTTCCAAGCAGAAGACACGCTCTCCAAGTCCCCCATCTCGCTCGACACGGACGTCGTAGTCACGCTGAAGGCGCTCAACCTGGGTGTCTTCCCCAGCACATTCTCCGATCACCAGGTGTTCAAGATGGAGGCGTTGGATGCCGAGGCAAGATTCGCGGCCAGCATCGAACACCGGCGCGTTCACAGCATCTTGGGACTCACGCTCGGGCAACTGCGGATCGGGCTCGCTAGCGTGCGGAATATAGAAGCACCCAAGACGCTCAGCGAGATTTCAGTCGAGGACGTGGTGGAGAGAGCAACAGGCTCACGCGGCGGAACGATCCTCAAAGTGCCAAAGGTGGGAGCAGTGATGCAGACATGGCAGACGCCGAACCGCAACCGCATCGACTACATCTTCAAGAGCGCGTTCGAGGGCAAGGTCGAGGTGGGATGGAATTACTCGCGCATCAGCTACATCCGCGGGATGTGGGCCAATCACGCAAAGTCACTGGAGCAGACCTGGGGCAAGGAGCTCCCGCTCACAGCCATCAAGGTGACGGGTGTGCCGGACACGGAGGAGCAACAGGCGGGAGGGTCGTCGCAGCAGAAGATCACGGCCGAGGTCAACGTGCCGCAGTCCAAGTACGACTACGTGGCGCTGGAACCGCCGATTATCGAAACGCCGCAGCTCAGGGACATGGGCGAGGCGACGCCGCCGCTAGAATGGATTGGTCTTCACCGAGACCGACTGCCCAACCTGACGCATCAGATTGTCATAGTGGCCCTTCTGGAGTTGGCCGGCGAGGTGGAAGATGCATATTCTAAGATCTTGGGATCGTAGGAAGTAGTAATGGTGTGCCGGCGGCGTTGACTCACTCGGCGTGCATGGGCATTTTAGGGTGGGCGAATAACATTTGGGGTTGCTTCGGCGTTAAGGGAGTTAACAGCATTGGGACCTGGACATCGGATACCTTTACGAGTCTATCATCTTAGTAATCAAGCCAATCACTTGCATTCACCGGTTTACCCCGCCATCGGAATATGAGTGTTCGGTGTGTTCACCGGCGTGATGTGAGTGGAAGTTCGCAGTCAGCAAGGTTGAAGATGAAGTCAATCAGCTCGCCGGAGCTCGAAACGGTGTCATTTCACGGACGGCGGCTGAAATAAATAGTATTTCACGATATGAGGCGAGCGATGACTCGAAGCTCCGGGCGGGGTGTGGTGAGTGGACACGCCGATAAAGCGACGGACGTGTTGTTCCTTGGTTGATCTTGTCGACGTCAATCTTCCGTATGTCGTTCGGGCCCAGGCCTCTCCGTCTCCGTAGCACCGGATAATTGGCGATGGGTGCCTTAGTTGGGCAGATTTGCAGATGATTATCCGGGCACATCGTCAAAGTCGTCATTGGATCATATGGAGGGGCCCAATTCTCGAGGAGGGGGAGGGACGTTGATCGCACAAACGGGGCGGGGGCCTGGATTCACACAGGTGCTGAGCTGATACAGAGTACGCCACACCCACAGCTCCTCCGTTCCTGAGGTATGGACTCTTTATTAGGTTCTCTTGGTGGGAAACGTAATTCCAGGTAGCTTTTGGCAGCAAATGGCCTACTGATTCGAGGCAGCTCATGGAGGGGCAACCTCAAATTTTTTTGAGCTTTGTCTAAATCAAACAGCATGTGTATCAAATGTGTGACTGGTTGGCCGTCGAGACGAGACCCCGGATCAGCAGCAGGCGGCCAACGTTTTGGTGAGACATCGAGCTCTGCTCTGAGGTATTCTGGTGCGAGGGGGCCAGGGTTCTTGCCCTTCCCATTCTCTCGCATAACTCAGCCCGAGCGAAGAAACGGGGAACGGTCTCTCAGCACAGACCGCCAGCATTGTACACGGCAGGACGTGGAGGGGGAGGGGAAGACATTGGAGTAAGGTATCGGCCAGTGACGCTGGACGCTGAAAGCTGAGGCGGGAGGACGGCGACAGCGACGGCGACGGCGACGGCGGGTGACGAGACGGGAAGGCGAGTGAGTATTACGGCTACGGGCAATGACGGGAATGACCTGAAGCTTTGGTACGGGTGCAGCAGAGGTGGCGCCACGGCCAGATCCTGGCCCTTACGTGCGTCTTTCACTGGTGGTCTGAGAAGCAGTGTGGGCAGGTGCGATCGAGTTGGATGTCCCGCTTGTGGGAGTGGTGAGGTGCTTTGCATTGGTTCGCCGTGGTTGTGGTTGGCGGGGAGGGGAAGAATTGGGAAAATTAAAAAATAAAAATAAAAAAAATACGCAAAAAAACTGTGAAGCAGGAAGAAGTGTGGCGGGGTTTTTTTCACCTGGTGTGCTGGTGCACCTCGATGCCCCCACCTACCCATTTTTCTCATCCGGCGAGGGCCAGTACCATCCATCCACTGACGGGGCCTTACCCAGCACTAACTTTTTTTTCCCTCGGGGCAACGTCTTGTCACAACGAGCAGAGCCTGCACCACTTCCTCTTTTTTTCTTCCTTTCCTCTCCCCCCATCCCGCCCTTCCCATCATCTCCCAGCGACGATAAAAGAAGTGGCAGAGGAGCTCAAGTTCCCCTGTCGTTCCTGGAACCGTCGCCTTTTTCAATCTCACAAGCTTCATCTGCTTGCCTGTTTTCTCACTGTAGAAAAAGGACTCAGCACTCTGTGAGCGCGGGGCAGATTCTTCAACCCCGCTTCGATCAACTTCAACCTTACACATACCAATTTTTGACGAGCTCGCCGAGCCACCGCCGCAAAAATGGTCAAGTAAGTCAACCCGTCCATCTCTCATGTCGTCTACTACGACGGCTTTGCTTCGAATCCGCGAACTGGCAATTGCATCGTCTCACCGGCCGACATGGCTGGGCGGCGACAGCTTCACTCGAACCTGCAGTGTCGCTGCTGAGCAATGTCGCCCCTACCCCGCCTCTCACCACCACCACCACCCCATCCGTTTCGGAGATAAGCTTCCACCACCCCCAAGCGCTTCAGTTGGCTGACCATGGCATCATCACAACAGCTTCACGATCGAGGAGATCCGTGGGCTCATGGACAAGCCCACGAACGTCCGTAACATGTCCGTCATTGCCCACGTCGACCACGGCAAGTCCACCCTTACCGACTCCCTTCTGTCCAAGGCCGGTATCATTTCCACCGCCAAGGCCGGAGACGCGAGAGCAACGGATACTCGTGCGGACGAGCAGGAGCGTGGTATCACCATCAAGTCTACCGCCATCTCCCTGTACCACGGTGTCGACCCCGAGGACGTCAAGGACATCGCCAACCAGAAGACCGACGGCACCGACTTCTTGATCAACCTGATCGACTCCCCCGGTCACGTTGATTTCTCTTCCGAGGTTACTGCCGCTCTCCGTGTCACCGACGGTGCTCTCGTCGTCGTCGACACCGTCGAGGGTGTCTGCGTCCAGACCGAGACCGTCCTGCGTCAGGCTCTTGGTGAGCGCATCAAGCCCGTCGTCATCATCAACAAGGTCGACCGTGCTCTTCTCGAGCTCCAGGTCTCCAAGGAGGACCTGTACCAGTCCTTCTCTCGTACCATCGAGTCCGTCAACGTCATCATCTCCACCTACTTCGACAAGTCCCTCGGTGATGTCCAGGTCTACCCCTACAAGGGAACCATCGCCTTCGGTTCCGGTCTGCACGGCTGGGCTTTCACCGTCCGCCAGTTCGCCGTCCGCTACGCCAAGAAGTTCGGTGTCGACCGCAACAAGATGATGGAGCGTCTCTGGGTAAGCAACTCTTTTCCGCCCCCCTCTCGCAACAACCAGCTAACGTGCAAAAAAGGGCGACAACTACTTCAACCCCCACACCAAGAAGTGGACCAACAAGGGCACCCACGACGGCAAGCCCCTCGAGCGTGCCTTCAACCAGTTCATCTTGGACCCCATCTTCAAGATCTTCTCCGCTGTCATGAACTTCAAGACCGACGAGGTCACCACCCTCCTCCAGAAGCTCGACCTCAAGCTCGCCACCGAGGACAAGGACAAGGAGGGCAAGCAGCTCCTCAAGGCCGTCATGCGCACTTTCCTGCCCGCCGCTGACGCCCTCCTGGAGATGATGATTCTCCACCTGCCTTCCCCCGTCACTGCCCAGAAGTACCGTGCCGAGACCCTGTACGAGGGCCCCAGCGACGACGAGGCCGCCATCGCCATCCGTGACTGTGACCCCAAGGGTCCCCTCATGCTTTACGTCTCCAAGATGGTGCCCACCTCCGACAAGGGTCGTTTCTACGCCTTCGGTCGTGTCTTCGCCGGTACCGTCCGCTCCGGTCTCAAGGTTCGCATCCAGGGCCCCAACTACACCCCTGGCAAGAAGGAGGACCTCTTCATCAAGGCCATCCAGCGTACCGTCCTGATGATGGGTGGCAAGGTCGAGGCCATCGACGACATGCCTGCCGGTAACATTGTCGGTCTGGTTGGTATTGACCAGTTCTTGCTCAAGTCTGGTACCCTCACCACCTCCGACACTGCCCACAACCTCAAGGTCATGAAGTTCTCCGTCTCCCCCGTCGTCCAGCGCTCCGTCCAGGTCAAGAACGCCCAGGATCTCCCCAAGCTCGTTGAGGGTCTCAAGCGTCTCTCCAAGTCCGACCCTTGCGTTCTTACCTACACTTCCGAGTCTGGTGAGCACGTTGTCGCCGGTGCCGGTGAGCTCCACCTCGAGATTTGCTTGAACGATCTCCAGAACGACCACGCCGGTGTTCCCCTCATCATCTCCGACCCCGTCGTCCAGTACCGCGAGACCGTCGCCAGCAAGTCTTCCATGACTGCTCTGTCCAAGTCTCCCAACAAGCACAACCGTCTGTACATGATCGCCGAGCCCATCGACGAGGAGCTCTCCAAGGAGATCGAGGCCGGCAAGATCAGCCCCCGTGACGATTTCAAGGCCCGTGCCCGCATCCTCGCTGACGACTTCGGCTGGGATGTCACCGATGCCCGCAAGATCTGGACCTTCGGCCCTGACACCACTGGTGCCAACTTGCTCGTCGACCAGACCAAGGCCGTCCAGTACCTCAACGAAATCAAGGACTCCGTCGTCTCTGGTTTCCAGTGGGCCACCCGTGAGGGTCCCGTTGCTGAGGAGCCCATGCGTTCCGTCCGCTGGAACGTCATGGACGTCACCCTCCACGCTGATGCCATCCACCGTGGTGGTGGTCAGATCATCCCCACTGCCCGTCGTGTCCTGTACGCCGCCGCTCTGCTCGCCGAGCCCGCTCTCCTCGAGCCCGTCTTCTTGGTCGAGATCCAGGTTCCCGAGCAGGCCATGGGTGGTGTCTACGGTGTCCTTACCCGCAGACGTGGTCACGTCTTCGCCGAGGAGCAGCGCCCCGGTACTCCCCTCTTCACCATCAAGGCCTACCTGCCCGTCATGGAGTCTTTCGGCTTCAACGGTGACCTGCGCCAGGCCACTTCCGGACAGGCCTTCCCCCAGTCCGTCTTCGACCACTGGCAGGTTCTGCCCGGTGGCTCTCCTCTCGACGCCACCTCCAAGGTCGGCCAGGTCGTCCAGGAGATGCGTAAGCGCAAGGGTCTCAAGGTTGAGGTTCCGGGTGTTGACAACGTAAGTTTATCCTCCGATGCCGTTCCAGTGATCATGAAGCTAACTGTCTGCAGTACTACGACAAGCTGTAAACGCCTTTCCCACGGTTTAATAGAAAATGGCGTTGTGCTTTTTTGGGCACACTTGATGAACTGGGTTTGGTGGATGATATCAAAAATTAAGAGCCCCGTTCTTTCCATAGCTTTCGCGTAGTCTCGGAATGAAGACAATAAGTTCAATATGTCCTTTCATGTTATACGTGTGAAATTTTTGATGATTGCCTCGTGCACCCAAGGTAGATTGGCGAATGTCGTACAAATGGGAGGTACGTCCCGAATGCTGCTCTCTTCGAGAGCTCCAACTGAGCTCGAGTTTTCTGCGTACCTTAGGTACCCGCCATGCCCACTTAGGTTTAAAGTGGGCCTGTCGAAGCGAGGCGCAAATAAAAACTTCAGCCTCGCTCCGTTCTTCTCTCCTTTCAACCACGATCCTTTCAAAATCTACTTCGGGACGCTAAATTTTCGTGTGTTCGAGGGGTTTCCCGCCGAACAACGACAATGACTTCGGCTCATTCTTCCAATACATCATAAGTATCAGACTTATTGATACAGCACGTTTCCCTCATTCCATGATCCGGCGCAAACCCAACCGCGACCATGCTTTTGCCGGAAAAGGACAGCCCGCTGCTCAAGGCATGGCTCATGAACAAACTGCCTGAAGTGTCAGTTCACCGCAGTCCCCTCATCACCTACGACTTCATGCTGACTTTTCTTTTCGCAGCTCTGACACCGAGACGGACATCTTAGCGGACTACATCTTGGCCCTGCTTGCCTCTCAGGAAGGCGACGCCGAGCAGATCCGTGCGGCTTGCGAGGCCGAGCTGCCGCAATTCCTCAACACAGGTCAGCGACGACCGCGTGTGTGTTTCCCGACGCACTGCTGACTATAGGCCAGACACTGCCCCCGAATTTGTTGACGAACTGTTCCGAATCATCGAACACAAGTCCTACCTTCCCGGCGCACCTCCTCCACCCCCGAAGCTGCGTCCGACGGCGGCAAGCTTCGCTCCCCTCAATGCGCCAACAGCGCCTTCCGACCTCCTGCCGCAAACCGGGTCGAGGAAGCGCTCTTACCACGAGAGAGGCGACGTGAGCGCGTCGGACGACCGCGGCTTTGGCTACGGTGAAGAGAGGGCGTACAAGCAACCCCGGCGGGGCCCATGGGATACGAGGACGTCAACCCCGAGAGGGAATGGCGGTCCGGACGAATATCCCAGCCAGCCTTACGCCGCCGCCAGTCTTCAGCAACCCCCGCCTGAGGCTGGTGCGTATGACCCGAACTATCCCCAGCCGCCCACTGGTCCTCAGGGCTGGCGCGATGTTCCGCCTCAGATGCCAGTCTACCCCCAAGCCCCGCCGTACGGGCCCACCCCAGGTCAGCGAAGGAGCAGGCAGAGATGCCGCGACTTTGCGACTAAGGGATACTGCAGTCGCGGAAATTCGTGCCAGTATGATCACGGCATCGAGCCCATCTGGGTGCCGCCCAGCGGTCCCAGTGGGCCTCCTCAATTCGAGGGTGAGTACCTTTTCTGCACTGTGTCTTTTTCCTCCATCTGTAGCATGATGACAACTTCCGTCCGAGCATTTATGCGATGACTTTACAATTTTATTATAAGGTTGACTACTGAAAGCTACATCTCAATCATCTTTTTCCTCGCAAAACATGGCTTCATGGCATTGAATGAGGGCTAATCATTACCCAGGTTTCGATGCTCGTGACGCAGCGATGATGATGTCGAAGAACTTTCAGGCAATGCAGCAGCTCATGGAGGCTTTCAACGCCGAACACGGAGGTCGATCTTCTAAGAGGGGTCGTCAAGGGACTAAGGGTCGGCGACGTCAGAATCGAGCCTCGTTTTCAGCGGAAGGGCCTGTCCACGACAAGACGAAGACCACTATCGTGGTTGAGAACATTCCGGACGAGCATTTCTCCGAAGAAGCAATTCGCGACTTCTTCTCAGAGTTTGGCAATATCGAGGAGGTCTCCTTGCAGCCAAACAGGAGAATCGCAATCATCAAGTACGATTCTTGGAAATCTGCCAACGCCGCCTACCGGTCTCCCAAGGTTATCTTTGACAACCGTTTCGTCAGAGTCTTCTGGCACATGGACGAAGCAGACAGGTTGGCCGCAGCAACTGGCGCATCCAACACCGATGGTGGTGGGGAGCAACATCCGCCCGAGCCTGAATTCGACATGGAAGAATTCCTGCGGAAGCAAGAAGAGGCCCAGAGGCTTTACGAGGAAAAGTTGCAAAAGAAGAAGGAGCTCGACAAGCAGCGTCAGGAGCTAGAGCAGCGGCAAAGGGAGCTTCTTGCGCGACATCGCGAGGAACAGCAGAAACTCCAAGCGAAATTGGGTTCCAAGTACGGCGGTGCGGGGGATGACGAACCGGGCTCGCTGAACTCGGCTCTCCGTGCGCAGCTCGCGGCCCTTGAAGACGAGGCTAAGCTCCTCGGCTTAGACCCGAGCGAAACGGATGAGCCTACACCCTGGTACGCAAGCGGTCGAGGTAGAGGTCGAGGCCGAGGCGGATTCCGCGGGCGCGGCTTTGCTCCTCGCGGCAGAGGATCGTACCGCGGCGGATACAGGGGCGATGTCCACGCAGCTTATGCGGCGTATTCTCTAGACAACCGCCCCAGGACTGTGTCCGTCACTGGTGTCGACTTTACATCGTCAGGGAAGGACGAGGCTCTACGGCAACATCTTCTCGTAAGTATTCATCCTGTCGCAAGAATTTTCAGGCTTGCTAACAGTCATCCCAGGGCGTCGGCGAGTTCACCGACATCAACACCACTCCGTCAAAAACTCAAATCACGTTCAAGGATCGGAAGACGGCAGAGAAATTCTACTATGGCTTGTCGAACCAGGAGATCCCTGGCGTCGACGGCCAGGTTGAGCTGTCGTGGGTGGCAACGCCTCTTGCACCGGTCAAGACTGCGACGGAAAACGGAATGTTCAAACCGGAGCCCGTGGACCAGGATGTGGCCATAGGAAACGCTGCTCCTAACGGGTCTTCGGCGATTACTCTTGACCAGCAGCCCGAGCAACAGCCGGAGATGGATTACGACGTCGCAGACGATGACGATTGGGGAGTTCAGTAGGGAGCATCTCAATCCTTATCGTAGATCGTGGAAGCTCTGATTATGGGTATCTGGAACGTGACGATGAAGCGGAGACTTCATGATTGATGATTACTGTAGTACTATTGCTCATATACCCCGATCGGCCCTCTAGGGCTTTCTAGCCATTCCTAGACTCAGAATGGTCATAGTGGCGTTGAAGAAGGCACGCCACAGATGAGAATTGATACAACGATCGATACTCGGTAATGCTCGTTTTGATGTCCGTGGCGGCTTGTGTGTTCGCGTTCAACGCTGCTCTTTTTTCTCCCTGGGTTTTTATATGTTTTACATCCCGTCCTGAAAACCTGGCCAGCTGGTTCTCACTTTGCACCGCAGATCGCCGTCAGGTCTAAAGCCTCAGAAAGTTCACCTGCGAAAAGACGGAGCCGTCAACATGAGGTACTATGATCGAGGTAGAAACAAAAGGCTGGGTACCACTTCAAAGCTAGTTTTTCTGGAGAATGATGCCGAATCTGTTTCTCGATGAGATATGCGTCCTCCTTGCTACGTGGTAAAGTCCAGCAAAGATTTCGTTGTCAATTATGAAGAAAGGGTCCTTATCTAATGTGATGTTGAAGTCCGAAGGGAAAGGAAAGAGCAGTTACTTGTTGGGCTCTACAGCCCGTCTGCAATAAGTTGTTAATCGTTAAACACTAGAGCAATCTCAATTATAGGTATAATCTAACAACACATTCGGACAGTGGTATAAGTGCCATTCGATCATACGTGCCTTTCTCCCTCGGGCATTTTATTTCCCATGCCGCGTGTGTGTTGTAAACTTGACTCAACAACAGTACTGAGCAACAAACGACGTCCGACACACATACGGAGCCCGGCGTCCATTGTGGGGCCGGATGCCGACCAGTCCGGGCGGCGTAGCCGAGTGACAGCCCGGACCATACATGGTTCACAGCGGCATGCAATAGGACTCGAGCGGATCCGCCAAGGAAGTAAGTATTCCGAGTCAAGGCGTGAACTATAGATCATGGCTGGCTAGTACGTTTCGGACGATGGCTCTGCTAGCATCCAAGGGAGTTTGAATTCCCCCTCTTTCTCCTCTTTCTCCTCTTCTGCTCCTCATCTTAGGCGAACTATGCCGTCTTTTGGGCTGGGCCGGGACATGACCCTCCTTGCTGCCCAGCGAAGTCACTTGCGTCGTGCGGCACTGCTGAGTTTTCTCAGTGGTGAAGGAAGGGTGCTGGGCGTAACAGATGACAGACGCAATGCAAGTCGGAAACCGCATCATACCTAACCTACGCAACCCACACATCCCAGACATCCGTGAGTCTACGTGTGGGAACACAAGGTCAAGTGCCAGCGCAGAGTGGAGAAATGGGAAGCAGTTTGCTGGATTCCGGCGGGTGCAGGACAGGATTGCCAGATTTGCTACCTTAGGGTCGGCTTATCGGACCAAGGGACACTCATCACCGACGTGTTGTTTGTGTGGTCTTGCAAGTTGTTGGTTGTTGGCTGATTGGCTTGGGGGGGAGCGAGGCGATAGGCAGGCCAAGGGTCTCCTTCTTCCGGGCAGGGCCCATGACCCCTCTGGGAGTAGTGGCGCCTCGCTAAGTTGGTTCCTGTGCAGCTGACCAGTCCCTTCCCGATAGCAGTCCATTGCAGCAGGCCTCCCGGGGGGAGGCATTCACCGACTGGATCCCCCGTCCGCTACCGCCATAAGCTGAAGCAAACCCCTTGTCTGAGTGAGTCTGAGCTGGTCCACCGTCCAGCGGCAGCGACCTGCCATGCAGTGCCTTCCTCCATCCACGAACGACAGCTGCATGAAGCGGGAAAGAAGGTGAACTAGGTACCTCCTACCTTACCTGGACGAGCGCACTGTTGACCGCAAGACACACCAACCTCTTTAGTTTCCAACGCCATCTCCCTTTCGCATTAATCTCTTTTCTTCTCGCCTCAAGATAGCCTCGTTTTCGCCAAATTACAGCGGCCGGCGAACCACCGGCACCCTTGCTTGACTCGGAAACAAGTCAGGGACAGGGAGCGAAATCGGGGGTGTTGGCGCGTGCGGTTCACTTATGACGTCCTACCGCCCTGGATGCCGCAGCCATTTACGGAGTATTTGTTAAAGAATAATTAACCTGGTGACTAACACCACAAAACACCTGACAAAGACACACCACTATCCGAACGAGGCATGACCGACGGCTTCTTGACTACCGCCAATATTGCGAACGCGACTTCAGATCTGAACCACAGCCGTGCTGTGGTTCAGATTCCCCCGACCGAATGCCCATCTTCCAAGACGACCTCGATCTCGACCACCCGGAGTCCACTGCTGGAGCTCCGGGGGCAGAGCCACCACATCCCATTACCATACACCGTCAGCAGACCATGGCCCCGTCCCTGACGAGAAAGCTGTCCGAAGAAAGTATTCGGACAGACCTTTGCGAAGGGCCCATGCTCGAAAGCCCGCGACCTTCGACCCCCGACAACGATACTGCCGCAGTCACGTCCGACCGAGCCGAGCTGATCGAGCGCTTAAAGAGAGGCGAGAGCCCGACTTGGATCCCTAACCGCCATGTAGGGTCTCCCGAAGTTGCCAGAGATGGTCTTCGTACTCACAGTATCACACAGCTCGAGTCGCTGTTCAACAATCTCCCCCGTCCGACCACGCCACGAAGCTCGCGCCCGCCATCGAGCTCCTCCAATCTCCTGCCTTCCGCGAACATCACCCCAGAGAAGAGCGACGGATCGAAAGAGGAGGATGAAAGGGTACGAGAGGGATTAAGCATACAGAGGCCAAGATCCGCCTTGCACAGCGGCGACTTCACTGAGGATCAGCCGCGGGCAGTCCAGCAGCCGGCGCAAGAGTCGGAGGACAACCAATGTGCGAACGAATTCCTGACATCCCGCACTTCGTGGATTGCGACGTCACCTCCCCGGGACTTTTCCTCGTTTCACTTCGACAGGAGGATACCGTTTCCGTCTTCAAACGATGACTTCCGATCCGTGCCGTCGTCTTTGTCCTCGTCCTTCTCTTCTAGCTTCGTTTACAAGCCTCCGACCAGTCCGCTAGTCCAGTCGGAGAGCAATGACGACCTCGACCTGTCGCTTCCGCTGAACAGTATCGATATCGCGGCGAGCCCTTTGGGCATCAACTCACGTCGCCATACCTTGAACTCAACAGTCTCGTCGCCGTTTGCTTTCACGTCACCCAGCTCTGCCGCACTCCACCGACGAGCTTCACAACGGGGCAGTGGTGCTCTGCCCTACCAAGCCCATCAGCCACGCCGCTCCCTTACGTCGGCCCCCAACGCTCCGCTCCCTGCGACCTCACCGCAGACGCCGTCGCTTCTGAGACCCCGGCGACCGTCCTTCAACAACCCTGACGCGTCGCCCTTGCAGCATGCCTCCATGGTTGGGTCGTATGAGGAGAGCATTCTTCGAGGTCGCATGTCGACCACACCGTCCAAACCGCTCGATTTTCTCGCTCAGATCGGAGTGCTCGGTCTCGGCAAGTGTAAGTCGAGCTTGAGGTGCCCGGCGCACGTGACTTTGCCGTTTCCTGCGGTTTTTTACAGCTATGGGGGAGCTTCACAGGGCCGCGTAAGCTCAGAAGATGGACCTAGTCCATATGTTGGGCAGATTGACCTAGAAAATGGCCTGTCGAACCCCGAAGAGGGCCAGCGAGCGAAGAGAAAGATGCAGAGCAGGTATGCGGAGCGGAAGATCGCCGAAGACGACGTGGTGATGGGCGAGGCTTCTATGGTGGCAGATGGTTCGGATCTTGACGCACGCAAAGCGCAGCGATCAAAACGGCGATCTGGATCTCCAAGAGCTCCACCAGGTGGTAGCTACCGGATTCCCGAAAAGGGGCAGGTTCAAATTGTGATTAAGAATCCGAACAAGACGGCTGTCAAACTGTTCTTGGTGCCGTATGATCTGGCAGGGATGGAACCGGGAACGAAGACGTTCATCCGACAGCGCAGCTACTCTGCCGGCCCGATCATTGAGAACGCCCCAGGACTCGAGGAGAACGCTGAGCCAGGCAAGCCCATCTTGCGGTATCTCGTGCATCTGCATATTTGCTGTCCGGCAAAGGGTCGGTACTATCTGTACAAGAGCATTCGCATCGTCTTCGCCAACAGAGTACCCGACGGGAAGGAGAAGCTGCGGAACGAGACCACTTGTCCGGAGCCTCGGTACACCCCGTACAAGCCCATTCGGGTTATGCACCCGCCGTTGTCCAACAGTAGCGGACCTGCAGCAACACTTGCAGCTGAAAAGGCCTTCAGACGGCGGAGTTCCGGCTTTCCATTCGGCCCGTCAATGTACGCTCTCGACGCGGCCGATGGGCTTTCGCATTCGCCGCAGAAAGCGGCAGGACAACACTCATCTGCGTCACCCTTCAGCTTCAGCGGCGATAATCAACCAGTGGAACCCGTTCCGTTCGCCCTCTCGGGTCGGGCGCGTCTGGGAAGCGACATCAGCGACTGCACGAGTACAACGACTACCACTGCAGACGTTCGCTCGCCGCAGTCGCCCAGCAGACCGACGACGAACAATGGCTGGGATGCCCAGATCGCGAAATATGAAAAACTGAACAAAGGCGACGTCGGCTATGGTGGGCTGTCCGGACGCGTGAGCCCGGGCGGCACGGAGGGGCTTCTCTCTCAAAGACTTCGGTCCCTCGGAGTACAGAACCAGGGCAGAGCGACTTTGGAAAGAAGAGAGAGTCAGGAGTAAGTCAAATACTGTACATAACTCATCTCAAACTTATTCACTACACCGGATGATATGGGTACACGGATTCAAAGGGCGGAGTTTCACGGGATAGGATTGGCCTGGTTATCATAGAAGGCGTTAAGGAACTCGTTGCGTGTGCTCAGCAGCCGCGCTGTCGATACAGAATATCACTACGATTACATATGCGGGCGTAGTCGAGTGCGAGATCACCGCGCGGGTTGTTACGATTGCGTCTCTTCAACGTCACTAAATGTTCTAGCCGCGTTCGAAGATCAGTCTGCAGCCCCCTGAGATCCGACGGGGTCGAAGTCTGTCCGCTTCCGAGTGCGAACAAAGATTTGCCTCGGACGCCGCGGCCCTCACTTTATTTTTAAGGTGTCTCTGGATGACACAGACTTTGAGGCTTTGCGGCGACAAACATGAGTTGAAGGCGACGTCAGGCGGATTGCATAGTACGTCGAAACAAACAGAGTCAGTTCACTATGCGGGAAGCTTACTGACTGCGACCCCAGGACCATGACTACAGGATTGATGACATGGTTATCAAGGCCGAGAATCCTGTGATCCTCTCGCGACCCGCGCAACCCTTGCTAAGAGCATTCTCAAATACTGCTCAACGTCTGCCAACCTCGCATGCACGGAATTCTCGCGCACGTATTCGGGACTGTCAATCGGGGCCTTATATCGCTATCCGTTGTCGACATCAGATGGTTTCACTCCGGCACGCTCGCGCCGTAGGACGCAGCGGATGAAACGCCTTCGCCTTCGGGCAACTGGGGCTGAGCGCAGTCTGCCCTCTGAAGTTGCCGGCTGATGAGTGTCTGTCATCAATGCAACGAGGAGCAACAAGAGGCGGGCTCGATTGTGAGGGCTCTTCTCATTTGTGTTTGGTCGTTTGAGCTGAACCAGAGCACGTAATGCCGTGCCGGCGGCCGTGGACTACGTCGTTCCTCGTTCGGCTCATGTTGTGGTGTGTAGGTGACGCATTCTCCCCAGAGGCACGTCAGAGCTTTTTCTGAAATACCCCGACCGGCCCCGAATCCTTCCCATCGCGGCGGTCACTTAATATCCCACCTATTTGGACGATCGATCTTGGTCACTTTGCGGCTCGGCGGATCCGGTCCGCACTTACTCTTGGGCGATCCCCCCACCACAACACCAAACGAAACATCACGCACTTCTTCCTCAAGGGGCAAGACTTCACCAATAAGGCTCGATGAGGCCGGCTGTTGTCCTGTCGGCGGCGCTGCTGGGCCAGCAGGTGACGGCATTGTCGATCCCTCAGACGAGCGCCGTCGAGAAGAGCAGCGGCGAGGAGAAACGGGACTTGTCGGGTCTGCTGTCCGGCGCTCTCGACGTGCTGGATGCGATCCCCGGCATCGTGAACCAGGCCGTGAACACCACCATTCGCGTGGTGAGAGCGTTGAAGGAGACGGTTGATGAGAACGGGCTGCTGAGGGATGACTTGACGACCATTCTCGGCCTGAATACGACAACCGGAATGCCTCTTAACTCAACGGCGAAAGTCACATGTCCGGACGTGGCCGTCGTTTTTGCCAGAGGGACGAATGAGCCAGGTATGCTGCGAGTCATGCCATTTTGGCCATTTAGATACTGACATGCACTCAGGAAACGTGGGCTTCCTCACCGGGCCTCCGTTCTTCGACGCCCTTAGAACTTACATGAACGGCACCGGCACCATCGCGGTGCAGGGCGTCAACAACTACCCCGCCGTCGCCGCGGGATTCTTCGCGGGAGGGTCTCCCAACGGCGCCGCCTTCATGTCGCAAGTGGCCAGGCAGACGCAGTCCATGTGCCCCAATACCAAGCTCACCATGTCGGGATACTCGCAGGGCTCGCAGGTCGCGCGCCTGGCCATCTCGCAGATGCCGCCCGACGGGCAGGCCAAGATCTCCAGTGTCGTGCTCTTTGGCGATCCGCTCGGCGGCAGGGCGATACCGGGCGTCGACTCGAGCCGGCTGCTCGTCGTGTGCCACACCGGGGACAACATATGCCAGGGCGGCGACTTCATCTTCGACCCGCACCTGAACTACAGCCTCGACGCGCCGACGGCGGCCCTGTTCGTGATGCAGCGGAGCAGGCTCGGCATGGCGAGTCGAGACGCGCAGAATGAGGGAATGGGCGACACGATGGTGGGAAAGGTGCAGGACATTATGCACACTGGGAAGTAATGGGGGAACGACGTCGCTGGATGAGGTTATGAGGCGATGAGATTGTCATTCTTGTGAAGATATATTTGTAGACTTTGGGGTGAGTTTCTTAGTAAAGAAAAGTTCGTATTGGTACACTTTTTGCGCCCCCGCAACAAAAGTCAAATGAAACCGCCATTCTATAGTCGCTTGATATATGCCTCGCCAACATCAACATACACGTCTCGGTCGTTATGTACAAGATGTCCTACTATTCGTACCCATCGCTCGGCTTACTTGTTGACTTCGTCCTCCTTTATCCCCCTTACACCAGCCTCCTTTACATCGGCCTCCTCAGGGTCGACATCTTTGGCATCGGTATCCTTCGCGTGGTCTTCTTCCACGTCTGCGTCCTCCACGTTGGTTGCCTTGGTGTTGAGTTCCGCAGCACCCATCTGCTTTACGTCAACTTCCTTGGCGTTGATCTCCTCGGCCTCCTTCACATCATTCCCTACCACACCAGCTTCTCTGGATTCGATCTCGTTGACATCGTTCCCCGCGCCCGTCTTCTTGGCATCGCCCTTCGCCTCCTGCACACTTACACGTATTTCGTACCCATCCCTGGTGTACCTCTTCCCCGATAATCTATCAACGGTTCTCTTTCCAAAAACAACCGCCTCGATGCCGACACCGGAATATTCAATGGTGTCCCAGGCGTTCATCAGGCGAGGACAACGCTCTTTGGCGGTGCGGATTTTGTGCGAGGCCGTGGTTGACCAAGGCGCCATGGCTTTCGTCTTGATGTAGTCTCTAGCAAGCATGGAGATCGTGAAGGAAGTCGCACGCATCCAGTGCGGCGCGCTGCCCCGCCGGCGCTCGTCGAGCGGAGCTCTGTGTCTCGCGCGGGCTTCGGAGCGCCTCTCTCTCTCGGAGGGCATGAGACCCTCCTCGACTTCGACGCGTCTCACTTGCCATCCGCGGAAGGTGGGCATGAGGTGTTCCTCGCAGAGCTCGCAGGCCTCAAGCCAAGCGCCCACGTCAGCCATCGCCTGACAGACCAAGTTCATCGTGACCTGGTCGAACTTGAATCCGGCCTGTAACACGCTCTTGATGATTGCCTGGAATCCTCTAGAGTCGTTCTGGTCGATAAAAACCTCCCGTAACGCTTTAACGGGAGAACACAGGATATAGGCATATTTGGGCAAAGCATTTTCGCCTTTGTACTTAGCTGGGTGGCCCTTTTTACGGGCATGTTCCCAGATGAGTCTCCAGTCTGCCCTGGCCGCATCGTACTTCCTCTCCTGGACGTTTTCCTTCAATGACGTGCAGAGCATCTGGAAGGAAACGTCGCTAGGGTCGGTCCCAGGCGGCTCGAGTCCAAGCTCTGTTCGTAGCCGCTGCATCTCCTTGACCAACTCAAAGTCGCCGCCCTTCGAGAAAATGGAGATGGCTCTAGGCAGAAACCGACGGAGCCGATGGAGCGAGTCTGCCCTCCGAATTGAGTTCCGTCCCTGCCCATCGCTGTCTTCTACCTCCCCTGTGCTGATGTTGTCGAGCATCTCTTGTATGTACGAGGCCAATAGCTCTCTAAAGTCTTGCTGCGGCCGCACCGCTCGGCGCCTGTAAGTCTGTCGCCTAATCAACGAATCGACATGCAGGATGATTGAGTCGGCTGTCTGCGCTGCGCCGACACGCTTCCTCATCTTCTCCGTGGCGCTGACGATGCCCAATTCGTGAGTACGCAGACCTCCGTCCATGACGGTTGCAAAGTGCTCGGAGGTGAGTTTGAAATTCGTGTCTCGGATAGCCCTCCGGAGGATTCTGTACGCACTATGGGTCTGCCTACATCGCACAAGGGCCCGTAGGAGCACATTGTGTGTGTTTGACGTCCATTCGACCTGGACCTTGGCCATAATGCCCACAATGCGGCACACTTCGCTGAAGGCCCGACGCTCCGAGTGAGCGTGCAGTAACACGTTCCAGAGATCAGCCTTTTCGCCCGGAAGCTTCTGCCTGCTTGCCCTTATACAAGTTTCAAGGGCATCTCCATATCGCAAGTTCATGCAAAAACCGCGAACAACAGCTGCCCATAAGCTGATGCTCAGAGGAACCCTCATCAGTGCCGCCCTCTTGAACAGCTCCGCTGTCCTGGCCGAATCCCCATGAGATGCCGTCAAGGACATGACGGTGGCAAAAGTGAACTCATCCGGGGTGACTGCATCGCAAAGATCGTTAAACACCGACAGGGTGTTGTCATAGGCATTCGAGTGAGCTTGACTTTTGAGAAGAATGTTCCAGCTGACGAGGTTCGGTGTTACCCCATACTTGTCCCTCATCCTATCGAAGGCTCGGCGAGTACCCTCGGCATCTCCGGTGCTGGCATACGCGTTCAGGATGTGATTGAAAGTCTCGGGCTCCTGGAGGATCTTGCGGTGCTTGTACGTCTGAACATAGTTGTCCCAGAAGCGCTCGAGAGATTTCACGTCGCCGCGGGAGGCATAAAACTTGAGGAACTTCCGAAAACCCCACTGGTCCAGCCCCTGATAGCTGACTTGGTAGTCTTCGTACACCTGTTCAAGGCCTTCGATATCATGAGGATAGAAGATTTCGAACATGCCGTGCAAAATTCGCCAGTACGGCTTTGTGCCGGGAAAGGACCGGTAGGTGCGGTAAACCTCCGGGAGGCCTTCGCGCTGCCCTCGCTGGATGGCCTCGTCAAGATAAATGTTGTACCACTTCACTTGGTCGACAATCTTCAGTAGCGGAACGGCGTCTTCTGGCTTGCATGGTTGCTGGAGTGCTCGTCGCGCCGCCTTCTTGAGAACAATGTCGAGTCGCCTCTGATTATCGTTTTCTTCTGACCTGACTTCTTCTGCAAACCGAAGCACAGAGTCCCCAAGGTTTGCAATCTTGGCCAAGCGATTCAACTCTCCGCACTTGATGCCGTGAGCCTCGAAAGCCCCGTGGTATGCGGTCCAGACCGTCTTGATCATGTCCCATTTGCCTCTGCCGAAAGAATACTCGAGCAAGTTGTCAAGTCCGCCCAGAATCTTCTTGTGCAAGCCATCGAGAAAGAGGTTGACCGCCTCACGTTCGTTGCCGAAGCGCAAGTGGGCGTTCACCACTGACGTCAGAACTGCGGGCGTCCACTGGTCTTTTTTGAGTTCAGCAGAGAGGAGAATGATCCTGCGAGAATCTAGAAGCTGCGCGGATCGATAAAGATACACAATGACTTCGGGACGGAGCTCTGGCATCAACTGGGGCTCGAGCTGGGCGAACAATTGCCATATTGACCCAAAGTACTCGGTGTCCCGGGTCGCCATCAGCTCCCTCATCAAGTCGGGACGAGATCCCGCGCCGGCATATGAGGGGCCGCTGTGCGTTCGACTCGTATTCAGCGCGTCCGCATCCGTGATGAGCCAACGGGCAGCCTCCGGATCGAGTGAGAATATATCATCCTCGGGCGCCGTCTCTCGGTTGTTCCCTGCCTCTTCCTGCTCTCGTGCAGCATCTTGCAGCTCGGTCTGTGCCAGGGATTCCTTGAGACTCATTCCTTTCTTTCGCTTGCTACGTGCCGGAGCTTCGGCCCTTGCGGCTGCCACAAGTCGCTCGAAAGAATCCGGCTGCGAGTCTTCTGCGGCAGCGACAGTTGCAGATGAGGTGAAGAGTCGACTCCTCCGAGGCAGTCTTTGTATTGACGAGGCTTTTCGATCGCAGAGGCCCGGGGCGAGTCTGCGCATCATTGCGGCTGCGCCACTGGGATAGAGGAAGTCGAGTAAGAAGGTGGACGCGGCAAGGCTTTCGGCAGGCGTTGATTGTGCGGACGGCGGCTCGGAGGAAGCTGGATCAGCATCATTGCTGTACGGAGAAAGCAAAGGGCTGTGGATGTCTATGGAAGCCGCGCCATGTTGCCAAAAGCCGGTGTGCAGCTGGCGACGGCTTTTGAAGGAGTGAGTGGCGGATGGAAGAGCATGGAGACTGGCGCATGATTCCAGGGTCGCCGCCGTTCTCTCCAGCATTGGGAATGAGGCCGTCACCGACGCGAGAGCTGATGACTAGGTTCGGAGGGCATGAAGAGGGCTTCCAAGCATGCTGTTCACTACCGTGTTGTCGTCGATCTCGGTTGTTCGCTGGGGTCCGTCGCGTTCGGACGGAAAAGTTTTTGGTGGAGAACCGGCGTTCGAATCGAAGACGTCGATGACGGAACGAGTTGCCTCGACTAGTCCCGAGACTCCTAGAGAATGCTTCGGACACCGCACGCGTCAATTGCAAAAAGGAAATCTACTAGCAGTCTGACTGGAAACAAACTGTACGAAGGCTATTATTTCCATAGCACTGACGAGTGCGCATGAGAATTCAAACCCCATCCCAAGGCCAGAATATGGTATCAGTTCATTATCCACACGCCATCGTGACTTTTCTGGGGAGCTTTGGCCAATCAGATTTGCGAAAGGGAACAACATCAGTCCGGATTCCGCTGTCCTGGTCCCCTAAATTGTGCTCCTTCCAGAGGTGTGGGGTTCCAGGAATTATGCATGTTATCGGTGATTGGCTATGTCGGGAGTAGGTCTAGCATAACGTTTTTCTCCTCACACACCCCAAATTTTTGACAGCGACCACACCACTGGGCTCGAAAGGACAGGAAACTGAATGTGAGCCCCACCATCCATCCCCCCGCGCAGCGCAGAGCTCGGTTCGACATCACTCGACCTCGTCACCTTACGGATACCGGGCGCCATACTTCGCCGCGACGGCTACGACGACCAAACGCCCAATCGCCGACGCCGCCGCAACCATGGACATCACCAAGTTCGTCGTCTCTGGGCGCGACGCGGCCCTGCTCTACGGAGACTACGCAACCTACCAGTCCCAGCTGGCCAAAAAGCTGTTGAACAGCCGTAAGAAGGTGGGCATCGCCACTAAGAACCGCGGCAAGTTCAACAAGAAGAACGAGGTGACCGCTTCTCAGCTGTCCGAGAACCATGAGTAAGCTGCGCCGCCCAGCTGCCTATTCAGCTCGCTGACCGCCTCAAGATACATCCACCTCCTGCTGCTCACGAGCGAGCGCGCCTGGGCCAATGCCATGGCCATCAAATCTTCGCACACTTCCGACGCGAAGGGTGTGACCGGAAAGACTCGTTCGCACATTGTTTCACGACTCAACAAGGCAGCAAACGTGGCCGAACAGCTCGTCGAACTGCTGGCTCAGCCCGAAGCCAGCGCCACCGAAAACGACAAGCTCGAATCGCGAGCTTATGCTGCACAGATTCGGGGCGCCGCCCAGTTCGAGAACCAACACTGGGAACAATCGCTGCGAAGTTATGCTGTTGCTCGTATCATCTACAGCGCCATGGCCACGTCTACCAAGGGCGACATCTTCAAGGATCTTCTGTCAGACACCATCGATCCATCAATCCGCTACGCCGCATACCAGCTGAAGACGCCGCGCACGATACCGATTCCTGCGATCGCAAGACGAGCTTTTCCCCAGTCTGATTCCACCCTGGTCCAACAAATCAACAATCTCGATCCCACTCTCCTGAAGCAAGCGGATGGCGAGGCAAACAAGGCAGGCGACAGCGCGGAGAACGCCCCCAGAACCCTCACGTGGCGCTCGCGTGAGGTCAAGATAGAAGATGCCGCAATCTCCCTCGCATGGGGCAGAGTGGAAGAGGCTAAGGTCCAATTGGCGCAACAGTGGCCGTCCCTCGCCGCTGCCGAGTCCAAGGATGTTGCCGCGGCCTATGACTCCATTCTTGAAGCTACTCAAGATGCTGCCGACGCGACGAAGGAAGCGATAGATGAGCTGCGTGGAGAAGGTGTCTCTCAGAGCGACTCTCGCATGCAGAGCCTGCAAATCACCAGAACCGCCGTCAACTACGAGATGATCAGCTGGCGCGTTGGTCGCAACCGCGTGTTGACAGGAAAAGACGACGGCCTGGTTGAGAACTACAGCTTGTCACAGAAGACGTCCAAAAAGATGGTGGAAAAGAAGCGCAAGGAGGAGACCCCGAGTCGCAAGGCAGCCAAGCTGAAGGAGTTGGTTGCCCTCTACGAGGGTACTTTGCAGAGCTTGGATGCTGCCAAGGAGCTACCAGGTGTGGCCAACGACGAGGGTCTCGCAGACCAGCTCGAGGCCTTTGCTGAATATTTCCGTGCCCTCAAGTGAGTTTGTCTTTTCTGTCAATTGATCCTCTGACTAACCGGATAGGTCGCTTTCCATTGCCCGCTCCCACGCCATCATCGGCAACACGGTCAACGCTTTGGCTCTGATTAAACATGCATCTGAAGAAGCCCACAGAGCCGTAGCAGCCCTGTCCGGCAGCTCACAAGACGCAGCAACATCTCCCCGCAACATCGAGGTGTCTGGAAAAGACGCCCAGAGCCTGCAGAACTTCCTTGAAGGCGAGCTTCAGCGTCACCGTGCGCTCGTGCACCTGTCCAACTTGCTCAAGGACTCCAATACCAACGAGGACGATGCCAAGTTCATTCCGTTGATCGAGCGGCTACACGAGTACCCTGCGAGCGGAGTCGATCTAGGCAACCTCGTGAGCATCCCGCCACAGTTGGCGACCATTCCTGTCAAGCCCATCTTCCTCGACGTTGCTTGGAACTACATCGACTATCCGGGCAAGGAGCCTCAGGAAGTCACGCAGCCTAGCAAGCAAACCGCTGTTGGCAGTGAGAGCAAGCCGGAGCAGCCGCAGAAAAGGGGGTGGTTTGGCTTTGGTAGATAATGAAAAAAGCGAATACAAGACGGGCCTTTGGCCGTTTATGACCTCGATAACTGCGAACGATCTTTGCCGTGTACAACTGCCCACGTTGTCCGGATGCCGACCGCAATCTACAATCGCATTCAACGCATGTTTTGGGTCCTCAGAAGACAGAAAGACTTTTTACAACATTTATTTTGTTTTGAGAGGGGATGTAGATTATTCACATCTAACTACTCCAGAATCGGTTTGGTTTTGTACATATGCAACCCCGTCTTTTCCCCTTGATCCATGCCATCGATCATATCATGAATACCGTAAAGGCATCTCGTGTGAATGTTTTGATGCTCCAACGCCGGTTCCGCCGACCGCAGGTATTAACAAACATCTGTAAAAGGGGTAACAAGGAAGAGAGAACGGTCAGATTCGACCGCAAGTATGAGTACAGTGGAATACATAACAAGTGATAAGGAATTCTATGCCGCCGTAGTCAAACATCGTGGCGAGCCCGGTCGGGGTCTCGTGGTTGTGGTATAAGAAGTTGAACTGAGAAACGTGGAGAAGTCATTTAAGGCTTCTTCTCGTCCTTGTTCTCGGAGGCGTTGGCGTCCTGGGCGGGCTGCTCGCCAGCCTCGGCACGGGCCTTGTGCATCTTGTCGAAGAGGTTCAAGCTGGCAACCTGGAGCTCGTCGGTCTTCTCCTTGATCTCGGTGGCGGTGGCGTTGCCCTCGCCAGCCAAGCTCTTGGAGACGAACTCGCGGAGGGAGGCGATCTTCTCACGGATGCCGTCAGCCTCGGTCTTGTCGAGCTTCTCGGCGTACTCGTTGAGGGCACGCTCGGTGTCGTTCAGGACGCTGTCGGCGCGGTTGGCAGCCTCGATGGAGCCCTTGCGCTCCTTGTCGGCCTCGGCGTACTTCTCAGAGTCCTCAACCATCTGCTGGATCTCAGAGTCAGACAGACCAGAGCCGGAGGCAATGGTGATGGACTGGTCCTTGTTGGTGGACTTGTCCTTGGCGTGGACGTGGACAATGGAGTCGGCGTCGATGTCGAAGGTGACCTCGATCTGAGGAACACCACGGTGGGCAGGGGGGATACCGACGAGCTGGAAGTTGCCGAGGAGCTTGTTGTCACGGACGAGCTCACGCTCACCCTGGTAGACCTTGATCTCGACAGCGGTCTGGAAGTCGGCAGCAGTGGAGAAGGTCTGGGACTTCTTGGTGGGGATGGTGGTGTTGCGGTTGATCAGGCGGGTGAAGACACCGCCGAGGGTCTCGATACCGAGAGACAGGGGAGTGACATCGAGCAGCAGAAGGTCCTTGACCTCACCAGAGAGAACGGCACCCTGGATGGCGGCACCAATGGCGACAGCCTCGTCGGGGTTGACAGACTTGGCGGGGTCACGGCCGAAGATGCTCTTGACGGACTCGGAAACCTTGGGCATGCGAGTCATACCACCAACGAGGATGACCTCCTGGATGTCCTTGGCCTGGAGGTTGGCGTCCTTGAGGGCCTTGCGAACGGGGTCAATGGTGCGGGTGATGAGGGGGTCGACCATCTTCTCCAGCTGAGCACGGGTGAGCTTCTGGTTGATGTGCTTGGGGCCAGAGGCGTCGGCGGTGATGAAGGGCAGGTTGATGTCGGTGGAGAGGGAGGAGGAGAGCTCGATCTTGGCCTTCTCGGCGGCCTCACGGATTCTCTGGATGGCCATGCGGTCGTTGGACAGGTCGATGTTGGAGTCCTTCTTGAACTGCTGGACGAGGTGGCGGACGAGGTGGATATCGAAGTCCTCACCACCCAAGTGGGTGTCACCGTTGGTGGACTTGACCTCGAAGACACCGTTCTGGATCTCAAGAACGGAGATATCGAAAGTACCACCGCCAAGATCGTAGACAGCGATGACGCTGTCGTTCTGCTTCTCCAAGCCGTAGGCCAGAGCGGCGGCGGTGGGCTCGTTGACAACACGGAGGACGTTCAGGCCGGCGATCTGACCAGCATCCTTGGTAGCCTGACGCTGGGAGTCGTTGAAGTAGGCAGGGACGGTGACGACGGCGTTCTTGACGGGCTTGGAGAGGTAGGCCTCAGCGGTCTCCTTCATCTTGTTGAGGACGAAACCACCAATCTAGGTAAAGGTTAGCAACCGAAGTTCGGAAGAGGCACGCGGGGTTACTTGCCTGACTGGGGCTGTACTTCTTGCCAGCGGCCTCGAGCCATGCGTCGCCGTTGGTGTGTTGGACAATCTTGTAGGGGACCTCCTTGATATCTCTCTGGACCTCAGCATCGGTGAACTTGCGACCGATGAGACGCTTGGTGGCGAAGAGGGTGTTCTCAGGGTTAACGACGGCCTGGCGCTTGGCGGCGACACCGACAAGACGCTCGCCATCCTGCGCGAAACCAACAACAGAGGGCGTTGTGCGGGCACCTGATGGAGGAGAAAAGTTAGCGCTTGGTCGCGATGCAATGCGGAGCTCAATTGGAGGCACGTACCCTCAGAGTTCTCGATAATCTTGGGAGTCTTGCCCTCCATAATGGCGACAGCGGAGTTGGTGGTACCCAGATCGATACCGATCACGGCGCCCTGCACCTTTCCCTCTGAAGCAGTCGACTCATAGCGAGCGAACTTGGAACCAAAAGGCTGGCGGGCGAAGGCTGCAGAGCGGGCTACTGAGCTGGCAGCTCTGGGGAGCTGTTGCAGGTTAGAATGCAAACTCTGATTTGATCGCGACAGCTGTCCGCGGGCAGACAAGAAACTTACAGCTCTGGAAAAGCGTGCAGACATCATCTTGCTTAGTTTTATGTGGGTATAAGAAAGGAGATGGAGGAAGAAAAATGATACTGCGCGCGGGGAGGAACGGAGGAGCAGTTATTATAGAGTACAGAGTGATGAAAAGGTGGGTTGGGGGTGGGAGGAGAAATCTTGCGAGAAAATGATGATGGCAGGAGCGTCGAAATTTTTTGACCCGAAAATGATGCTTGCCCCCCCCCCGGTCATAGAAGCCGACCGAATCCCGCACAGCCGGCAGAGCGGCTTGGGTTATTCCGACAGGGACGGTCCACCGCTGAGTGGGCTTTTCTCACGGCGGCATGGCGGGGTGCCACTGCACGTGACGAATCAGAGGCGGATACAAGCTGGAGGTGACGGGAAGGCCCGGCCATTGTAGGCAATGAAGTAGGTACTGTAGACACTAGAGAGGCCGCGTACGGAGCTAGGACAGCTCAGCTAGAAAATTTCCATGCTCGCGAGACCTCGGGTGGCGCTCTTGATGACAAGGAATGGATGCTGCCTCAGCGAGTGTTCTTGGGTGGCAATCGTGTGGTTGTTTGGAGGTGCTCCGGGAATGCCGGCTACTTGAATGGTGACGGTTCACGATTGACTGTGTTTACCTAGGTATTAGTCTTTGTCTTTCAGACGGGCGCGCGCTTCTTGTGCAAGCTCCAAACAACACGGCGATAGCATCCGAGGTCGATGGGAAAGACGGTCCAGCGTGTACTATCCGTACGTAGCATCAGACAAGGCAAGAGGTATCCATCTGGATTTGTTGGATATGGAGCGCATCTTGCAAGGGCCTTTGGCTTTGGCCCATCGGTGAACAGGGTCTAAACAACATTGGACGGGGAACTGGAGAGCGGTGGAGGCCTTCTTCTCGCAAACAATATTCTGCTGTCATGGAAATGGCAGACAAACATCTGGCTGAGATGAACCATTGGCCGTTGGACACTTTGACGCAAATCAGCTCCCCGGGAGGCATTGAGCTCTTGGTCGCTGCCATATTTCATCATCAAGCTACGGCGAAGGATTAATTTTTAAAGCTAGACGTTGCCTCGCTCTTTTTCCTCACGAAGCTGCCCGTGCTAACCAAGAAAAGACCAAGCTCGCTGTCACTCCAGACGGGACCTTACCTCAGCCACTCAGGTCCTACCCAGAGCAGACGGAGCTCCGACTTTCAGGCTAAGTAATAGGTTTGGTTGCGGCAGGCGGCAGCCCAAGCTCCAAATCGTGAATCAAACTACAAGTATCACCAGACAAATCACTATGTGTTGCGAAGTACCTACCTTGGTACCAAAGCCATGTGGGCCCATCCGCTGTAAGGTGAAGGTGCACCCGGGACACCAACAGTAGCCACCGCAGCCAACCAACCAGCTGCAATCAAAATCAGAGGTAACGCAGTGCTTCACACTCAGTAGGCCAGGCCCCTCCTGCCATACGGAGACACGGACCTAGCACTGGACGTCATGCGGAAAGTTGCCTCTCGCTCGCGCAATCTGCATCTCACTCTTCGACCCCAAACATCCGATCCTAAAATCATCGCACGACTTCTTCCTCCCTCTCTCGACTGTATTGTCGCCTTCTCCTCATTCTGTCCCCTACGCGAATTGCTTCCCAATACACTTTCCGCGCCTCTCGACACGGCGTGCCTGCGCAGCTATATGCCCGCTTATTGACGCTTCCTTTGGCCGCTCCATATGCCATCATGGCTGTGAAAGATGGCATTTCGTACGTGCCATTCGTCGCTTTGCATTAGACATCGTCACACTGACTCTGGTTGATGCAGCTACTACCCGACCAACAACCTGATTTGCAAAAAGCCGCGAAAGCATTATCGTATCCCTATTCGGTCTCAGTGTGTTGTCCCCGACATTGTTCAACCTTCCGAATGCGCCTCATTGCATGCGCTCAGTACTGACCGGACTGTACCCTAGACACTGGCAACTGCGATCACTCATCAGCGCCGAGAAACAGAAGTTCGTCTATTTCCCTGGGGGCACTGGCAGCAACCACGTCCAGCGTCTCAATACCGCCACCAACGAATGCGAGACCGTCAAGTTCCTTTCCTTTTCGCCACGATGCCTCGTTGCCGAGAATGGATGGATTTGCTGCGGAGGAGAGACCGGCGAGTTCACGGCGATTCAGCTCGAGAGTGCGGCCGATGACACCAACGATCTCGACCTCCCGCTCAATCTGGAGCCCGACGCTCGTCTGCCCCTCGGATTAGACTCCGATTCGCCTCGTCCCGAAGATACCGTCTTCTCTTTGATCGCCCAGTCACGACGCTTGAACTCGAACACCCGACTGAATAAGAGCTACACGGCCAAGAGTCAGAAGCTAGCGCGCGACCGCGTCAACTGCATAACCATGTGGTTCCCGCCCATCGCCGGCCCCATGCACCACGGCGCCTACACCGAACCCGCCGCCGTTCTGGCGAACAACGACAAGTCGGTGGTTCTGGTCAGCTTGCGCGACTTTGAAAGCCAAGACAAGGTTGAGCCGTTGGACGTGGTGACATACCCGGACTACGTCAACCGGGCCATCATATCTCCCGATGGCAGGCTCTTGATCGCCGTGCTGGACGACCCATTTCTATACATTCATCACCGGGTTGAGATATCTACAATGGATGAGGGGGGCCCATTTAGGGCCGAGGACAAGGCCGAGTTTCGGTGGGAGCTGTGTGGCAAGATCTTGCTGAAAAGCCAACGCAGGGACGACAGTTCTGACAGCAGAGGGAGCTTCGCTGCTTGTTTTTCCAACACCGGAGCTTACCTGGCCGTGGGAACTCAGTACGGCACCGTCTCCATCTTCGATGTGGCGGGCTTGACTGACCCGGACGTCACCGACCCCTTACTGACGTCGTTTACATCATCAAAACCAATGGCCGGGTCTGGGGCCATTCGTGATATGGCCTTCTGCCCAGGTCCCTATGACCTCCTGGCATGGACAGAAGATCGCGGTCACGTCGGCGTCGCTGATCTGAGGACTGGATTCGTCCAGCGCCAGATCCTTGACATCAGCGCCGACGGCGATTTCGAACACGTTCCTGTGCTCGATCGCATGACGATAGACCCTCGTCTGTTGGAGGGTCGTGGCGAACGAGAAAACAACTCCCTACTTGGTGTATGGGAGAGTAGCCGTCGGCGGGAACGTCACCACATGGCTCTCACCCCTGACGAGACCCGGGTGCTTGAGGCTCTGCAAGAGGAGCGGAGGAGGAGGGAGCAAAGGGACCGAATCGTGGCACGAATGGCGGAGCAGAACCAAAGTCTGTCACCCCTTCAGTACCCACCCCCGAACCAGCGGGGAGGACGACTTCCCCGTCTTACCGATTTCGATCCTAACCCTGGAGCAGGCTCAACGCGCGCACGAAGCAGTAGCGTCTCTCGTGCCCTGGGAGGGCAGAGCGACGTGACTCGCACGACAGGGGATCGTGGCGACCTCCAGTCCGGCACCATGTCTCGTGCTATCGGTGATATTCTGGACAACATACGGGACTCTAGAGAGCGAGCACAGGAACGGATACGCAATGCTCACCGTCTGATCTCGCAGTCGAATTCTGATCGAGACCGTATGCTAGGTCTGATGAATGCCGCTACCCCGCAAAGACAAGAGGTCGCCATGAGCTTAGATTTCGGGGGACGTTCTCCAGGGGGCCTGATCCAACATTCGGAGGATTCACGGGGGGATTCGCGCCCTCTGGCACCACCGGCGACCAGCGGCTGGGCCGATCTCGAAGCCGTATACAGCTTGTCGTTCGAAAGCAGCGTTCAGGAGCTGCGCGCCGCTACGAGAGACCGTGACAGAGACCGTTCTGGTATCTTACCGCTCCTCAACAGTGTTGCCATGCGCGAGCTTGAGGAGCGCAACGCTCGGCGGCGGGCCGTACTTGAGCACGGCGTTCATGAGGCCCCACCCGAGCCCGACAATACTGCTGGGATATCGTGGAGCGAGGACGGCCGTATTTTGTGAGTGCTTCCGCCGAGGTCGGAACATGCATCTACTAACGACGAGACTAGGTACGTGGGGGCGGAGAATGGCATCTACGAGTTTCACGTCGATGTGCAGAGCCGCAAATTCCATCCGAATCTGACTTTGCGATGAGACACAAAACTTGCTATTGCGGCCGGCGTTTTGGACCTTTTGCTGATAATGGGAATGAAAATCCCAACGAATATCGGCCGGAACGGTGTTCAGGAGTTTGAATGGCTTTGGGGGGACTTTGACGACAGGGACGCATTCATTGAAAAGTCTGCAGCGTTATGTGATATGCGGCTATCTTTGTAAGATTGGATTGGACGGCCTCCGCGCATGTCTGCTGGCATGATCGACCATCTGTCTCGTGTAATGTATTGCGGAGCATATCTTATGGCTTTGGTCGATTTGGAGTCGAACTCAGAATGAATGGCAACAACCTTTCACCCGTACAGAAGCCTGTCAACCCGTTCTGCGATGGCTAAGCAGCTCGTGAGCCCCGGGCTCTCGATACCCAGTAGATTCACCCAGCCTTCATAGCCCTCCTCTCTCCTAATCACGAAATCGTGGAAACCCGAGCCGGATCCCACGGCTCCACGCTGTCCCAGCTTTGGGCGGATGCCCGTGTAGTCCGGTTCCAGGCAGCTCTCATCAAGGTCAGGGAGGTACTTCTTGATAGCTTCGATGGCCAGCGGGAGTCTCGCTGTGTTGACGGCCAGGTCGTCGGGCGAGTCGGCCCATTCCACGTCCGGCCCGAAGCGCACCCTCCCGCCGAGATCCAGCGTCAAATGCGTACCCAGCCCTCCGGCACCCGGCTCCGGCGCTGGATAGATAAGTCTGCCGACCTTGGGCTTGGAGCTGGAATACGAGAAGTAGTTGCCCTTGGCATAAAACAATTCCCGCCTCTCCTCGGGAGGGACAATCATGTTGTGCACGTCAACGGACCCGAGCCCGGCCGAGTTCACCAGCACCTCGGCCGTGACGGCGCTCTCCTCCCCCGTCGTCGAGTCCCGCACCTGCACCTCCCATCCCTGGCTGCCCCTGTCGCCGAGCGGCTTCACACCCGTCACGGCGGAACTCAGGGCCACCACACCCCCCGCGTCTTCGAATAGTCCCATCAGGGCCACCATCAAGCCGTGCGAGTCGACAATGCCCGTCGTGGGGCTCTCGAGGATGCCAGTCTCGCCACGGACGTCGGGCTCCAGCCGACGAGCCTCCTCGGCGGCGACCCAGCGGATCGGCACGTTGATCTCGTTCTTACAAAAGCCGTGAACGCGCTCGAGGGCCTCACGCTGCGCGGGCGTCTGCGCAACAATCCATTTCCCGGTGTTGGCGTGGCCGACGTCACGCTCGCGGCAGAAGGCGTAGAGGAGCTCCTTGCCGCGGACGCAGAGCTCCGTCTTGAGAGTGCCGGCGCCGTAGTAGATGCCCGCGTGAATGACCTCGCTGTTGCGGGAGGACGTCTCCGTGCCGACGGCGCCGTGGCGCTCGAGGAGGACGGTCGATGTGCCCGGGCGTTGGGCGAGGGCGCGGGCTGTCGCCAGACCCACGGCGCCGCCTCCTACGACCTGTGGTGAGAGTCAGTTTGGCATTGTCTCACATTCGTCGACGGTGCGTGATGTGTTTGTGACGGAATAATGCGTGATATGGCGTGCTGCCGACATGAACGGAGCCGCCTCCGATTCTGCTCCGGGTGTAAGATGGGAAACTCACAATGTGGGTGAAGTCGGCTCTCGCCGAGGCCGTGGATGAGAAGCCTCGTCGGGCCCGGCTCAAACCATTGATGGATCTCGTACACAACGGCCTCAGCGACATGATCGAAGGATGATGCTATGGTATCTGTCTTCGATCGCTTGGCTGGGCTTCGGATTGCTTTGAAGTGGGTGGATGTTGAAAACTGCCGATGACGCCACCGGGGGTCTACCGGGGTGTTTCCGGAGCGCCGGGATCGCATCGGCCGTTAGTGGAGTACCAGCTTATTGCCAAGCAAACACGCGGAAGTGTGTGTACCTCGCTAATGAGCCTCAACGACCGTCGTATCTGGATGATGTGGATAATTCAGGAACTGAGGATAGCTTTAAGCTATGGCTGTAGAATGAGAATAAAGGCATTTTCTGCCAACTTTTCACACACATATTTCACAGTGCTCGACTCTTTACCCTCAGCGCCATGTTCTCGCCTTGATGAACTTACAAGTCTTGTCCGTAGATCGATCGCAGTTATAATATTGTCCAGGACATTGTCCACGCTGCTTCATGGTCGCGTGTGCTTGAGCTCCGTCGTATCTGCATGTGAGTACGGCGAAGATCGTCTCGATCCTAACATCTTAACCTGCAAGAAAAGCGTTTCACTGCTGACGAAGTTCAGTCATGCAAAGTGACTGGGCATGCAGAGAACCACTCGATTAGAGCGAAGCATGGTAAGAAACTGTGATATTGGCTACTGCGTGAACGTACGACTGCGAGGCCAGCTCTTTCCCGAGAGTGCGGCCCTTCCCTTACCCCAACGCCGTGGCCATGTCGTGTAAATAAGCAGACCTGAGTCGTTTTGCGACGCCCAACGCCAAGTTCCAACGCCAGTAAAGTCCGCTAAGAAATGGTCCAACGAGTTGATCCGTCCGTGGTTGATGAAATAGTACACAACGCAGCCTTTGAGACCTACGTCTCCTTGGCTGCCTCGCCCGCAGACGAGCCCGCAACGATGGACGGCGTAGCCCGAGCAGTCGTCAGCTCATCCTCGCCTGCGGAGGTGGCTCTCATGAGTTGGGAAGGGTGAGCTGGCTCGCTAGGGTTACCCTGGCCTGACTTTCCAGGGACCAGCTCCGTCACTTGTCTTTCTGTTCGAGGCACGTCAGCAATGGTTCCTCAATCAGAGCGGCACATGTCTTACCCAGGTCGCGGATGCGGTGACGGAGCATCTGGTTCTCTCTGACGAGCATCTGGGTTTCAGCTTGATAGAAGGCACTCTCATCACGGCCCCCAAGAACCCAGTGATCACCGCTATCTCCGCTTATAGACGTAGATCGCAGCCTTGGGGAAGCTCCACGGCTCGGCGTTCTAGACCGTCGCTGGATATCCGCCCTCGCTACATCGAAAGAGCTTCGAGGATGATGCGGCACACCTGGGGACCGCGAAAAGGAGCCAGAAGGAGGCAGCGGCGAGAATCCCGAGGGAGGTACGGCGCTGGCTGGCTGCGATACAGGGGTACCTTGGTTGGACCTCTCGGACGCAATCGCAGAGTCCTCAATAGCAGAGGAACCCTGCCCCTGAGTAGCTTGCAATTGCTGAAGCTGTAATTGCTGTTGGCGGATCATACCAAGCAAACGGTTCTATGGGGTATTGTCAGCTACTGTAAAGATAAAGTCTGGTCACGGCGTCGTATTCCGGAGCCTGGAAGACACTTACAACTTGAGCTTCCTGCTCAGCCTCGAGCTCCTGGTGAAGCTCTCCCAGACTTGGGGCGCGGTTGTGATGGGGATCGCCACCCGCCACCATCATTGGGGAGCTTGCCATAGGCTGGGGACTGGCAGTCGTGGCACCGCCGGAATGTGTGGGCTGATTATCTGCGACCATTTCTCCCGGACCTGGAACGGAAGGATCGTTGAGCTGCAGGTTCATCAAGACAGTCGATCGCCTTCGGCCGGCGCTGTGAGAGTGTCGACTTCGCGAGAGAGAACCGCTAGATGAACCTGGTTTTCAGTTAGCATCGCGCATCTGAGAGACCGCTAGCACCCTTACGTCTGGAGGGTTCGTGCTGAAGGCCGGCATTCATGGTCGCGGCAGCCTGCAAAGAGGTCGACAAGCGGCGTGGTGAGCCAGTAGGAGACTCGCCACGCGGCGCCGCAGCAGCAGCAGCTGGAGGGGGCATGGGAGAATCGCCGTTGGAGGAGGACATTCTGGATCGAATGGGCAGAGATGGAGGGGATGAAGGAGGAAGAGAGTTCAAATCCGGTGCCATAGCACGTATGGGTGTGTTTTGTTGGAGTCTGGAGCTCAAACAGCCTTGTGTGAGATTGAGGAGGTTGGTCTTTTGCGTACAAGGCAGCGGCCTGGCTAGAGCTAAAGATCAAGAGATCGTCGTTGAGGTGGTTGCGAGTGCGGTGACAGGCGGGAAAGGTGGGGTTCGGCCTGCGTCAGAGGTGGGCGCCTCTGGAGGAGTATGAGGTAATGCTCAGCTGCAGATAGGACGAGCTGTTTGGAGGATGATGTTGAGACGAGACGGAGACGGACGCGAGGTGGGACTCGGCGGTTGACTTTGACACATTCGAGGACGAAGATGAGGACGAAGATGAGGATAAGAGGATGCGGACTGGTCTTGATATCGGATCAAAAGAATACCTAGCAAGCTGGTGTGGCATGGTTACTGGATGCTCTGGTGATCACCGGTTTCTTGGGGTTCTGATTTCTGCACGGCAGGTGACTCTGCATCAGTCGATGGCCCCCGCCTCGGAGACCTGGAAGCGGGACGAGCGACCTTGAGCTCTGCCCTGTGCCTGCCTGCGCTGGACCACTGCGGGGAGCTTCCAGGGCAGGTGTTGCAACTTGCACCCGTTTGTTAGGTCCACGGGTACCTGTAAGCGTGTACTGGACCTTAGATACCTACCACGGAAAGTGCCTGCCACATACGACTGCCTTCAGTGCTGGATGGGGTTTCTGCCTGAGGCTGAACGATTGACCAAACGGTGCAGACCGGTAGCTTCGGTGTTCTTTCTCTTCCATGTTTGGAAACGGTTCACAAACGGGTTTGGCTGATTGAAACGGTACTTCCCCCAAAATACCACCCACTCAGCTCAATCTTCAACGTGACCAACATTGACTCACGTCGTCAGATCCTCTTCGTTTCAAAATGCCACTTACAGACTGCCTCCGAGATGCCATGGCTGTCTCGTTTCAAACCCAACAACTGGTGCCAGCTCTGTCGCCGAAGCCCGCCTGATTCTGATCAACAGAATGCCCATTGGTGGCGTCCGCATCTCAGAACAAGGGTTCAGCTCCACGGGCAGCTCACGGCTTTTGTCGGATTCAACATTCGTCAGGGCATCACGAGCTTCTGGTGGGCGTCTGCCTCTTAGTGTTGTCAGAGGGCTCACGTTCAACACGACGTCGCTGCGTTGACGAGCCTAAGCCACGACAGCAGCTCAGCATTGGTGTTTCCTTCTCACCACGATCTAGCGGTATTCCACCTGAAGAAACATCCAAAAACAGCTGCAAATACACAACGGCGTCCTGTCAAAAAGACTCCAGAGCACATTCTCGATGGGTTCTCTCGCCCACGGCTATTCTAGCTGCTCCAGGTCTCAGGTGAGCACCTTGCGCAAGCCACCGCTTGGTGATTCTTAACGGGGCCAAAGCCTTCCTAGAGATCTTTTCTGCTAGGCTGCTCGCCGCACCCACTGGCTTGGGCGATTGCCACACGGCAAAGTGCCGATCATGGCGCCGTCTCTGTTCGTCGAGAACCACCGCCTGGTGCCTGAAAGAGCCGTTGCCTTTCCGCAACATCGAGAGACATTGCTTGTGGCGTCTCTCCCCGCGAAGCCGATCTTCCGCCACTTCATGCTAAGATAACAACCCAAACTATTTTGAAAATCGTTCTTGGCTTCCGCGGTTTGTTTACAGCCAAAGCTGTCATCTATTCCCGATTCGAGTTGCAGAAACAGGATGACCAAAAAAAAGTTGCATCTAAACGGCTCAAAATGGACCACGCTGCCGACGAATGTGCACTTGCGTACGAAGGCACGCAGGGTACCAGAGCCACGCCGCCCGCGGATCCGGCCGTTGCGTCGTTGAGTATCCAAGAACGAGAGCCATCAGCCAGCTTTTTCTCCGCCTCGTCCGCCTTGTCCGTTCCGCGATGATTTCTAGTAGCGTCTCCGTCATCACGTCTATCAGATATGCTGGTCTCAGTTGATGGACCTGGGCTCAACACTTACGATGCACTTCATCAGCATGACACCCCGGTGGGCTTCATGTAGAGCCAGGATGATACGCCTCCCAAGCTGTCATCGGACAACGACATTCAAGGGTTCAAGCATAGTCTTCGCCAGGCGTCCGAAGTAAATGCACACTGCCTTGTGGCCGGGGCAGATGTCTTACTTCGATGGCTGCTACAGGTGGGCTTGAGACGAATATGGGTCAGCAATTCACGTTGACGCAGCCATCGCATTGCCTTTGCGTTGTCTTGGGAATCTGCGGGATCAAGAACCCCACGTTTTCGCAAGCTACTCCTCGATTGAGAAAGCTGCATCCAGCCAGGCGGATCCTCCTTTCTTGCAGATGCGCCTCTTTGCAGGGCAGCTACTACGCTGAAGAATTATCAGCGGCCTCGATACCTGCGGCTTGAGGCGCCTAGCACTGAGATGACAAATCTGGGCGTCTCAACATGAGATCCAAAAGGAACGTGGCGATAGGATTGCCGCCTCCAGCGAGATCTGACGACTCTGTGCGCACGAGTCCGACTTGCTCGCTTCTCGAGTCCTGATGAGGACGTTGAGTTTTCACACGTGAATGGGGGTTTGCGGCTATCTGACCACAACGGAAGCTCAACGCCAGTACCGAGCTGCCGATGCCACAAAGACGACTACGCGTCGATCGGATGAGCCCGGATGCTGGTGTTTGTGTTTACTCCAAGCCAAATCGTTGCGCGCGGCAGCCTGACGTCCCTTCGTCTTCTACACGTGTACTGACGAAGAAAGTTCGAGGTGAGTGAACACTTCCGTGCGGCGAGGTCCCTGTAGACAGGGACCTGCCTGTCTTGAGGACGCGAAGAGCCCAGCTTGCTGGTTGGTGCCGTGGCGACCGGGGCCTCAGACCGGGTCGAGCCCCGAAAGTCAGTGGATAGCAGGGATAAACTTGGAGGGCAGGGAAGCGACGCTACTGCAGGAACAGCCTGACCACGAGAACACCATCACGCCAGATTTGCGTTTGGATGAGGACCCCGCCTGGATGTCGTGTTGTTGTCCAAGAGGTTAAGGGCTGGAGGCCCTGGAGGCCGAAGAGCTTCTGGTCCACACAGTCAGGTCGTTCACGCCGTCAGCTACGGACGCAGGCCATGCTCGTCGAAGCAATGAACTGAGGATATTGATTCCGTATTACCACAGAGCGAAAGTGGATGGTAGCGAAAATTTTGTTGCCGATGCAAGACGCAAGCAGTCAAGACGGTGAAAGCTGACTGGTTGGCTTCAAAGATCATTTCCGAGGCGGAAAATTTGTTTCGACAACGGTTTTCAACCGGGGAAGAAACGGCCAGCCCTGGCTACACCAAGATCGGGGACCCATCCGGCAGCACCAGCCGGGTTAGGGTTGACGGCCTGGCTATCAACAGGGACTTTCACTAAGGCAGGGAATCGGGATCGCTCAGACAAACAGAGCCGCTCGACGTTTCCCGCCTCAGAGGCTCGGGCGAAATAAACAAACATCACCTGCGAAACCGAATTGCAGTCGCCAGCAGCTAAGAAAAGGGGATAAAGCGGGCGAGGTCTGTAGTGCTCAACCCGGGGTGCACGATCAGCGGGATAGTGCGTGAGATACAGAGCTTCACGGGTTGCTTGGAGACGGATGCACGAGCGCGGTGTTTTTTCGAGTTGGATGGCAGCTGCACTGGCCGAGCGGCCTGTAAACATCAGCCGATGCGAAGGGACCTCGAGCAGAGGCAGACAATTGCATTCGGGCCCCGGATCTGGCATCTCTGCGCTGCCAGTCAGACCTGCATCTCTGGCGCGACACATGCGTGTCTCAAGAGGATCTGAGTCGTCTTATTGCTGAGCTCGTCAGGGTTGAGCAATCGACAATCTATCCCCTCCAGGTGGCGGTGGTGGCTTTCGCAAAGTGTTTCGTCAGGTGTCAAGAGAGTGCGCTATAAGTAAACCCGAGAAGAAAGGAAGGCTAAGAGTATTCTAGACGCCGACGTGTTCGACCATTCGGAGTTGACACAGAAGACGGGGAAGGCTGCCGACGAACAACCGAAGCAAGGCAAGCAGCCAAGGGGCTGAGATTCGAGGCGGAGTCACAGCCCAGGATCTTCAACTCTTGCAAGGGAAGCGGTGCCGACTGATTCGGGGCCCGAAATCATCATTGTTGGTCAAAAAAAGCCTTTTGGGAACGGCAGAAGGGGGCAGACAGGTGCAGAAAGGGCGAGTTTCGCGCAATCGGGGACGACAGGCTTGTAATCAAGGGGTCAAGCCGTGGGGCAGAAAGCGCGCATCTTCATAAGGTTCCCTGGACGCGGCAGGGCTTTGAATCTTGACGATGAGAACGGGGCTGTGAGACTGGGGGTTCAACTTGTGAACCCCAGCTGGCGGCGGCTACGACGAACCAAATATTTGGAAACTCGAAGAGAGGACCTGAGTGTCGGATATCTGGCAACGCAGCGGACAGGGGAGGATGGCAATCGAGGTTCTAGAGTCCAGACTAAGGTTTCGACAAGTCGGAGAAATGGCGATGCTAGTTGCAGAGAGGACGGCAACGGCTCAGCGCAAAGACTTGGAGAGAGCCAAAGCTCCCCACCAGTACGGCGAGCGCACGGAAGTCTCGTGGTTCTAGACGAATTGCGAAGGAAGTGAGAGGAGCACGCGGTTGCATGTGCGTTGCGGTGCATCGGCCCTGGTCTATCGTCACAAACATCATCATCATCACCATTCATCAGTCGATCGATCTGGTATACCGTATGTCTGGATTTTTGTGCATTTTGCATCATGTTTTGTCGGGTTGACCAATGATGACAGATACCAAACGGACGTCTCCGTAATCACGAACATGTTTCTGGTTTCTTTTTCTCTTCTCTGGAAAGGATTTTCTGCCTTGGTTTCTTCTCTTTTCTCCCAGGTTCATCTAATTTATACATGCTTGCTTTTTTCGACATCCGAGGCGGTTCACATTGTTGTGTTGCGCTGGGGTGGAGAGCTCTTGCCGTTCCAGGGCAGCAGCTTCCGTGCTGTTGGTGGAAGAGTGGGGGCCTAGTGCCAGTAAGGTACGTACCTCAGGTATCCAGGTACGTACCTACATATCGGTGGTAAATTGTGGGGATATGGAGAGGGTCCGATCTATGCCCCTTTTAGAATGGGACGTCGTTATTTTCCCCTGCAGACGTGTCCGCCCCGTCGGATTTTTACACGTCGGGGATTCGCTGGAGGCGGCAGGGGGGCCTTCGTTGGCGCGTTTCTTTTCTCACCTTTCCAAAGCATCCCCGGACGAAGCGTCAACCTGCCCCAAGCTTCCGGTCGTTGTCGCCGTCGTCCCTCTTTCTTCTGGCCCCCGTCTCAAGGGTAAACCCGGCGGCTCGACCCAGGCATTTCCTCGCCGGCATGGAAGAGACGGAGACGTCCAATATGTTTTTCTTTTCTTCTGTTGCTGTTTTTGTTTTTTCGGGTGTACATTAAGGCCGGATGTGCGTGGTTGCACAGATGGCGACGATGTGCTATTCTGATGGAGCACCCGTCCAATAGTTTGGCACCAACTGACACAATTTAGCCCAACGCAAATACAAGCCGACGACACGCAGTATGCAATACGCAATACGTGCATTTCAGCTGCGGGTTGTCTGTACGGACGGATTCACCAGTCTGGCTGTTCATCTCGACACGGAACACGGAGATTCTGCACATACGTGCGTAATCAGCTTGACTGAAATCGAATGGGATATCATCTCTGCCAAATCTCAAATCCAATCTGCAGCCGACGCAAAGGACGCGCAGAGACCAGAGTGACCGGCGGTGTCGTATTGTGTCATTTCGTGTCGTGTGTCCTACGGCGAAACCGACAGGCCTCATTTCTGGCATTTCCTTTCTGCGCCATCCCCCATGTCGGGATTGCCCGCCGGTCGCTCTTTTCGGGAGAGGCTTCATTTGCCGTTCGCCAAAGTTCGGTAGCATTAGGCCGGGGGGTTGCTACTGAGTTGCCGACCCGGGTAATGGATTTTCGGGCGTCTTTGGCCTCGGAGGCGAGGGGAACAACCCGAAGCAGACACTCGAGAGTCAAGCCGCCTACGAATGTGATGCTGATGGGTGATGGGTGATGGGCAACTCGTCACTGCGTTCGCGGAACAGCTTCCTGTGCTTCCCGGGTGGTTGGATCCAACTCTCTTTCGTGTCTTTGACCGGGAGACTGGGCTGGTCTGGGCATCCGAGTGGGCGTGTACAGGAGCGGTTGTTTCTTTCCCCCGTCTCAGTTCGAGTGTTCACGCCTCAGCTGTTGGTTGGTTGGTGGTGGTGATGATTGTAGCCACTGGCCGGCATCTTATTCGAGTCGAGATCCCTGGAGACCCTGTCCGAGAGTACCGACATGACGACGATGGTGGTGCGCCGTCAAAAGCATCAACTGGGCATCCCTTACCGAGGGAGCGGCCGCGGCTGCGGCTGCAGAGTATGTTTCGTTGCTGTTCGGGGTAGAGTTTGTCGCCTCTGCCTGTGCTCTGTTGACGCCGTCCCTGCTCCTGCTTTTGGGTTCACTGCATCGGACGGGATGGGACGGCAGTCATGCAGCAGGTGCAGAGCTTCCCGTGCAGCAACAGCAGCAGCAGTTGGCCATCTTCACAATGGGAGATGGGAGATGGAGACTGGCAGCAGTAGCGGGAGGACTCATTGCCCAAAGCAAGGGGCGTGTGTGGGCGGACAGGGAAAGGCTACCTTGCCGAAGCAGGAAAACTTATCTAGCAAGGATGAGATGCCAATTGCTTGTGCAAGGAGCGAGGAGCGAGGAGCAAGGAGCAAGGAGCACCGAGGAGGGCAGCAGGGAACAGGGTCCTGGGCTTCAGCCTGGACGCCGGACGCGCTCTCTTCTCGGCGTCTCTCTCTCACCTCTCTCGTCATCAGAACTTTTAGAAGACGCCAAAGCGGACGAAGCCCAGGAACACCAGACAACACCAGACAGAGGCGGGCTAATACAGAAGATGCCTAGGCAAGGTACGATATTAGTTGCTAACCAACCTAACCTAACCTAACCGTCCTGGCCATATCTTGGAGCTTCTTTAGTGCGCCGGCCGAGCTCAGTCAAAAATCATGGACCTCACGCCTCTGCAGAGAGAGAGAGAGCTCCATGCACTTGCACCTGCAGCACCTGCACACCCCCCTACCTAGTCTAAAGTCGGGCAAGGAAGGAACCTTACAAGAATACACACCCGACCACCTTACCTACCTGAGATAGGCAAGGCAAGGCAAGGCAAGGTCGCACTGGACCCCAAATTCAATGTTGTTATTATTATGAATATCCCCGAATGCCCTCCATCCTGCTTCCCTCGCTTTTGCGCGTTTGCTGCCTCATTTATCCTCTTCTTCCCCTCTGCAACTGCCTTCTTCCCCGCCTCTCATGGTGGTACGTTAGGCAGGCCCTCACTTGACTGAACCTTGGCATCGTACGCTCATTCTCACTCACCCACGCTCTTCAACCCTCACAACCCAGCCAACCACCTTCATACCAACACCAACCGCTCGACCGCCCACAACAACCCTCAACCTCGCCCGCCGCAGACCAGACCTATAATCTCCTTCTTCATCACGCGTCAATAGTTACCAGACCAGAACCCCAGACGGCTTGCTGGGATTCAGAAGAGCTCGGTCCAAGAATCCACTGCTGCACCCTGGCTTCAATTGTTTTCTTATGCCTACCATCTCAACTTACATTACTGAATCCACCCATTGTTGTCTGTTATGCCAAAGCGCACACTCGTCCCTCACTGTCTTATACTCACGTCACCGCCTGCTTTCTTCCAACCGAGATCCGGTTTACTGGACTCCTTTTTCCTGAATTCTCACACCGTTTCAACGTCTGGCTAGACAAAAAAAAATCCTCTAGTCATGGCCGACGTTGAGCCCAGCAGCCCCAACGCTGCCACCTTTGCCGAGACTCTTCAGTACCGCGCGACGCAATCACGCCGCTCCCGACCTCCCGACCTCGAGGCCGCTTCCGGAGAACAGCGCCGCGTTCCTCTGCGCGCGGAGAACCGACTAAGCAGGCGAGACTCGCGACTGGGCCTCAGAAGCATCTTTGGAAGGAACAAGAGCTCCCGCGAAATCGACACCACGACTTCGTATTTCGACACCGGGAGGCCTAGCAGCATTCGAGCTTCACTCGCAGAGATCAGCAACTGGCCTTATATGCGCTCAGAAACCACACTGCCCAGCGCTGCTTCACGACCGACCTCGGTAGCCACCCATGCTCCGTTCAGCGACTCATCCATCCAGAGGAGGCCGACAACCACCGAAAGATCCAGGTCGCAGACTCCCGGTGCCAAATCGTCCCGCGGCAACCTGGCTACCTGGGACCCCCCGCCACTGTTTCAAGCATACCCCCAAGCTATCAAGCATGCGCAGCTTCCCGCCTGCACGACTTCGGCCGACGTAATACTTCGCTTCCATGATAGAAAGGGCAGCATCAGCCTGCGCGACGACCTGACCCAGCTGGGTTCTCCTCAGGAGCTCAGCGACGATCAGTTCGGCGACAGAGCTGCCGAGAAGGCGCGGAAGAAGCACCTGCGGACCATGTCAACAGCCCGACTCGAGTGGACATCCAAGATCTACGTCCTTTGCACTTCGGGCTACCTGCTGCAGTACTCGGGAGAAGGCAACTTTGACCGTCTTCCCGAGAAGATGCTACATCTCGGCAAGGACTCGGCCGCCTTCGTCAGTGATGCCATCCCGGGCCGCCACTGGGTCCTTCAGGTCTCGTCCGCGATGGAATCCAACGGTATGTCGGCTGCCGACTCACGATCGCTGCTCTCTCGACTTCCCTTCCGCGCAGCCGATAAGCGACACGCCGCCAACTTCCTCATGGTTTTTAACAGCGCGGAGGAGATGGAATCCTGGATCACGATACTGCGCCGAGAAATCGAAGCGCTTGGCGGCAAGAAGAACCTCTCCGAGACTGGCAAGCCTAAAGCTGATGACAACGTTGTGCAGCTGAAGGCGCAGCCTAGTCAGCGGACGTTGGTTGTCCGCGACCCCGAACGGTTCTCGCGAGTTCTTCCCCCGGATTTCTGCCTCCATCTGGAGCAGGCGAGACTGCACGACCCGGATCACCCTTCCGCCGTCGACGCGGACATGACCCGCGAACCCTCCATCGACGACATTTCCACGACCAACAGTGTCATGTCCCACGACGACCGACAGCTCGAGAGCTTGAGGGACAGCACCAACCGTCTTTCTTGCATCTCATCCGGCCAGCGCACTTTCATGACATCCGCCGGCTCATCACCGGCCTGCTCTCCCGTTCGCGATAGTTTCGCGAGCAGCTACATGGACGACTTGCCCCCTTCATCCCAAGAGGCGCCTACCGTTAGACCGAGGCCGAATGCCGCGGCCATCCTCGACCGCAGGCAATCACTACAAACGTCGGGCTATCTTGAGCTGAGAAGCTCGCCAATGTCTCGACCCCAATCAAACATGTACAGCGAACACGAGATGGCACAAATCACTGCCAACTTCAGCGTTCCCATTAGCAGGCGCTACAGCGCCATGAAGTCCCCGACAGCCAGCCCCGAGCAGGTTAGAAACCGAGACTCGTTCTCAAGCATTCGGAGCGCCCGAAAGCCGCCTCCGACTGCGCTGGCGATGGCTCGCCCCCTGTCCATAGTGGCAGACCAGCCTTCTCCTCCCGTCAATGGTCTCGTTGATGCAGTCACCGGCCAGCGCTCAGCCGTCCCGAGCGAGGCAGCAGCAGCTGCTTTCCCCCCGAGACAGGCGAGTCTTGGACCCAGGGAGCATGCTGCGACGGTGACTGTTAGGAGCCCGCGAAAACACGCCAGCTCCCCTTCACTGACTAACTTGGAGGAGGTGCCTCTCTCACCGGAACTTCGAACCTTCATCCTTCCGTCAAGGACTCCGCCGACGCCTTTGGCAAGCGAGATGCAAGAGTCGCCTTACTCGCCGTCTGCCAATGAGTGCGGACGGCTTCAGTCCCCCAGATTCACGCCCCGAAGACCCAGCACCTTCTTCGACGCTTCGTCACCGCTGTCTGCCATCAGCGGAAGCCCCGAAGGTGAGGACACAATCGCCCCCATGGTTGCGTCCCCAAGATCTGTGCCGAGGTCATCGCCTCGCGTGCCCGGCACTCCTCCCACCCCCTCTTCCAGACACCTCCGAACAGACTCGAGAGGTGTCATGAACCGACGAAGCATGCCACAGCTCGTCGAGGGGCCCCCACCAGCACCGCCGCCGAACTGCGCGCTGCCTCCCATCCCTCAAAAAGCGCGCGCCTAGGCGCGGTTTTGCCATTCACTAGTTCGGTCCACGAACCACTATTTCCTTGTCCCATTCTGTACGTTGGCTACGGCTTATAGAACTGCCCGCGGCGGCTCAGGTGTTTCGTTTCTTATGTTTCTTAAGTTTTATTTTTTTTGAGAGTTTGGGTTTGTTTGCGTCATACCCCTTTGACTGCGCAAAAGGCGTTTACGGATAGAAAGGGGCCATCTCCATGATGCACTATCTGGACGGCATTTGGACCGTTTCGACGGTGGCGGGCATATCATGGCTGGGTTTGGATGACATAGAAGGCGATATAGATATCCCTGGGACAGCGCCCGGTGACGCAGTGTACGACTTGTATTTTTTGTATTAGTAGCGGATGATGTTGAGATCTCTATTCGAGGTCAAGGGGAAGACCAAAAACAAAAGAATTACAAAACTCGAGTACCTGCTTGGTGATTGTGAGTTGCCAGGAAGGGCTTTCGGATATGACTGCGCTGAGTAGTACGAGTGACTCACACAACCGTCGACGGGGTGGCCAGTGTTGCCAGTGCAGAGAGACAAATCACTTGTGAAAATTCATTCGCTGGGTGAGATACCTTACTCAAGTATCTATGAGAAGTCTTCGTCATGAAACCCATAGCGGTTGTTCATGATCGAAACGGTGGGAAAACGTTCCGTAAGAATACAGTCTTAAACGGAGCTGGGCCGACCAATGGGACCCGAAACGGTATAGCGAGAACCCCACACCAAAAAAAGCTCGGTGGCGCACCACGAAAATCTACCAACTCTCAAAAATATCGCCAAAAGCCCCACCACGAAATTGACCATCGCGACAACCCGCCTCGTCGATTACTGCAAAACCCTCGAAACCCATCCCCGAACCGATCGACCCGAGCTACGTACCCGACGACTGCGACACGAGGAAATCACAAGGCATAGCACTCAAGATGGCTACCCCTAAGACAAAGTCAGTCCTTCCTCCTCGACTCATCCATCCCTCTTGGGTTTCCCCTCCTTCGGAAATGGCGCTGGGTGGGAAAAAGTGTCCTGGGCGAGAACACGCAAGATCCCCAGCCAAAGAGCCAGCGGCGGACGAGATTTCATGTCGGATTGACAGACAGAAATGCTGACGGTGCTCAAATGACAGGCACGACTGGGCCGACGACGAAGATGTCGACGAGACTTCGACCGACCTTCCCGCGCCCCAGACCATCAGCAACAAGGACGGATCCAAGACCATCATCACGTTCCGCTACAACGACCAGGGCCAGAAGGTCAAGACGACGCGCCGCATCCGGTTCACGACGCACACGGAGAAGGTGAACCCCCGCGTGGCGGAGCGAAAGACGTGGTCCAAGTTCGGCCTCAGCGAGAAGGACGGCGCCGGCCCGGCGGCCGACACGACCTCGGTCGGCGAGAACATCATCTTCCGCCCCAGCACGAACTGGCGCAAGGACGAGAAGGAGCAGGGCGAGGACCCCAACGCCCAGGCCATGAAGGACAAGCTCAAGGACAAGAAGGTCAAGTGTCGTATTTGCAACGGCGAGCATTTCACGGCCCGCTGCCCGTACAAAGGTGAGACGCCGAGAACGAGACGGAGAGAGAGAGGCTCCGTGGTCTGGATGGTGACGGATTTTGGCTGACTCTTTTGCAGACACCATGGCGCCTGTCGGTGCCGAGTCCGGTACCGCGGACGTCGCTGCCGGCATGGGAGACGAGGCTGCCGCGGCGGCCGCCGCTGGCCCCGGTGCCAAGAAGGGAAGCTACGTCCCGCCTGCGCTCAGAGCCGGTGCTGCTGGCGCCGCGGCGGGCGACAGGATGGGCGGCAGCAAGTACGGCGAGCGCGACGACCTGGCCACTCTGCGTGTTACCAACGTGAGTCTTTTCATTTCTTTCTCCTCACCTTGTTTCATCATGCCTATTCCCATGCTTACTACTGTCGACCACAGGTTTCGGAGCTGGCAGAGGAGCAGGAGCTGCGCGACATGTTCGAGCGCTTCGGTCGTGTTACGCGTGTTTTCCTTGCCAAGGACAGAGAGACGGGCCTGGCCAAGGGATTCGCCTTCATCAGCTTCGCGGACCGGAGCGACGCCGTCAAGGCCGCCGCCAAGATGGACGGTTTCGGTTTCAAGCACTTGATTCTCCGCGTCGAGTTCGCCAAGAAGGCCAACTAAGGCCGGGGAGGGAGTGCTGTATTGGTGTGAAGAGGACGGCGGCGGGTGCGGGCGATAACGACGGTTCTTTTGATGCTACTACTGGAGATACGGCTACGGCATCGGTATTAAAATTTGGCATCCTGGGGTATGGTAGTTCATCCGTTTTTTTTACTCACTCGGAAATGCAAAGTCATGATCTCATGGAAGAAAAGAGGTAGCCCCGTCGGGGGCGATGCGCTGGTTGTCGTCGGCTTTGGGACGTCTCGGACTAGGTGCGGTGTGCCGGTGCCGTGTACACGAGGCCTCGATAGACGAAGACTAGATCCCGGCAAATGGGACTTGCAGAGTTTTCACAGTGGACACGCGAGCTACTGTTTCCTGATGAGAAAGTAATGCTATTGAAATTTCGTGATCAAAAACGCATGAAATTGCAAAGAGACTCAGTGCAAAACAGGTATCTTCAGAGGGGAAGCCCCCAAACCAAATCGACTCCTTTCCGCCATCCTTTTTTTCTCCAGAAACCTCAAACCAAAAGTGACTAACGTGTCGATCATACATAGGAAAGGTGAAAGATGAAAGTGAACAAGACGCCGAATGAGAAAGATCCCAACATGGCTGCCGGATTCCCCCTTTTTCTGAGTGCCAAGTTATGGTGGTGGTGGGTATTACTAGGAGAGTCCGTCTGTATGTTGGCTCTGTCATCATTATCTCGTCCAAGGCCGTGAAATGCTGCTGCTGAGAGCGAGCGGTACTAAAAAAAACTATAGATCTGCAAAAACTGGACATGGAGAATAAGGAAAAGGGGGTTGATAAGATGGTGTTTGAAGCGAATGTGGGTGCCTCGAGGGCAGGTTAGCGAATGAGTTGTCAAAGGGCGATGTTGCGGTCAAATGTTGTCGTTTTTTTGTCGGTGTTTGTCAGTGTTTGTCGAATGTCGTCGTCGGTATTTGTCGATGGTTGTCGTCGGTTTGTCGTGTTGTTGTCGATGTCTCGGGCCGGAGGGAACAGCGCATTACTGCGCGTTGCGAACGAAGCTCTAAGTCCCGCCGCAGAGTGAGTTTCGAAAGGCGAGGTGATTAAAGGAAACACGGTGGCGCGGGATGAAGCAACGACGCCGGACTGAAGCCCCATCCGCAGTTGTTGGTCTGTTTCTGTCTTTAGATCCCTTTCAGCCACGTAATCGACTCGACTCTGCGGATGGTCCATCATGCGGCGGCGGCCTCCTCCTCGGCGGGAGCCTCGGCAGCATCTTCGGCCGGGGCATCGCCCTCGGCGGCGGCGCTCTCCTTGGCGAGCTTCTCCTCGAGCTTCTTCTTCTTCTCGAGGGCGCGCTGCTTCTTCTTGACCTCGGCCTTTTGGCGGGCGGCCTCCTGTCTCTCGTCAAAGACGTAGGGCAGCGACTTGACGGCGCTGAAGGTGACGGCCAGACCGCGGGTGAGGTGCTTGAAGCACTCGGCGTAGTGGGACTTTGCGTCGGTCAGGTCGGCGCGGGCGGTGGCGGCGCGCTTCTTGGCCCGGTAAGCACGCTCGGCGCGCTGGGCTCGCTGGTAGTTGTCCGAGGCCTGACGGCGGGTTGTTCTGAGGAGGTTCTCCGTGCCCGAGGTGCCGGGACGGGTCGGAAGAGGCTTATCGCCTGCGAGTGAGGCTGTCGGGGTTTCGCGGGCCATGTCTGATATAGCTTGGCGGGTATAAGACTATTGAATAATGTTTCTTCTTGCTGTCTGAGCGGGCTTCCGCTTAGTAGGTGAGAGCTGGGTGTCAGATGCGTGACTGGATCAACGAATGAATGAAGGTCAGTTTAGACGCTTTGGTGAGCAAAACCACATGCAAAAGGGGCTGGAGCAGAGAGACCAAGACTCCCGCCGGACGTCTTTATACAACTACCGAACGATGCGCCTGTGAAGGACGCGCCCCGACGAGAAATTTGAGCCGGGAAGGGGCCCTGGTGTCCGGTGGGTGTGTTTTGATGTTGTCATTCTAGAAGTTCATGCAAACGGCGGGCGTACCCTGGAACGAGGGCGCGAATCCCGGCCAGGGATGCCAAACTTGAGGGGCTCCATTGGATGACTGGATCGGTAGATTGAGTGAATGGCCATTAAGGAAGTGTTTTGGTGGCATGAATACCGAATCAAACGCGTGGCGCGCTTGGATTCGCGTGAATTTGATGGAAGGATGTTGATGGGAAGGGTTCATGTTGCCCTTTCGCATCGCGTGGTGAGACGGGCATGACCCTGGTTGGGACATGTTAATATGCTCCGCTTGAAGCTCTCCGTCTAGGGCCTTATTTGTTGCCATTGCGACGAAAGTTCTGGTTCGATGTGACACTTGTCGGGTCTCCTCTGGTCGTGACCAGGACTGCTATGCGTTCTGGAAAGATTCCAACATCAGGGGTTGAAGATGGTTGTGGTGAGATGAATGGTATGGCTTCGGTTGACGTTTCCTGGCGTGACCTTCTTATCGCGTCTTCCGTTTCTTCTCGTCACGTGCAGAACGCACGGTGCACCCGGCCCAAGCGTCGAGTTGAGAGGAGGCCCTCGCTTAGAGCTCTGTGGTCTAACGAAGCTAGAGCCACTCGGGTTAGGTAAGCTGGATTTTGCTCGTTGTCCCCGCATCTCTGGGCGCGACCACCTGTGACCTTGGCGCGGTTAAGGAAGGTGGGACAGGTTGCCTCATCATCCCGCGCGAGTTGCTGCACTTATTGGGCAAGACAAGGCATTTGTGCAGATGCAGTAGAAAATGCTGGAAGCCGAGTGAAGGATTTTGTCTCCCGTTCTCGACGTATTTCACTTTTGCGGCTTACTAGGGTGGTTAGGGCACCAGAGAAGACTCGAGCGCTCTGCACGTGTCCGCGGGCAAGTGTCTGAGACACGCAGTTGTACCTGCTGACGGCTAAAGTTGTGAGAGGTATATTCGTACAAGCACACAACAAGCCGTGTTGGAGGAGGAACGGAAAAAACCAGCTTTTGAGCAAACTATGCGTATCCGAAGAGCTTCTTGAAGATCGGATCTGCACCCGGTGAGGCGCTCCGATTGGATATTGCCAGCAGCCCCCAAGTTGCCGTTGTGTGTTGTGTGTGTGGGCTGAGTCGCTCTTCTCTCTCTCTGACCTTTTCTCTTCCTCTCTAGAGGCTGAAAGAGCGTTTTACCGTTTCCTCTACCGAAGAGCTTGGCCTAAGGCTGGCCTCAACAATTGTCTCTTTGACATGGTCTGGGGAGAAGAAAAAGGAAACTCTGGTGGCTTTCGTGACATGTGATCCAAACTCATTTAGCGGGACGGGCGGGCATTTCCCATCAAAAAACCCACTGCTTTGGTGGGCCGCTGGTCACTTTGGAAGCAGCAAGGTGACTTCCCGTAGGCTGCGCTTCCACTGGAAACGGTCCCCCCCCGGTCGTTGTGTCGTAATTCCACGTCCAACCTTCAACATAGGTAATACTTGCCTCTTCCCTTCCCCTCCTGCCTCGCTCACTTAATGCGCTCACAAACACCTCGAGCCCTCTGACCTCCGTTCTTCTCTTCTGCATTGTACTTAAACAGCTGGCAGCCCATGGACGCCCTGAGCATCAGGATTACTGTCGCATCTCGCCCTTACCGACCTCCCTGCGTGTGAATAACTCCAGGAAGTCGGCTCTTTCAACGACGCAGCCCACCACTTCCCACCAAAGCATGACCTCTTCTTCCGATCCCGTCACCAATGACGCCGGCCTTCGCCAGCGCCAGAGGATTATTTCCTCTGCTGGCGACACCGACGAGTTGAATCCCGCGGTTCCCCGGGACGACAAGTCTGAGAGCTCTGAAGACGTCGACCAGAAACCCAAAAAGACGTTTGGTCGAACTCCCGATGGCACAGGTAGGCGGCGCCGCCGTTGCGTCTTCGTTTTGATATCTTGGCCGTGTTGCTCTTGGGGCTGACATGCTTCTCTCCGACAGTCTTCACAGTACCTACGACCCATGACATGGTGTCGCAGCTGCTCGATCCCAGACAGCCCAAGAACCTCTCCGACTTGCTGGTGCTCGCCATTCTCGCCGTCCACATCGGTGCCGCCTACCTGATCCCTGAGGGTTGGAAGCGCTCCGTCTTTGCCCTCGTTTTTCTCTTCTGGAGAGCCGCCTACAACATCGGCATTGGCTATCTCCTCACCATTCAGTCCCAGCACCGCAGATTGGAGACGTGGGCTGCGAGATGGAAACTCTTTGAACATCCTAGCTCGGGCAAGCAGCCGAGGCCATGGCTCTATAACATGCTCAAGAAAGAGCTCGAGGCCAAGATCCCTGAAGACTACGAGTTCGAAAAGGCTCCCATGGAGTACAACACCTGGCTCGTCTTCCGCCGTGTCGTCGATTTGATCCTGATGTGTGACTTCGTGTCTTACTGCCTCTTCGCCATCATTTGCGGCCACACTCCGGACGGCGAGGGTCTCTTGCTTGGCTTTGGCCGGTGGGCCGTCAGCATTGTGCTGGTCCTCTTCAACCTTTGGGTTAAGCTGGACGCCCACCGAGTCGTAAAGGACTATGCTTGGTACTGGGGTGACTTCTTCTACCTCATCGACCAAGAGCTGAACTTTGATGGCGTGTTTGAGATGGCCCCTCACCCCATGTACTCGATCGGCTACGCCGGCTACTACGGCATTTCCATGATGGCGGCGAGCTACGAAGTGCTCTTCATCTCCGTCATTGCACACCTCGCCCAGTTTGCCTTCTTGGTGATTGTCGAGAACCCCCACATTGAGAAGACCTACAACCCCCCGGCCCCACGCAAGCGGACCATCTCGACCCAGATCGGAGACAGATCCGAGATCGTCGCCATCAAGTCGTCTTCGGACTCCGAAGAGGTCACTGTCGAGCAGGCCCCGGTCAACAAAGAAGCCCCTACTCAAGTGCACAACATGCTTGGCTTCAACAACTTTGACCTGTTCCGCATCACAGACACTTCCGTCCTGCTTCTCGGGCTCTACCTGGCTATCTTGACCCTCGTCACCCCCTCGACTGCACTGTTCCAAGCAGTCTTTGTGGTGCATGCTCTGCTCTGGCGCGTGTGGTACCACCTGGGCCTGGGCGCTATCCTCTACGGGCAGTCCAAGAACAAGTTCTGGACGAGACACTTCCTCAAGTATGGCGAGAGCCATACGGAGGCTTGGAACCAGTGGAAAGGCATGTACCACCTCAGTCTGGTCATGTCTGCGTGCTCCTTCCTCGCGGCCTGCTGGAAGATGTACTCGCCCCCCGAAGACTGGGCCTATGGCTGGGTCTTGCTCAAGCACGTCGTCGGCGCGGGGCTTGTCGCGCTTCAGATCTGGACCTCGGTGAGCGTCTACGATTCTCTCGGAGAGTTTGGCTGGTTTTTCGGAGACTTCTTCTACGATAACACGGCCAAGTTGACTTACAAGTCCATCTACCGCTTCCTCAACAACCCCGAGCGCATCTTTGGAACTGCCGCCTTGTGGGGGCTCGCTCTGATCACTTGGAGCCGAGCCATCTTCGTCATGGCGTTGATCAGTCAGATTCTCACGCTCGGCTTCATCAACTTCATCGAGAAGCCGCACATGCAGAAGATCTACGGCCGGAGCCTGCGTCAAGAAGCGGGACTCACCAAGTTCATCAAGCGGTCTCTTCCGCCTCCGGTCCAAGGTTGGCAACGAGGTGTCGACAAGGTCCTCGACGGCACGGCGCAGTTCATCGAGGAATTCTTGGACACGGCGCGCCCCAAGTTCGCCGCTGGCATTGAGACCATTGTTCGCGACACTTCTGCCCTGTTCAACAAGTACCCGGCCAGGTTGACCATTACCCGACTCTCGCCCGACCTCGCAGGGTTGAACCCCAAGTTCTACTCCCTCACGGTGGCGGGTACTCCTTCGAGTCTATCTGCCGCGAATGAGCGGGCCACTGGCAAGGAGAGCGTCAGAGCTCGATTCCCTCGCGGCGTCGAGACTCAAATCTTTGAGTACGGCGCCCCCCTGAAGGTCAAGTGGCGAGCACCGGCGAAGCACGACAGCAAGGACTGGATCGGTCTCTACATGGTAACCGACAACCACTCAAGAGAGGTCACTGAGGTGTCTTCTCTGGGACGATGGGTTCCTACCACGCCCGGCAACTATGACGCGGCCACTGCGGACAAAGCCATCCTGGCTCCCGACCACCCCGTCCCGAAGAAGGACCCGTCCGAACCCGACCTCGTGGAAGGCGAGGTCATCTTCGAGGGCGATCGCCTGTGGTGGACTCAGGGTGTCTTTGAGTTCCGCTACCACCACGCCGGCAGCCACAATGTTATGAACATCTCCCAGCCGTTCGAAATCCGCATTGGCAAGTTTGACGAAGAGGACGTCGAGGTCGACGCCAATGGCATCTATGAGAAGGCTGTTGAAGAAGCACTGTTGCCTGTGGTACAAAACTGTTGCGACCGTGACCCTGACATTGCACCGACTACGGTGGAGGAGACCTTTGGCGGGCACGTCGAGAGGGACGGCAAATACGCCAAGCGGATCGTATATGCCATCCACCAGATGTTTGGCATTGAGTTTGCCCCAGCAATAGTTCCCGCCGACGGCAACATCAAAAAGATGGCCTGGCGAATCTGTAACGCGAAGCAAGTCTTGGTAAGTGGTGGTGTATTCGGATACACAGACCATGTGCTTACAAGTCATAGGCACCATACAGTATGTCGGCATCCAGAGGAACCAGCACCCCCACCGGCGCCCCCTTTGAGAAAGCCTAAGTGCTCCGCAAACAATCAAGTCTACAAGAAACAAGGTGCGCTCGTTGAATTTGCAAAAAAAAACAAAAGCTACAGGAATACGAAAGGGAAAAGGGTTGTCAGGCAACATTTTGATTACGGTATAAGCTTGGTTGAGTGAGCCTAGAACGTCGTCGGTTTAAGTTGACCCGAACAGCGACCCGTTTGCCGCAAGTTGGAACCTGGTCTTACGAGGAGGGAAACGCGTGGGACGGCGTCCGTGAGTTAGCCTGAGAAATAACATACCGCACTGCAGTGTTTTGTTCCCTTTAGCAGCAAAATCGTATCGGCACCTGAATTGACAAACCTCACCCATCAGCAGAGCAGGCACCGCGAGACACGGCACGGAAACACGGTTACGAGTTCCTGTCTTGAGGTGAGTGATGGAAACAGGTCAACAACATGCACCCTCTCCTCTTTCTGTATTACAGTACTTGTGCAGGTTCGATGCGCTTGATTTTAGGCAAAGAGCGAGGTGGTCTTCGGCGCTGGGGTAGCTTATCGAATCTGGGGTTCGGCTACTGCGGTCTTGCATAAGACGCTATAACACCGGGCACTTAAGCGCCAGACTTTCCATCCAAGAAAGTAACAGTCACAGCTTGAATTCGCGAAGGCAAGCGTTGAGGTAGATTTGGTAGATGCTCAGGGCAAATAGGCCTCAGCCGTGCGTGACGCGATAACGTGGATGTGCCATACCAACGACTGAAGCAAGAGGCAATCAAGACCAGCCAGCGACTAAAGGATAGAGTGAGCCAAAGCTGGATCCTCAAACAAGTCGCCCCCAAGAAGATGACATGGAGAACGACGTGAATGAATGCCAGCTGGCGTGTTACTGCGATACATTGTTGCAGACAGACCACCGCACCTTAGTCTGTTCAACAAACTCATGTTCAACCACCAGATCAGAGTAAAAGCTCGCATGTTATCATCTCACCAGCACACGGCATCTTCAGGAACACAAGCAACGAAGCCGAACGTTCTGTACGCTGCAGATCCAGCAAGCACGCGGCAGTTGGGGACGAGCCGTATCGGGCAGAGGCTGCAGGCACTTGGTGTGGCTCGTCGAACCTCGTGGCCGCGCTGGAGATGGGCGTTTCCATGCCATTCGCATCTCGCAAGCGGGCGATCGGCGAAGGAGCGTCGAATCATATTCTCGATATCTGCTGCAAAGGGTCGTCTGACTGCTCGAGAAGGAAGTCTATGTGACGCACAGGCTTAGATGAGGGTTGCTGTACCCCTGGACGGCTTCACTCGACTGCCGACGGCTCGTTCGGGATGGCAGATGAGGGGAACTCTTTGGGTTACTGTGTTCACTGTCATGAACGTGGCTTCGAGACTGCTTTACGGTGATGTTTTGAGGTTGTCCATTCGGGCGCCGATGTTGAGAATGTCAATAGCCCCAGTGGCCGGACTTGGCTCTCGGAAGCTGTGCTGGCGTCTCAGTCAAGAAGCTGTCAGCCTGCTGCTGAAGCGCCCGGGTGAAAATAAAGCTTAATTCACTATTATCGTGTTCCTGCATCGGATGTCGCAAACTGAGACACTTTCACTTCAACTTGTGTGGCGATGTGGCTTTGACACAACTGATTGTCGTTGGTTTAGCAATTGGACTTACACAGAACATTCCAATCAGGGAGTGAGAGACACAGATTAACGCAAATTGAGGAATTTCCAAGCCGCTCCACGAGGCATGACGGAACAGAAAAGACGATTGACGGTATGACCTAACGGCTAGACAAATAAGAGGCGGGATGAGAGCCACTTTTAGGCCCAGCCCGCATCAACGGGCCAGACCGATTCGTCAACTTGGTCTCTCCCTTATCTATCTCCACCCTTTTCCCCCTCTAAGGTATATAAGTAAAGCGTATTTATATACTATATAATTAGTATTTTAACTTAATATAGTAATAAAGTTAATATTATTTCTAATACTATAAATAAATAGGTTCCCTCTTAATTTAATTTAAAAGTAAATTATTAAAATCTAAACTTTAAGTATATAGTTTACTTAAAAAATAGTTATAAATAGCTTTATTTATTTAGGTTTTTATATTTTATTTAATAGAGGTATTAAATAGTAAAATTTAATTAACTTTCTCTTTTATCTCTCTTTTTTAAGCTTTTTTAACTCCTTTAAGATAATATTTATTATTATATTAATAGCTATTTAAATACTCTATTAAAACTTTAAAGATAGCTTTTATAACCTTTAAGTAACTACTAAATAAAATAAAATCTCTTTTAAATACTTCTTTAAGAATAAAGATATTATAATATATTAAAAGCTTAATTATTTTAAAGATATATTTATTTAGCTTTTTCTCTATAATATATAGCTCTAAAAGATTATTACTTATAGTAAAATTATTATTTAATTAAATTATAAGACTTTATTAAATATATATTAATTCCTCTTAATTAATATCTATTAGAGTAAATATTATTTAGCTAATTATTTCTATATATTAGCTTATATTTTATATTAAAATATTATTCTTAATACTATTAGAGAGACTTCATAAGAAAAAGGAGAAATAATTAATATTCTAAAGGTTATAATAGAATATAGAGGGGGAAATAGCTATATAGTAATAATAATAGGGTAAATAATATATAAAGTAGAGTTTTAGCTTAATTAATATAATAGTAAAGAAGTTTAAATAGTATACTTTTTTATAGGAGCTACCTTAGGCTTTTTTATAGGAGCTACCCTACCCTTTTCCCCCTCATCACACGCACACTTCCTCTCCGCTTGTTCCTCTCCTCCTCCTCCTGCTCTTCTCCACATTCTCCGCATTACACACGGCACACAACAAGCAGCTCGAGGTAACCTTCCCCACTCGAACCACAAGTTGGCAGAGTTTGTGCAACGCTCATTTCTGAGGGTGGGCGAAGACCGGACGACCACCTCCCATCCGATGTCGAGCCGTTTACCGTGGTCCAGGCGGCTGCAAGTGGCCTCTTCTGATGCTCATCTCTTGCACCCCTCGACGAGGTCCTCGACCGGAGACTACTAGTGTGTGCCGACACAGTCAGGCAGACGGACGGTGAGTGCGGACCCCGCGGATGTCTTCTCCCAGAGACGAAGACTCCGGCATTGCTGTTCAACCCCTGACCATCTACAGGGTATCTCCCTACCACAACCAACTTCAGGCCAGGGCCGTTGACCAATCTTTGAAAAGTGTCCGCTCTGCACTCCGACTCGGACAGGAGTTCAGAGCCGTCCGACCACCCGTCATTCATCAAGCCGACTTGCTCTGCCTCTCTCCCGGGCTGGACGCTGCGGAGGCCTGCCCCGAATAAAGTGATTAAGCCTTTTAAGGTTACGACCAGAAGCACGGAAGAATCCCGTTCTGATCCCAAACGGGACATCGCATCCCAGTTTCAAAGCCCAAGCAAACCGCTGTCTGTGGGTTTTACCAAGGCGAGAAGGCCGTCAGACGGACCAGGGAACCAAGGTCAATCGTCAATGGGACAATCGTTGACGGATTCAGAGTAGTCGACCCGTACTGGGCCCTGGATTATTCGGTCTCCTCGACTTGTTGACCTGACGTAGGGTGGTCCCAGCCCGAGTACCACCGAATATGGGCCGCCTTCGCTCCTCAAGACGACGTCGTCGTCCCGTTCTCTCGTCGTCTCATCTCGTGTTCCCCATCCTCGCCGTCTCCCTCGCTTTGCTGTGCTTCTTCTCCGCGCTGCTGCTGCTGCTTTCGTGTCGCTCGCCCTGCACCTCGAACTTCATCTGCCGCTCGTTCGCGAACCGTTTGCTGCCCGACATGATGCGAGACCTGCTCCCCGCGGGCTTCGTGCCGCTGCTGCTGTCGTCACTGGCGGCTGCTCCCGCTCCAGCCGCTGCCGCCATCCTGTACGCGTCGTCGTACAGCGGCACCATCACCACGCTCAACTTGACTCTCTCGGGCAATAACGGCACCCAGTCTACCCTGCAATCCCTTTCGACCTCCAACGGATGCGCACCTAGCCCGTCCTGGTTGACTCTGGATCAGCCGAACGCGAAGCTTTACTGCACGGATGAGGGCTTGACTACCGACCACGGCACTGTCTCGTCCTTCACGACCGGGCCTGATGGGAAGCTGGAGCAGCTCTCAAAGGTCGACACCATCAGCGGCCCCGTGAGCGCTGTTCTCTTTGGTGAGAAGGGAAGCGGCCTGGCTGTTGCTCAGTAGTACGTTCACGATCCATCTCACGCGCCGTATCACGTTGCCTCATATGACATCTCCCTTTTGACCATTCGCATACGCTCATTCCCCGCGCCGCGTGAGAATATCACCTTGTCTTATTCTGACATCCGACGCAGTGGAGGCTCCTCTCTGAGCTGGTTCGACATCACGAACCCGGCCGCGATCACGCCGGTCAAGTCGGAGACCTTCAACATGACCGGCCCCGGTCCCAATCCCTCGAGGCAGGAGGCACCCCACCCTCACGAGGTCGTCCTCGACCCCAAGGGCCAGTTCGTCCTGGTGCCCGACCTCGGCGCCGATCTCGTCCGAGTCTTCGCCGTCGACGGCAAGAACCTCATCGCCTCGGAGCCCCTGAAGGCCGCTCCCGGCAGCGGGCCGCGCCATCTCGAGTTTCTCGTCACACCGGAGGGCAAGACGTACATGTACCTCATCGCCGAACTCGCCAACACCGTCACCGCCTTCGACGTCACCTACCTCGAGAACAAGACGCTCGGGTTCAAGGAGGTGTACTCCGGATCGACCTACGGCAACGGTGACTCTGCGCCTGCCGGAGCCAGCGGTGCCGAGATATGGATTTCGGTATGTTTATTGTCAACGGACGACCTTGCAAAGAACCCTGTGCTAACGGCCTTCCAGTCTGACGGAAAGTTCCTGACCGTCTCCTCGCGCAACGACAGCGCCTTCAGCATCACCAACCCCGACACCAACGAGGGCGCTCAGGTCCCCTCCGACTCCCTTAACAGCTTCAGCATCAACGCCCAGACCGGCGAGCTTACCCTTCTGCAAAAGTTCCCCGCCGGCGGCCGCATTCCCCGCCAGTTCTCCGTCAACAAGGCCGGCTCGCTCGTCGCCGTCGGTTTGCAGTCTGACAGCCGCGTCGTCATCATCAGCCGCGACGCTGCTTCAGGCAAGCTGGGAGAGATTATTGCGAGCACAAAGGTAGAGGGTGAGGTGACCGCCGTCATTTTTGATGAATGAGGCGACTGTCTCGGCCTCGTACGCTCATGAACCCAAGGGAAGAACACGAGAACGGGATACCCATGAACCATTAACAGCAGGTTCAACGATCTCATCTTGCCTAGGGACGGGCGGAAATTGTAAATAGCTTATGACAAAGCTTACATTTGGAGATTCTGTGGTATATATAGACAACAAAACAATTTCTCAAGCGGCTCAATCCCCACCAGTGTCCCTGTATGGACTGTCTTGCGGGCAGCCATGACCAAAGAAGGACACATGTCTAATCTTGAATGCATTTAGGGGCCGCAATAATGGTTAGGGTGCCTCATCGAGGCACTGCACGTGGACGAAGGGTCACCCACATGACCTTTCTCAACTCAGTCTCATCTCACCGATCACCCGTGCCGCTGCTACGAGTATTCTTTTATCCAGAAAACCAGCCAGCCCCTTTGCCTCTTGACCGAGAATGAGATGCAATACCCGTAAAATCAAGGGTTCTGCCTTAGATGTCATCAGAGATGCCGTTTGACGGTCCTGCCGCGAGATTTCTCGCTTTTTCTCACCTGCCGCTGCCGGGGCTAGACTCAGAGTTGACCATGTTGGGCAAGACATGGTGTCCTAATGAGGTAGCCGAGGACGGCTCGCATGCAGGTTGAACCAGAGTTCAGGTGTGCGGTCTCCGGCCGGGTGAATGAGCATGTCTTGTCATGATTTGAGGTCGAGTAAGGAAGGGACTTGTCACTACTGCCCTGGCGAAAAGTTGAGTCCCCCTCCGAACGTACATCTCATGATACGTCTCAGGGTTATCTGGGCATGACATGCCTACGGCACTCTGATTCATCGACACACCACCTTGAAGATGTTGGTAAAACTTCGAATGCTGCATTTTCATGTTCGAGGCCTTTACATGCCTGAATGAGCCAGCGACCCTGGACAGCTGAGCAGCACCGACCAACATACACTCAAAGGACCAGGACATACCCATTACAAAGCAATAATACCTTGCCAATGGACGCCACCTTCATCACAAGTACCGGCTGCCATGTTGTATGCAGCATGCGCTGAAGTACAGAGTTATGACGAAGCCACTCAAAGTTCACGGCCCACCAGGCCTCATTTCCATTCCCCGACGTGAATATCGCGGAGATAAGATGCTGGCATGAGACCACCAGCTTCCTCCTCGACAAAAGTCCAGGCCTTACAGCACATCCATCCTGTGTGCGTGAAAGAGGTCCGTTCGCGGCTTGTATTTCGACTAGAAGGAAACGCTTGTTTCTCTCCAGGCTGCATCAATCATGGATTGTCGAAACAGACCTCCACAACGGGAAGAAACAATGGCTCGATGCGACCCTGAACCCCGGAACCCAGCAAAAACGAAAGGTGCCCGACTTGGGTTCACCACCGTGGCCGCGCTGAGATTATTGGGGGCGGGACACGGCAGAGAGCGCCCTGGTGAGCTACATGCAGGAAGCGGTTATGAGAGAGTCTGAAATCTGGTATCGAATAGAATCGTAGATGCGGGATGTCGGGAGAGTGACGCTGTGGGGTTGTCACTGCGGATGGTGTGAGGGATGGGCAACCCGCCCGCAATCCGGACTCACGGGGAACAGCCTGGGAGAATGAGCGGGACGGCTCTTTGCCGCTTGCGTCAATTTCAGGTTCGTTACGCTGGTACTGATGGAGGATCGAGTACCAGCTGACGACGGCATGAATGCGTGATCATGTCTGCCGTGGTGGAGTACTCGAGAACGTGGACGGTTCCCTGTTTCACGAGCGGCTTCCGGTATGACTTGCTCTTGACAAGGACATATCCGATGGGACTGGAACGCATGGGGCGAGGCTGGACTTTCTTCTGTCGTATCGCGAGCAATGGCTCGATGCGCCGAAGAGGAGTCGTTTCATTTACCCTCAGCCGGTTTTGACCCAGACTTACAACTGTTAGACCACATCGACGAGGTGGTCGATGTCCTCTACTGCTCCTCGTGTATTGACGAATGACGACTTCTGGTCACTTTGTGTGATAAGTTTCCTTGGGAACCAATAGGTCCTAGGCCTAAGATATCGTTCACTGCAGGGGTTTTTGAAATCAAACATTAGTAGAGTAAACCGGGTTAGGTGCAGAGCTCACTTGGCCGGAACTAGTCCATCTTACTCCAGCACAGTCGTGAGCAACGGCGGTCTTGTGAAATGAGTTGTGGCACAGCGTGATGATGACTCGCTTCGGCAGAGACTCATTTGAAAGACTTGCGATGGAGGATGAAGGATTCGAATGCTCAACTCTGTAGAAAGACGGTCTCCTGTTGGTGAGACGGCGCACGGATCTTGACAGGGCTACCACGTTTTTACTGACAATCCCTCGCAGTCGGGCCGTTGGAGGTCAAAGTCAAATTCATGCGGGTAAGGCGGAGAGAAACGCCGAGAAGACGAATCCGGGGTCCAGACGTTGTTGATCATGAACCTGTTGGTGGTTGGTTGTGACTTGCGGATTGGAAAGAGTATCTATCCCTCAGCATGTATGTGGCCTCAAAGATGCTCACATCACTGCTGGCGGAAGTGGATATTTCTCACCGCCCAGAGAGCCTGGTTCAACGGGTAGAGGACGGCCGGGTCAGCCCCTTGAGTTGATGTACAGTGAAGGCAATGACTGGTGCATGAATCCAGATACTAACCTGCTTCGACTAGACAGTGAAGAAGGACAGAAGCAATGTCAACTATGGGACCCTAACGCATGTTCGAAACTCCCGAGAGTCTTTAACAAGTTACACAGTGCCTGGTAAAATCTTGTTTGCCTGACTGAAGCCGGGCGCAATGGTGAAATTGCGAGAGTGCCATGAAATGCTTCACAAGCGGCCATGCCACAGTAGCTGTACTTGGACAGTCAGTTGAGTTGAGATTAGCGAAGCTTGGACACAGGCGTTGATGGAGATGCAAATGGGACGATTCGCGGCAGGCAATGTGTACTCGCATGCCCTGGTTGAGAGCCGAACAATAGATACGTAGAAACTTGAAGCAGGTACGGATACTCGTTTGGCCCGCGAAGTCTGGAACCAGTGGGAACCTGGAAGGGACGGGTCGCCAACGCTCATTTCCCACGCCAACCCGACTCACTTACGAATACCTCAGCTTCATGTTATGAGCAAGGTTGGCTCGACCCCGCAACCCATCACCCAGCCATCATCGCGACAAGTCCTATCCAGAGCGCTTGCTGAGCTATCTTGCCTTGGAAATGTACTCTTCGGTAGCGCCAAGTTCGCCCTCGCCACGTGAGTCTTCAACCGTCTGCAGAAGTCTCTTTCTTCTCTCATCACGTCGTCTATCTGATCAAATCTACTGACACACATCAAACCAGTCAACTTGGTGGCAATGCCTGACGTCTTCCGACGCCTCAAAAGGAATGCCACCGAATGGCCACAGACGATTTGAAATGAGCATCGATGATTACAAGCGACACACACCCGAGAGAGATGGCTGTCCACCACTACTCCAACTCCAACTCCAACTCGCGAGCCCCCTCACGTCTCCCCCGCCAACCGTCAGTACGGATAGTTCCCTCCCCCAGATTGGCAGGGCCGATCAATACCCACCGCGGCATGATTCGAGACTCTGGGGTCCTCGAATTCTCGCCGTGCAGTAACGCCCTGCACGGCACGGCACAGCAACAAACATGGGACTGGGGCTGCTGACGGCCCATCAAGTAATTGCTGCGCTATACATCCGCCGACATGAGGATATCTGACTTGGTCTTTTCACGCTGCGTATCGGACCATGAGGGCGCGAAGGGCCACTTCTGTCAGTCACAATCGCCAGGCAATCCCATGTAACGTGTTGCTTCGGGCCCTCTGCAATACCTTGCTTCGCCAAAGTCCTCTACCATCAAACTTTCCGAGCGGCTTCACGTTTCCTTCGGAGGACTTCGGATATGACTTTCGCTTCTCCTCTCCACCAAAGATGTTTGCTCTCCATCTTGAAGACGGCCTCCCCCTTCACCGGCAAACCCACGCACATACAGGCCGTGTCTCCAACCCACACCACCAACATGATGTATGGAACTCGGGCTAAGACGATAAACAGGGACGTTGAACCAACCAAACACCAAAGTACCGCCTTGTATCCGTAGTATTCACAGAAATGCGCAACAAGGCTCCCACACGGCCCGGCACCCTGTTCTTCTGTCTGTCCTCCCCTCGTTCCACGTCCCTTTGGACTGGTTTGGATGGAGAATGGAGAAGCTCCCAGCGCCTGCAGCCTCTAGCGTGGTCTCGTTTCCCATGCCCTGGTTTCCCCTCCCCCCGTCTCATTCTCTCCCATCCCATCCCTTTCTCATTACCATCCCATCCCCGTTTCGTCCCATGCCCGTTGTGGCCGCCGGTTCTGACTGGCCTGGCCTGACCTACCCGTCTGCTGCTGGGGATGCAGATGGGGCCTTGGACTGCGTCTGTCACTGGTGCACCAATAACTCCAGCATTTCTCATGCCGGGGTTTGGGCCCGGGGCAAAAGAGACGAAGCTGCCATGAGGACTTCCGCTCAGATTTGCTGTGCCTTGCCTTTACCGCCAGGTCACCCTCCATATGTATGTGTGTATCTATGTTGGATGCTGCCGTTCCCCTGGGACTCCTGAACAAGCACCCAGCAAGCATCGCACCAGCCAGCGGTCGTGTGTATTCCTCCGCATTTCCCATGCTCTAGAACCATTTCTCCCATAATAACTGCTCCACTGCCGTGCATCCCCTTCTCTCTCCTCTTCACCACTCCGTCTCTTCTCCCCTCACAAGGAACGAGTAAGAAACATCCTCGACAGCCTCAAGCGTGGTCCGACGTCCTCAGCCTTGGGCGAAGTCCTGTCGAGCAGATAAGCCGCCATACCAAGCCCTTCCCATCGGACATCGCGTCTCATTCCACATCGACCTGACGGTATTTCGATCCCCCGCCCGCCCGGAGACTTCCCCGTCAAACGCTCCACCAGAGCGACTCAACTCAGAACCGACAGCATTGTGCTGCGTGTCGCGGCGCACCAGAGTCTGCCCACCACGTCGTCCACGCAACTTCTTCGCCTCCAGACCCAGGCAATGTCCCCGTCTTCGACGGGCGACTCTCCCCACTCGGCCAACGGCACTGCGGGGAGGCCCTTTCCCGTCCCGTCGCGTGAGAACTTCACCATCGAGGTGCCCTCGCCTTCAATGGCTTCCCTTACAAACGGCATCCATCCTCTCAAGTCGCCCGCGTCGCTCAAAGCGCAACGGACGCCTAGTTTCAGCAGAGATGGAATTCTCGGTTCCGCGCAGAAGGCCCGCAACATGTCTCAGTCTTCGGACAACCGCCCCGATCCTCTCATCAACGGCATTCACAAGCCACCGAGTGACGAGGACTCAAACCCCCTCAAGAGGAGGAACACAGACGCCGGCGTTGACTACCCACGGAGAAGGGCCACAATCGCGGTATGTTGACGCAACCGACAGGTGACCACAAATGAGCGCTGCTGCTAACTGGCCCGAAAGTGCGAAGTCTGCCGGTCTCGCAAGTCCCGTTGCGATGGAACCAAACCCAAGTGCAAGCTCTGCACCGAACTGGGTGCGGAATGCGTCTACCGAGAACCAGGAATCAAGCTGGACGCCGGAGACAAGCTCATCTTGGAGCGCCTGAACCGCATCGAGAGCTTGCTGCAGATGAACATGGTCGCAGGACAAGCGAACGGCATCGCCATCAACCAGGAGTCTCCCTCGATGAGCAACGGGTCAGGACTCAACGGGGACAGCATGATGGGCATCTCAGGCACCGGCAACTTCGTTTCCATCATTCCCAGTGGCGGCCTCGGTACATGGAACACAAACATCTCTACCATGCCCAAGCTACACACAAACGCCGCGCTGCATCTACTGCAGTGGCCGCTGATCCGCGATCTCGTATCACGGCCTTACGATCCGCAGATCCTGCTTCAACTGGAAATGGCCCGCGAACCCCTCCACTCACTCACCAAAACCCCATGCGTCGATCTCTCCAACACCACCGCATACATCGAGGCTTATTTCGAACGAGTCAACGTCTGGTACGCCTGCGTGAACCCATACACCTGGAGAAGCCACTATCGCACGGCCCTTTCGAACGGCTTCCGTGAGGGTGCAGAGAGCTGCATCGTTTTGCTCGTCCTGGCCTTGGGCCAAGCCAGTCTGAGAGGCAGCATCTCGAGAATCGCGCCCGGAGAAGATGCCCCCGGTCTTCAGTATTTCACCGCCGCCTGGGCTCTTCTCCCGGGCATGATGACGTCCAACAATGTCCTGGCCGCCCAGTGTCACTTGCTGGCTTCCGCCTATCTGTTCTACCTCGTGCGACCCCTCGAGGCCTGGAACCTCCTGTGCACCACCAGCACGAAGTTGCAGCTTCTGCTGATGAATCCCAACCGGGTCCCGCCCAACCAGAAAGAACTCATCGAGCGCATTTACTGGAACTCGCTTCTGTTTGAGAGCGACTTGCTCGCCGAGCTGGATTTGCCACACTCTGGCGTCGTTCAGTTTGAGGAGAACGTCGGTCTCCCGGGCGGTTTCGAAGGCGAGGAGCAGGAGGCGATCGGCCGGGATGATCTCTGGTACTTTCTGGCCGAGATTGCGCTGCGGCGGCTCCTCAACCGGGTTAGTCAACTGATCTACTCGAAAGACTCGATGGCATCTACCACCAGCCTGGAGCCCGTGGTGGCGGAACTCGATTTTCAGTTGACGCAATGGTACGAGAGTCTACCGGTGCCGCTCCAGTTCCCCTTCGGCCGCGCGTCACTCTCAGATCCGGTGCAGACGGTTCTACGTCTACGATTCTTTGCTTGCCGGACGATCATTTACCGCCCGTACATCCTGGCCGTATTGGACAACGAGCAGGCCGTGCTGGATCCCGCTGTACGACAGAATTGCCACAGGTGCCTAGAAGCCTCCATCCGGCAACTGGAGCACATCAACGCGCAGTAAGTATCAGGTCACGCCACGTGCTGCGGTGACAGTGTCCCGTCCTCGACGTGTTAGTACTAACTGGCCGCAGTCATGCCGGCCATATGCCGTACCTGTGGCAAGGAGCTCTTTCGATCGTCTCGCAGACACTACTCGTCATGGGTGCGACCATGTCGCCATCGCTCAGCAGCATTCTCCTGACACTTGTTCCTCACCGGGAAACCATTGATCAGATCATCAATGACGTGGTTATGGAAATTGAGCGATATTCAACCCTGGCGCCTAGCCTCAGTCTCGCTGCAGAGATCATCAAGGAGGCCGAAGTCAGAAGGAGGGCCTACCTGAGCGGATGAAGGCCGCGGTGGTCCGCCGCCGATACGGCTTGCATCCAGTTCTCTGAGGAACGGCCCACACGTCACTCACCGTGTCCAAAAATACCACGCATGCAGACCTGCATCTGACAGGAGTACGGTGCCAAAGCAACAGCGCGGTGCTGACTGTGTGGCACCAGCACTTCCACCTTCGATCCGGCGTACCTAGTCCACGAGATGGCCGTCCCGGATTACCTTCCCCGACGATGGTTTAACACACACATCAAACCCGCGGCAAACGGTCCTCGTTAGTCCACTCGGCCAACTGCTGAACTGTTCAGTGACCAATTCGATGCCAGGGCATTCTCACTGACACAAGACCCGCCATTCAACCAAAGCTGCATGCCACGGCTTACACGGCTTCTTAGAATAAGTCGATCCCGCCCGCACGGGGATATGGACGCCCCGCGACGCCCACCAGCTCTGAATCTGGGGAAGCGAGCATACGCAGGACGACAGAGTGGATGACAGAGAAACATCCGGGGTGCAGAGAACAGTCTGGGGTTGCACTACCTAGGGGCGGGTTATGCGGAGGCCCGCAAGTTGGGGAGCAATGGTTGGCGGGTAATACTGGCCTCACCGGTATTCGGACCGACAATCCGGACGCTCACTCATCCGACCAATGGTTCCATCCAACGCCAACCCTCTTCGAGACAACTCGCCCGCCATCTCCGGATGATGAGAGGAGAAGCGACGCGAGGGCGGGCTGCTATCACTTCTCATCGACATGACTTCGAGAACAGTCTGATTCTTCAGCAGCAAGTCTACATGCTGACGGCTTGGGAGGGACTGTTGGGGGCTATCCCGCTTAGCCATTTCTTTCTCGTCACAACCTCATTCGGCCAGCTCCCGCCCAGCCATATGGTATCGAAGGGTGTTGGAACTCTGGTCACTGGTGAGTATGACCGATCGAATTCCAGACGGGTTTCGTGAGGAGGAGCAGAGCGCTTGAATTTCGGTATTTGGGTGTGACTCTTGCGGAAACGGCAACTCTTGATGAGGATTTTGTAAAACAACCCATTCATGAAAAAATACCCCTTTCTGTACTGCAAATACCACACGTGATTAGAGTCTCTAACTCGGATGAAGCATACGCCTTTGGCGCAGATGCTGGAGTGATGCTTCGCAGACATGTCGATGAACCAAACCATGGGGCCGCAAATCTGCACCGAGCAACCAATCTCCTCCCCAATTTCCCTGATCAAGAAGGTCAGGCTACAAGTCTAACCAGCCTCGAGTCCAGGCCGTCCTCTCATTTGTCCAGCAGAGCACCCCGACGACTTGGCTCTCGCTGCGGGGTCGGTCCCTCACAAGCTGCATACGCGAAACTTGGAGAACATGCGACAAGGGATCTCACATACAGGGCAGTCACGAGGCGTGCTATAGCCGCCCTGCGTTATACCCTCCCTTGGCGTACTTCTATACAGATTCAGTTGTTGACTGCATCCAGTCGGCCTCGTGGCCCTGCCCTGTGGAGTCCATTCGATCGTGTGTTGGTGGGTGCAGCGACGGCTGTTGAATGTGGAGGACAGCATATGTGCCTCGTTGTTCAGGGGCAGATGAGAGGCCGCAGTGTTGATGGTCTTTTGGGTAGGTCGTTGACGGCTTGCGACTGTGCCGACGCAGGTATCTCAAGTAAAGTGCGCGCTGCATCTATGATCCAGGCGCAGGAAGAGAGATTGGTGCCACATCGACAGTGAACGGCCTCCGTCCCGGTTACCGGCATTTGACTCTCGTGCAACGGCAGTGCAGCCGTGAGGAATGTGTACGACTTCAACATGCACATCCGAGTCGTCAGTAGTGTCCGGGCCAAAGGGATGCGAGGGTCGGTCATCCCCTGATCGCTGTTGACCCCTCCATTCGGGAGACTCCTTCGGGTGTGACTTGCTTGCACATGTGAGAATGGCTGAAGTAGCAACCCGACAGACGGGACTTGGCCGTTGGCAGGGCAAGGTAGATGGCACCGTAGCGCCGGGTGTAAGTGCCCGTTTTCGAATGCCGGTGCGGGTGTGGGGTTCGAGGCCGGGGGATTGGGGACGCGGACGCGGAGGGGTCGTGGAGACCCATGAGACCGAGGCATCGGGGCGCAGGGGGTGTTTTCGTGGAAGATGGGAGATCCACCAATGGGGAACTGCCTTGCATATTCGAGAACGGTGATGGATGCGAGAGATCTGGGGAAGGGATGCCGAAGAATGTGCGGATTCGGCCGGTTGGTGGCTTTTGAAGACCGGACGGTCTCAGTTACAAGACGGGTATATTTCGCCTGTGCGAATGGGGTGCTGTTCTTGTTGAAGAACAGATTGAGTTGTCTCTAAAGACATTTCTTTTTTGGTTAGATGCTACGGATTTGTCAGGAACATGAACTAGCCACCGGGTCTCTTGTGATGTTGTAGCTTACGAGCTTGCTATATAGTCATAGATCTGACTTCAATCAGCAGATCTCATTCCGTATGATATCCAACAAAATATCAGCGTGCAGAGCGAGACCTTTCAGCTTCGCATAAAGCTTTTGCTTCGGGCAGTGAGCGATAATGTTGCGTATTCTCGTCGAACTGATTTCGTCTCCTTTTGCTTCCGTCAAGATGAAACGAATCGAATAGTCTGGTTTTTTCTTGCGCTGACAGACTGCCACGTTCCGAGATAGATCGAGAAACCGTTGTCGAAATCTTTCCTGTTGATGACTCGATTCTAAAGACATCACATCAGTATAATTAACACATTGCTTATGTGATTCTTACCTCTCTCAAGCCGCTCCTCAGGTGTGGATAGGTCGAGTAATGCCATCAATGCAACTAAACCGATGGCGCTCTGCCTCGTTCGTTCCTCTAGGCCTGAGTTGTTCCAATGTACCGGTTTCCAGGAGGTGCAGGCGGGAAGTTCACGCAGTCGGTTGTTTCCCGTGACGATATCCGATGCCCTTAAGGCATTGCAGGTGATGATATCCTTGCAGCCGCAAGCTCCCCAAGGAATTGGCTTAGATCTACATATATGGTCTGGCCCGATTAGTGCTGTGAACTTGATCTCGAAGCCATCTCGACCTGCGGCTCTCGAAAGGCGTTTGCTGAGTTTGCCCCAGTCGTATTCGCTGCCATCGTAGACCCAGTACCAGTTGGATAGACCATTACCCTGCCACAGACGCACCCTCTGACTCTTGGGGAGCTGGAGGCCGCCTTTCCCGCACTTTCTCCATATCACGTCATCATCAACTGGTAGGATGATTGCCGCGATAACGTTGATATCTTGACTTCTTTCATATGCTTCCTCGAGAAACTTGTGATGTCCGACGTGAGGCGGATTGAAGCATCCGGGATAGACCAGAATTTTGTTTGTTCGGTCTCGGACGAGCATCGGTCTCCGATGCATGAGTCCTGCTTTTTCGAATATGTCCGTGGCATAAGTCCCGATCTGATGGAAATCTTGCCGTATGTTGTAATGGCACTCTGCAATGTATTTGCCCAAGTCTTCAGTCTGTCGAATCTCCTCCATGTTTCGTGTCATATTCTCGTGTCATATTTTGGACGATGTTTACCGCTAGAGAACCTCAAAGATGATGCCTTAAGGGTTCTGGTGTATGGACCTGGTGCCTCAGCAGGTGAGTTGAAGTGAGTTCTGGACTTCTGAGAGCAAAATAAATGCCTTGAAACCCGTTTATAAGTCGAGAACGAATAACCGGAAAGTTAAAATCGCATATCTGAAAAAGCATGCCAGCAGCGTTTAAGTATGCGGATCCGAGAACTTTATTGAGAGTTAATGCAGGAGGCCTACCACAGACATGTCAAACATGTGGGCTCTCATACTCGACTCGATTATGTCAAGACCAGCAGTCGGGCTTCCTGGGAAGAGATGAGTAGACTAAGGTCTTCATCGGGTAGAGAAGCTGAGTGGATAGCGTTATGGCGGAACAATACTTTCATCATGAAAAGAGCTCCGGATACTCGAAGCATTTGGCTCGGGCATCTGCTCTCACTTTTTACTTGTTGAATCTTATTGCAAGGCAGAAGGATTGTGGAACAGTGTTAACATCTCAGGCCAACTACATACTTCTGATGGTCAACTCAAGACTGCAGGAACGCATGAGTTTATGTTGCTCAGACCAACGACTACAGGAAGATACTTCTCAGCGGAAGAAACGGAACTGTAAGACCGGATAGAATGTACCAACGGTATCACTGCTGTAAGATTGCATCGCTAAATTGTGATGTAGGGGTGCAAAGTAGTCGGTTTCTAACTTGAATTCGAAAAGCCGATACTGATACCGGAAAGAAGACGCAAAAGTGGTTCAAGCACAGGCAACCTGAGAACGAATTCAGGCCCTGCTCGTGGCCATTTGCTGACAACAGCAGACCGAAGTCAAGGCGGGGACCGGGCGAGTGAGGAGCTAGAAATCTGTTGCGATGCATCAAGCCCATGAAAATCGAGTGTTGTTGATCAGCTGGACAATAAAAACCACCATTTACAGGCTGAATCAAGGAAGCACCTTGAGCAGAAGCGGCAAAGAAAGGTAGATTAGACGATCGACAAGGCGGTCAGCCGGCCGAGCCAGGCACCAGCTCCGACCGCCGCATCGGCCCCACTCGGGCCAATCGGGGCGGCACCGGCTGCGCCGTAAGCGCCGACACACCGAATCGCCGATCTCTATAGCTATCTAGTACTCTGTAATGGCCATGCCAGAGGCCCGACTTCGGGCCTTTGATGCACTTTGCAAAATAGCATACATGATTTCCTGTGTACCGTGGCTGTAGGTCCTTCACAGGACTACACGCGGTCTGCATGCTCAATGGTTGGTTGGACACCAGATTAAGGTACTGTCGGACGAATCTGACGCTGACGGGCCGGCGGCGCTGTCGTGATTCGGGAATTAGTGATGAACTCGTGGCTGGCACGCGAGGGCATAGCGCACGTGCGTCCGACCAGCTGTGAAGGTAAGGTAACGGTAAGGTAGTTCCAGCGGTTCCCTCGCTTCTGCGGCACCTGCGCACTGCAGGCTTCCAAGGTTGCTGGTGTTGTGAATTGTAAGACCCGTGGACGTCTGCGCTAGGCTAGTCCTGCCGAAGTCGAGTTTTCAGGCAGGCAACGGCGGCCAGAGCGGTCAGGTCAGTCAGGGCCGCTCCCTGCAGGGCGGGACACTGGACGCTAGCATCAGGGCTCAGCCTCCGGTTCGTTCCCGCGAGGCATCCTTCAGGTACTTCCCGTCAGCAAACCTTCTCTGCCGCCCCAAGAAACGCAAAGTCGAGACGGAGCGGCACGCGGCACGCGGCGGTGTCCCTGAAGTGAAGTGAAGTGAAGTGAAGCTGAAGTTCGGATAGCCCGTCAGCTCAGACGACGCACGACGTTGCCGTCCGTCGGTACTTTATGGCATGTCATGGTCTATGGGAGTCAACTTCAAACAGATCGCTGCAGCTGAATGAGTCGAATTCAATTGGCCGCGTGAGAGGAGTCACTCATCGTTCCGGACTGCGTATGGCGTCGGATCATGTTCCAATGCCAATGCCACTGCCACTGCCACTGCTAATGCCAATGCCATTCTCCAGTCAGGTAATTAGCTCACAGCAGGCGGGCCACAGAGGGCACGAGACGTTGGGGATTCACGGGTCTTCAATGTTCAAGAGACAGCACTGAGGTTCCAAACCCCATCTAGCCTCAACGGGGGCCAATCGGTTGGTTTGGTGTCAGTGGCCCCCTTGTCTTACGAGCAAGCCCGGGCAATGGAATGACTCTTTCTCACAAACGGCCTCGCCAATGTTGCAGCCATTTTCAGGTTTGGAGACTTTGATTTGCCTGGAATGTCCCCTTGCTTTTCTCTCTCTCTCTCCAGTCTCTTTCCTTGGAACGGATACGGGAACCTGATTATTATTGTACCTAAGGTAATGCCACCAGACCAGGCCAAACCAACAGCATCCTTAGGCTACCTTACCCTACCTACGGTTACGGTAGGTTACTATCGACCGACCTGCGTCTGTCCGCTTCTTCCACTTTGTAACCTGACCTCCCGTCGTCCTGCGTGTCGTGATCCAACGAGTCCGCCCAACCAACGCCGGCCCCATCAAGCGAGCTCGCTGACATCTATCGCCAAATACCTGCGTCCGTCTTCGGTCCCTCTCGCCATTCGATTCCGTCTGACTTCTCCCCACAACGCACACCTCGCCGGCCAAACAGCTCCAGCTCCAGCTCCAGCTCCAGCTCCCACTGCTGCCCGATTGATACCTCACGAGAGCGAGGCAAACCGTCGACGTCGTCAGGTTTCATAGGGCGCACCATATCACCTCTCGCCCGCCTGCGTAGTGCATGTCCGCCATGCAACCTGTCGAATAAGCCCAATCATAGCTATAGGCATGCATTGAATTCGCCCACTCACGCGCAACCAGCTGTCCGGTTGCCCTATTCGACACCCCCCCCTCCCTCCCCTTCGATTCACAACTACCCGTCTCGCCTCGATCCCAATTCCCTCCCGCTCCTCTTCCCGGATGAGGCTTTCTGAAGCCCAATGGCCTACCGAGATGTGGACGACTGGCACAGGAGAACGGCGCAGAGGCGGTACCCCCCAAGCCCGCTGCCTGTAGCCGAACACGAATGGCATGGAGCTGGTGAGACGACATTCGATTCGCTGCCGTACCGGAGACCCAAAGACCTTATACCAGCACCCGACGAGACAACTTCGTCCCCTGGACGAAGCCGGATATCGAGGAACAGCAGCGGCGCGTCTGCCACCGTCGTCGAGACGATGCCCGTCCTTTCCAGAGCCCAAGTGCCAGAGACCTATAGAAGAGGGAGATACCCGGCGCCAGACTATGACTTCGACTCGTATGCGGAGGAGGACGACATGGTGCCAGCGCCGGGTCCGAGGATGAGCCCTAGGCGTGGCCGAAGCCCTAGGGCCGCCCATCACTCGAGGCCCCGCCGAGTCTATGAGAAATCCTCCACCTCCTCTCCGTCTCGCTCAGAGGCCGACACGGACGAGGACTCGGCAACAAGTATTTCGACCGAGGACGAGAAACGGCTGAGGCGGCTGGACAGAGCGAGGCGGGAGAAGGAGAAGGATAGGCTGGAGAGGCTGGAACGCCAGGAGAGACAAGAAAAGCGTGCCCGCCGTGCCGTGCCGGAAGAGCGACGACCTCCTCCCGAGGAGAATAAGAAGAAGCCAAAAAGACGAAGGAAAATACGTGAAATTGTGTACGTGGAAGAGGACGACGAGTCGACCGTGCATACGCCGCGCCGGCCGGCCGATGCACGCAGCAGCTCTCCCTTACGACACCGCTCTCGGCTGTCTCGTTCGGCATCCGAGAGGCACTATTCGAGACCGCGCTCTCACAGCCCGGTGAGGAGATCAAGCCAGCATCGTCCGTCCGCCAAGACGTACGATTTCGTCTCCAAGCCGCCCGCCTCGTCCAAACGGCCGGCACATGGAACGCTCCCGGCTCGGGGCGACTCTGACCTCGGTCCTAGTAGACCCTCTAGGAGACACCAGTCAGACGTTGTGTACGCAGACTCCAGGCTGGTCCGCCGCTCAAAAACCATGTCAGGGGCAGCATCGCACGTCACGTCGCACAGCACGGCGTCGTCAAACAAGCACCCGACGGGCTTTATGGGGCATATGCTCACCGGCAGCGCGCGCTCTCACTCACCCGAGAAGCCGGTCAGGATGTAAGCTGCCGTTCGACACGTGCGCACTCACTCACGCGTGCTAACGCTTTCACGACAGGGACAACTGCGTGATATGTATGGACGAATTACGCGCTTCGAAACATCCAAAGCTCAAGTGTGGTCACCGCATGTGCGATTCCTGTCTCAAATGGAGCTTTCAGCTCTCCATCAAGAACCTCAGTTCGATGCCCCCAAAATGCTGCACCTCAGACTACATACCCCTCGAATACGTTGAACGCCTACTGTCGTCCGACTTCAAGAACAAATGGAACAGGAAGTACCTGGAATATTCGACTCGCAATCGGATCTACTGCCCTTCGAGACGATGCGGGGAGTGGATTAGGCCAGGGGACATGCGCCGCAGGGGAGGCCGCAAGTGCGGCTCATGCAGAGCGTGCGGGCTTGAGGTTTGCTGCTCCTGCAAAGGCAGGTGGCACTCGTCGAGGGACTGTCCCGACGACGAGGACACGACTAGGTTCCTGGAGCAGGCCAAGGAGGCTGGCTGGCAGCGGTGCTACAAGTGCAGCCACATGATTCAGCTCGAAGAAGGCTGCAACCACATGACATGGTGAGCATGCTTCCCCCGCGTCATTGCCTCTGCTAACCGAGCGACAGTCAATGCGGAGCACAATTTTGCATGATTTGCGGTGTCAAGTGGAAGAACTGCGAGTGCCCGTGGTTCAACCACGAGACGGCGGGAGAAGACCGGCTCCACGACCTGCCAGTCCCGGCCGTGGTACAGCGATTGGACAGATTGGATCTGACCACGACTTCGAGAAGCATGCGGCCGATGATCGAATCAGGCCCGCCGCCGCGATCCCGCTCACAAGATTACGACAGCAGGCTCGTGCGACGGTTCCAGGATAACCGCGACGAGGATACACGGAGGTTCTCGAGTTACGAAGATGACAATGTTTTCGACCGAGGATACGGGGAAATGGTCGGCGTCGGCGGGACCGCGGTCGGGAGTTTCCTGGAGAACGACTATCGCAGGGACGCAGAAGACGTATTCGTATCCGGGCCTCCGGTGCCGCCAGCGCCAACGCCACCAGCAGCGTTTGAGCGCCCCGCGCCGAAGGACAGGTACGTGTCGGGTGTCAACCGGGCGCGAGGCCTCCCGCCAGACTCGATGGGGCAGCGGTTGGCCGAGCGCTTCTCGGAATACCGTGCCAGCCCGGCCGGCCCTTCCCGGACGGGCATGATGGCAGCACCACCGGTGTCTTCCCTCGGACCGATCACAGCTCCCCCCTTGGGACCACCTCCCATGGGACCGCCCCCTCCCATGACGGCGGCCATGGGAATGGGCCCTCCGCCGCCGATTCCTTTGCTGCGGCGGCACACGATGGAAGAGGAAATGTACAACGGCGCCAGAACCACGAGGCCGTCAGAACGAGTGGTTCCGGGGAGGATGGTTCACGATTACGAGAGGGAGGCGGCGGTGCACGCTCCGCGAAGCCGGAGGCGCCCATACGCCGAGCCCAAGTCGTCGACGCTCGCCGGTCTCACAGGACCCGGCCGTGGCATGAACCGGGTGTTTGAGTGGCGGAATCACGTCCACCCAGGCATGCCCGAAGATACTCGGGCGTAGCACAATCTACTATTCACGACAGAAAGATCAACCAGAAAGCAAAGTTATCCTGAACAGCGCAGGGCCAGATACTGAACACGTCGAGTTCACGGTCGACGATTTGTTTTGTTCGTTTTGTTGATGTTGCACATTTGGATTGGCCGTTTGCTGTTTCGTGGGTTATGCTTGTAATATTAGGCGTGTGATATCCTCAGGCGGGCATGGATAAGGGCTTTTTTCTTCGGGAGGCAAGAGGAACACACCGCGTATGGTTAGGAGCGTAGTATCAAGGTTTATTTGGTCTTACCTTGCCTCAGTGCGCCTCCCAACAACGGGCGTTTCTCATGTGAACTCTGCCTCGGTCGGGTCGCTTCTGTGCGCGACAACAACACAGGCGGACGGCATCAAAGTCCCATGTGGTATCGTCGTCCGATGGCGTGGGCCAACGACGGGGAGGTGGCGTGGCTCGGACACGTTCTCGACTTTCCGATGTGAATATGCTTCGTATCGCTTTGCATCCAAGATGGACAATCCTAATGCTGCCGTTGGCCCAGAGAGAGCCGGCGGGTGGAGGGCGTGTCGCGCGCAGCCGGTGGCAGTTTGGGACGTCGAGACTTGCGGACCCAGGTCCGGGATCTGATTCGCAAGGTGATAGGTGCTTCAGAGAGCGAATCTGCTTCAGAGAGCGAGCGAGGACATCAGTTACTGATGGACTCGATGGATGGAGATTGAGGCGGGCCATGGGGGCTTGACTCGTGAGACCCCGGCGTGCGACGTTGGGGAATTGTGACGTGGTGCGGTTCCTGGCCTGTTATTCGCATTGATGTCCATCTCAGATCTCGGGGTGTTGCCGGTTACACTTCTGTATGCGACGCGGCATCTTACAGCAACGGAGTAGGATGGAGGGACAGCACATGGACGCACGTCCGCCCACGTCGAAATGCCATAAACAGCTTGTACGTCGCATTCCGTGGCGACTCAGGCGTAAAGGCATGTAGTGGCTGGTCCGCCCGCCCACCCATCTCGATGAATTGTCACTTCAATCGGACCTGGTCCCCTGCCAAGACTGATGATGCCTGCTCGGAGAGCAGTGCTGCTGTGGTGGTTTCCTCATCTATAGCCTGGGCAACCATTGAAGAATGCAGGCAAGAGAGTGCCAAAGAACGGGAGCGCGTTGGTTGAGAATGCTTGGCTTTGCTGTTCGTTCCGCCAGAGGCGGCACAGTGACACTTGGGCCTCCCTCCCTTGTCTCTCCAGATGGTATTTGACTTTCTGGTGTTGACAAGAAATAAGAGCTTGTTCCTGCGGGCCTTCGCATTTCCCGATGCGATCTTGATGATCCTGAGATGAAAGTAAGAAAAAAAAAACCCAGTTTGTGGTCTGGACTGTTGGCGAAACGAGGAGGGACCCTGTACCCCGATGAGGCGGTTTGACTATCCGTACCTCACGGTGAGAAGTGTGAGATGCTGAGTAGTACTCGGAGGGGCGATACTGCTTGGTAGATTGAGGCGGGGTTGCAGTTAGTTTAGACAAGGCGGGCTAAGCAAAATATACGGAGACTTTGTGCTTACTACGGTACACCACTCCAGGGTTATCATTCCTGGTCGAATACTGGATAGTGACTGAGGATAGATGGCAATCGTAGACGTAATTGGTGGTGAGCAAGACTAAGGGTAGCGAGAGTAGTCACAAGGGGTGGAAATTGACAGTGTAGGTGCTGTTTAGGAGGTAGCGATTCTTCCATACCGAATTAATCGAAATCGAAATCGAAAAGGAAAAAAAAAAAGAGGAAAAGATGGTCGGTTGGTGGGGTTTGGAAAGGAGAAGACAATTAGGCCTTGGGGGTTGCTTGATGCTAGGTTTGATGCAGAGGCAAGAACGGCCTAGGTACGAAGTATTGGCTCACCCGAATTGGGCGTCAGGGTACTCGCCGCATTTGCAGAGGGTCCTTCTTCTCACGGGTGTCGTGGAGGCCCTAGTCCACGTCTCCCAGGACTTCCGAACGGCTTGCCCAATGACACGCCGAGCCGATTGACGTTCGCTATGAAGGTTGCATCATTGTCCTGTGCGTACTGCAAGCACTTGTGCTTAGCGTCCCCGGCTTCTTGGGGCTCCTCGTGCTCTTCTTTCCTGCCATCGCTCCCGGGCTATGGCTGCTTCTGATTCTGGTCTCTGCTGCTGCTTTGCTGCTGCTGCTGCTCCGGTCCCGAACGAACCTTGACGTTGAGCTCAGATCACGTCCAATACTTTCCCCGGGCTAAGACAGCACGCTGCGCCAGCTCTGTACTTGCTTTAACCTACCTTACTGCCCTTCCCTCTCACCTCCTCCCGCCCTGTTATCCTCGCCCGACTTCGGATACACCTCACATGTCCTCTCAACCTTTCCTCCCATCTCTCGTGCGAATCCGAGATCGAGCACGCGGTCAGACTCCTATTATCTCTTAAACAGACCGACCCTCTCTCTACCTACTTCACTAGTCGGTATCCTCTCTTCCCAGCTTCCCTTCCGTGCCTTTCTGACCTTCACCCTGCAGAGCAACCCGGCTGGAGATGACGGCGTCAGCAAACGATCGACAATAGCACTTCTCTCGTTTTACCCGCCGACAATCCTACCTACCTTTCCGTCTCCGCGCCCGCACCGAACCTCCCTCCCTCGGCGCACCCTTAACACACGGCACCGACACGATGCTTCTGGTCTATCAAGTCGGGAGTGTGAAGATCGGAGAGGTCGTCCGTTACACCGTCACCTACACGCCGTCGCAAGACCGAATCCTGCCCTCGCCCGAACGACTCTACCTACGCGTCCGCAACACTTCGGCAATCGCTCTCCGCGCCGCTTTCGTTCACGGCCCCTACACTCTCTCTGCCGCTGCGTACCCTTCCAACTTCGACCCCAATGTCAAGTTCGCCAATCCACGCCGCTATGGCGTCCCCGAGTTCGAACCCATGCTCAAGGCCGGCGGGTCCTGGGAATGCGAGCTGGTCGTGCCAGAACACATCAGGCAGAGCGCGGGAACGGGAGGAGGCGGCCACTTTGGCGCCCCGCCCGACCAGGAGACCGAAAGTGCCACCTGGATCGTCGAGGTGTCGTCGCAAGTCATCTTCTCGACTTCCGCCGCCGTCGGCTACGAAGTGACGATTGCAAGAGACGCCAAGTCGTTGAACCTGAGCTATTCGCTGCCCGTCATTGGCGGCCAGGCGCAGGTACCGCAGCCCGGCAAGGTCGCCGACCACCAGCAGAGCGTCGGTGCCAAGGACGGCCACCATCCGGCGCAGCCCAAGGGCGTCTTCTCCAAGGCGATACAGCTCAAGGTCGAGGACACGGCCGCGCTATGGAACACCCCGAGGCTTCCGGGCTGGGACGACCTCAACATAGACCGCCTTAAGAGCCGTCCTCGCAAGGACCAGCCCGTTGAGAGTGTCACGCAAGAGGAGCCAAGAGAAGAGACAAAGCCCGAGGAGAAGCAAAAGAAGGTTCATTTGGTTGTCCTGACTCACGGGTTGCACAGCAACCTTGGGGCGGACATGCTCTACTTGAAGGAGAGCATCGACGCGACTGTCGCTCAAGCCAAGATTGATGCCAAGGCCAGGCGTGCCAAGGAGCGTGAAGAGAGAAAAAGCAGGGAGCAGTCTGAGACCAACGGAGCCAGTTCTTCGAGTTCCTCGGGAGAGGATGCTGCCGACGAAGACTGTCCCGCAGAAGACGACGGAGACGATGAAGAGGTCATTGTGCGAGGCTTTTCAGGTAACGCGACAAGGACCGAGAGGGGCATCAAATACCTGGGTAAGAGGCTGGCCAGATACGTTCTCTCCATGTCGTACCCCGACCAGCCCTTCCTTCCATCCAAGAAGGGACATGCCGAATCAGCAGTCTCTGCCGTTTTCAATAAATCTGAACCAGACAGCAGCAAAGCAGCTCATAAACACAGCACGATACACAAAGAAGAGGTCGAAGAGAAGCGCCCGTTCACCATCACCAGCATCAGTTTCATTGGGCATTCACTGGGCGGATTGATACAGACATACGCCGTTGCATACATCCAGAAGCATTCACCAGAATTCTTTAACCTAATCAAACCAATCAACTTCGTTGCCTTGGCCACACCATTCCTCGGTCTCAGCAACGAGAACCCCTTGTACGTCAAGTTTGCGCTGGACTTCGGTCTGGTGGGAAGGACAGGCCAAGATCTCGGCCTGACATGGCGGGCGCCCACCATCGCTAGGAGCGGATGGGGAGCCATCGTCAGCAATTTGGGCGAGAGTGCGCACAAGAGAGTCATGGGAGAAGTTCAACCCGAGTCGAAGCCTCTGCTCAGGATCCTGCCGACAGGACCAGCTCACACGGCGCTCAAGAAGTTCCGCAACAGAACCGTCTATTCCAACGTTGTCAACGACGGCATCGTGCCGCTGAGGACCAGCTGCCTGTTGTTTTTGGATTGGCAAGGTCTTGGGCGTGTGGAAAAGGCTCGGCGAGACGCCGGTCTCGTCGAGACGCTGGTCGGCGCCGGTTGGGCCGAGTTGACCGGCAGCAGCTTGGCTCCCACCCCGCGGAGGACTAGTATGCTCCCGCCGGAAGACGACGAGACGCCAGATGATCAGTCCGGCAACATCACCCCGACGGCGCCGTCCAATGCGGTCGAGGTCCCGCAGCCGCCCCGGAATGCGATGATGGAAGACGACAGGGCTAGTTTGCGGTCGGTTCCCACACCGTATAATGAGGACGGACCAGAGGCTGGGAAGGACGCGAACAACAGCGGCCCGTTTGCCGGGTTTTTCTCCCTTTTCAAGAGCAACGACCAGACGCAGCCGAAAGCGCCTGACATGTCCAAGAAGCAGCACAAGATTTACAGACGGAGCCAGACCATCAACTTTGACGAGCTCTCTCAGTCCTCCGGTGGCTCCTCCAAGGTGACAGCCGGTCACGAGCTCGAGCGCGGAGGAAACCAGCACATCGCACCGCCAAGGACGAGCTTTTTCGAGTCGGCTCATGACATCATCAACCCCAAGATCCCCACCACCGAGTACCTAATTGATCCCTCCAAGCGACCCCGCGCAATCTTCCACGACCGTGTGTACCAGCCGTCCGATATCCCGCCTCCGCCGCTGAAGAAGAAACCTACCGGCTCGTTGGCTTCTCGGAGGAGCACTTTCCGGCGGGCTGCTTCGACTAGCTCCGGTGGATCGAGGACCAGCACGGACTCGTCACCACACCCGTCACAGCGGTTCTCTCACGAAGGCACCATGGACTCGACCAGAGACTACGACGATACCGCCAACACGAACCCGGATAAGAACCCCGACGAGGAAATCGATGGGTCGCAGATGCGTGTCGAGGAGAAGATTGCCCGCGCCTACCACCGTGGACTGGCGTGGAGAAAGGTTCTCGTTAAGCTCGAACCCGACGCCCACAACAACATCATCGTCCGCCGCATGTTTGCCAACGCCTACGGTTGGCCTGTCGTCAAGCATCTGGTCGACGCTCACTTCAGCGACTCTGCAACAGCCAGAACACGCGATGCCGACGAGACCACGGGCGAGAGAGCCTACGACATCAGCCAGCCGCCGAACAAGTTCGGCGATGAGGTCAGGGACAGCGGCGTGGGATCCACCAAGGATGGCTCGAGCGACGTCCCAGGCACTGCCTTGCTGTCCCCCAACTCCCAAAGAGAAGCGCAAGACATGGTCCCGGATATGCAGCCGCAGCCCAAGCGCCGCTCATCGTCCCGGAGTTCATCGGCCAGCCCGCCGAGAATCACCAGGTCGCCTCGGCAGCGTCCTGAGCGGGTAGATTCTGTGACCTGGAGCGATCGTGACTGGGCCGACAGCGACGACAGCGAGACGACGGCAACTACGGCCAGCGCGAAGAGCCCCAAGTCCACGGAGTTTAAGGACAAGGACAAGGAGAAACCGCGGTCGTCTACGCCGCTAGGGGGATGGAACTGGACCGAGAAGATCGTGGGCAGAGCTAGTCGCAAGACATCGCCCAAGCCCGAGACCAAGACGGATACGAAACCCGTGGCGGCGTCCTCGAGTTAGAGTGCGGTCCGCGCACGTTCGTACATGATCACCGTTCTCTTCCGTACATACCTATTGATTTAATACACGAGATCACGTCCTGATGAACATATTCACACTGGGAAGATACCCATTTCCTGTCACTGAAGAGAACGACTGATGGGGGCGTTGGTTTGGTCGCCGGCTGTCCTCTAGTATTAGCATGGCATCATACGCCACTAGTAATATATAAAGATGCGCGTTAGAACAACTCTCGCCATAGTCAGTGCGGCATGGAGGTCATCCTTCTTGCTTACCGGCTCAACGGATACCACTCATCACTAAATCGACCGAACACGAGCGTGTCTTGTGTGTGTGTGTCTGTCCGTCGTCTTACCTCACGCTCGTGATGCAGTCTGAGGTCTTGTAAGGGTGGATGCCTTACTCACGTAACCACCTCAATGATGTCCACACTCTACGACTCCAGACCGAGTGGTCATGAGATCGACGTGTTTTTGACATCCTGAGATCCGACAGAGGTAAAAGCCGACTGGTCCAAGACACGTCCGGATGACGACGGGCAGGCCTACTAACGTTGGTCTGGCCCTCTCATAAGTCTAAGATACATTTGAGCCTCTACGGTCGGCAAGCTGATTTACACACTCGGTATGAAATAAGAGGGCGGAGAAACTATCAGGCATTTCCAAATGGGTGTGCCGTTTTGGCCTCGGGATTTATGAGGCCGAACTTGCTAGTTCGAAGTCTTAGCTCCCACACTTGCTACGAGACATATTTCGTAGTCTCCTTGTGAGCCTTGGTCGATCTATGCGATATTCCCAATCCCCCGAGACTGCCCAGGTGGTAATTGAAGCTCAGGGGAGCTGGAGGAAGCCGCTGAAAATCATGACTGGAAAAGGACTACAATGAGACTGGATGATACATGAGGGTTGGTACTATCTTCGGGATCAACCCCTCACATAGCTTACCCCGAAAAGAAACATCGTCAAGAAACGACAGTCTGCGCCTGGGCCAAACCGAACCGCAACAGCACCGGAAATCAATATTGCTGCTTTTACAGACGGCAAAAAGGCAGGAAACGCAAAACAATTGGACGAACAGGGAATCGAACCCTGGACCACTCACATGCTAAGCGAGTATTATACCACTAAACCATTCGCCCAAGCTCTTGGATGTCAACTGTGCACGCAAGAGACGCTAAGGCTCGCGGCAAGCTGGCAGCGCGAGTCAAGCAGGCATTCCCAATGTCGGTCTTTCTTCAGCTCAACCGGCGACTGGATTGGAAGTGGTGAAGATGATGATTGGCATTTCTGCTGTCTGATTGTCTTGCCGTACTGCCGGTGCCGGTGTATTGTTTGACAAGAAACACTTGAGTATGTAGAAAACAAAGCCGCCGTCGCAAGTTCTCAACGGCGCAATACGAATGAAGTCAAAACGCCTGTCCGAGTCAGCTCAAGTTCGTCCGATGAGAAGAGAGCTGTCACGCACAGGACACACTCAAAGATGCGCCAACCCCTTCTCAATCAGAAGCCTGCTCGCTCGACATGGAAACCTGGAAAAAGCTCCTCGAGAGCATCGCAACGTCGTTCTTGGCCTGGCTCTCCTTATCGTCGGCCCTCCACCGCGAATCGTCCCCTTCCCACGTAATCTTGGTAACCCTCCTGCTCATGCCATCGTCGCCCGCAGGCACGACCGTGACCTTGGCGACCGGAAAGCCTGTCCAGCTCCGGACGAAAAGAATGGCGTCGTCCCCGTTGTCCTCGACCTCGTGGGCGACGATCCAACGGTCCTCCATCTCCCGCGGCTGAACGCCCTTCTTCATGCGCTCCCACCCGTCCGGGGTGATGACGTGCGCGTCGTCCCACGCTGCCGAGACGGGCTCGGAGAATTCGTATTCCCTCTTGATCCCGTTTACACTCATTGTGAGATGGGTGGTGAGGTGCGCTGCCTATCTTGCTATGCTGGAAGGGGAGTGTGATTTGTTTCTCGGAAGCTGATGCGTTGCAGGAAACTGAGCAGGCGCATTGGTCTTTATTCGGCTTCGGGGCCGTCAGCGACTTTGTTGCCTGTTGAGCCTAGTTCCTCGGAGAGAGCACATGCCCGGAGCTGCATGCTTTCCCCCGCCTTCTGCCTTGAGGCTGACTGCCAATGCTGACTGCCCGCTCAAGTAGCCGCTGACATGAGATATTGTTCATGCAGAATGACTCAGACGCCGGGTGCTTCTCATACGTCTTTCGCTTTCCGTGTGGGAGCACCGGCAAACAATGATATGACTCGAACCTTTGCTGCAATGCCACAATGCCCAGGTCCGGCCGTAACCCGGTGCTGTAAACCGATGTATATACGATAACCAAACTAATGACTAGGTATCTATTTACAGCCTGCGCAGGTCGGCACACATTGCGACGCTGGACCTCCGGACGCAGTAGTTTTGATTTTGATTTTTTTTTTCTCTCGTTTGTTCTTAATCTATTCGCTGTATCTGCGACAGTACAAGCATGAGGCGATCCCTTGTCCAATCGCCCAAGGTGACTTGGGCACATCTCAACTTGACAAGCGGGGGGAAATGGCACAGGACACAGGACATCGGTGAAGCTGCGAGCTCGAGGCGGAAGTGGTGTAGACGCCTCTCCATCAGCAAGACAAGAAAATGTACAAGGTAACCCAGTCGCAGCCACTCCCCCAAGGGTATCGCCAGCTATCCAAACTCCTCTCATTGCCACGCGGGCAAATGGTTCCAATGCATCACCCATTTCCGCTTTTCGCCCCATGTATAGATCCTCAACACAGATACAAGATATTAAAAAATAAAATAAAAAAAGTCCCGCCTGCTAAGGGATGCTTCTCCTGGACGAGGTGTGGGAGGGGGGAGAGGAGGAGCAACCCGCGTAAAGCATCGGGAATATGGTAATACGGTTGGGGCCGGGACGCCAACCGCCAGGTCCCGCGTGCCCGCGAGTAGAAGTTTACGTACTGCCAGACAGGAAGTAAAGAAAAGGAAAGAAATCTCTTGAGCTGATAGCTCATGGCCAAAGACATATATACCGAATATGCCCTCTCTAAATGCCATCGGTGCGACACCGGGCAATCGCCAGGCATCTCATTCAAACAGGATCCTCCCGAAGGGTATCGAAGCGTAAAATTGGACAAATATGGAAAATGGCGTCTAGGTCGTCAATCAGTTCCAACCGAGCGAGTTCTCAGCGGCAACGGGGGCCGAGATGTACGCAGTCCTCGCCGAGTTGCCCATGCCGCTGCGGTTCGTGCGGCCGCTGCCGTGGCTCTCTCTACCGCCTGCAACTCCGCCGTAGCTAGAGAAGTCCCGGCTCATCAAAGCACCACCCATCATGGGAGGGCTGCCGGCGCCGGTGTAGCGCATCTCGGACGAGGTGAGGGAGCTGGCGCGGCGGTGAGCCTGCTTCTTCTGCTTGTAGCGGCGAGCGATGATGAACATGGCAGCGCCGTATGCGGCAGCGACACCAACAGCACCGATACCAATGGCGGCGGCAGTTCCCTTTTGGATAGGGGTCTGCTCGTTGTTGTCATTGTTGAAGGGATCATTGGGGTTGGCAGGGTCAGTGGAAGAAGAGCCGCCGTTGCCGGTGGCGTCGGGGTCATCTTCCAGGCCCGGGATGATCTCAATGGCGGGGTTGATGTTCTGGGTCAGGTTGAAGACGAGCTGATCCGGGTTGTTGTAGATGGCAGAGTTGGGGATCTTGATATCCATGCGAAGGGTGTCGACCATGCTCTCGGGGTAGTAGAACCTAGCAAGCGTGGTGATGTAGCCGAGAGTCTGGGACGTGTCGTATGGCACGAGTTTCTGCATCTTGATCTGAGAGAGGTCGAGGCCGGCCGCATCTGCGAGAGCCTTGGGAAGGCAGCTGAAGATCTGGGCAGCAGCGTTGGGGTTCTTGCTGACGTGCTGGTAGTTCTCGCCGTGCAGGAAACCAATCTGCAGAAGCATGGAACCCTTGGGCCTCTCGACATTCGGGTCAGGAGGGCTGATAACCTTGGGCAGGTCGGAGGGCAAGGGGGCCGTCGTCGTAGGAGCCAGGGCTTCGGTAGGCGTGCTGATCGAGGTGGACTGCTCCACGATGATGGTAGTGGGGAGCCAAGACTCCGAGTCGGTGATTGTGGCGGTGGCCGGGATGCTGGTGATGGCTGGAGCCTTCGTGGTAGCCGGGATGGAAACGGTGGGCGTAGTCTGAATGACATCCGAGGGGATCACGGTGGTGTTGATGGGTATGACGGTCGGGGTGGTCACCGGAAGCTCGGTGGTAGACTGGGTGACGGCCGGAACAGTCGCAGAGATGGAGGAAGTCTCGTTTGCGATGGTGGTCGGCGGGATGGAAGCGGTTGTGGCCGGGATGGAACCTGTCGGCTCGGTCGTGTTGGAGATCGTAGTTACGGAACTGGGGAGCACGGTGGTGGGGAGTCCGGTGCTGGCCGGGGGCTCGGTCGAGGTCGTGTTGACGGGAATAGGTTCCACGGAACCGGTTGCCGTCGTCGTAGGCGACGAGGTGAGTGTGCTGCCAGTCAGTGTCACGGGCTTGCTAGTGGTCGTCTGGCCCGGGGGAAGGTCTGTCGAGGTGGAGTTGATGACACCCTCGGTGGACGACAGCACGGTCGTAGGAATAGACACGGGGATCTCGGTCGAGGAGGTGATGTTCACAACGGGCTGGCTGGAGATGGGAAGCGAGGTGGTCGGCTCGGTTGAGATCTCGACAGCCGAGGTGATGTTCACAACGGGGTCGGTCGGCGCAGTCAGAGAGGTGGTGCGATCAGTCGGTGACGGGAGAGCAGTGGGCGTCGGAACAGGAACCTCGGACGAAGCGGCGGAGGACGAAAGGGCGGGAGTTTCGGCAGAAGTGGCGTTGATGATCGGGAGCTCGCTCGAGATGAATGAAACGATGGGGTCCAGGGGGTTGGTGGGCTTCGTGGTCTGGCTGGCCTCAGACGTAACGACAGACGTCGGCAGGCGCGTGGCAGAGATGGTCGCATCCGTGGAGGCGTTCTCGGCAGGCGATGACTGGGCGACAACAGAAGTAGTCGTCGCAGCAGGCAGGGAGACAGACCCGTCCGAGGTCGAGACAGCAGGCTCAGTTGCGTTGACGTTGGGCGCAGCACTAGAGAGGGCAGCGCTGCTAGAAACCTTCTGTTCAGGAGTGGATGTAGACTCGGGCTGGCTGGTAGCCGACTTCGACGCGGCTGCGCTTGAGGTCTCACTCACAACACCGGTGGGTGCCAGTAGGATACCAGACGAGGAGACGGATGCAGAGCTCTCGCGCACTGAGCTGGAGACGGCTTCGCTGGATGGAGCGGCCGGGGTGCTGCTGTTGACCACCTCGGAGCTGGCAGCAACAATGGAGCTAGCAGGAGTGGAAGAGACAACGACACTGGTCTGGGAGTTGCTAGATACGCGAGCAGCGTCGGTCGGCTGAGTCGAGTTGCCATCGGTCGTGGCCGCTGGGGTAGACGCAACTGCACTTGTAGCAGCGGAAGTAGTTTCAGCGGGGGCCGAGGACTCGGCCACAGCACTGGACTCGGGCGCAGTAGACGACTGATTCGCGGCAGTTGATTCGGCAACGGTTGAAGACCGAGCAGCGGTAGAGGACTCGGGGGCAGTTGAAGACTGAGCAGCGGAGGACTCGGGGGCAGCGGAGGACTGAGCAGCGGAGGAGGACTGAACAGCGGCAGCAGAAGACGAGGAAGCACTTGAGGGCTGGGCCACAGCAGCCGAAGACTCGGGGGTGGTTGAAGACTGAACGGCGACGGTGGAAGTCTCGGGTGAGCTCGAAGAAGCCGCGGCGGCGCTGGACTCGGCAGTCGTGGGCGTGGCCTGTTGCGTGGTAGACGGCAAGGGGGAAGTCGACGCCGCGTCTGTCGTAGGAACGGCAGACGACTCGCTGCTTGTGGGCAGGACGATCACGGGAGGAAGGCCGGCGGTGGAGCCGGAGCCGCTTCCGCTCGTTGTGGTCTCTGTCGTCGGGTCGAAAATGATGGTGCTCGAAATCACAATGGTCGTCACTCGGCCGTCGTCGAGAGTCGCGGTTGAAAGAGAGGCGGAGCCGCCGGCGCCCGACTCGACGAGTTGGGTCGACGCAACGGTAGATGTTGGTGGAGGCGACGCGGTGGTCGCAGGAGCGGTGGAAGACGGGCTCGCAGACGGGCTCTGATTGAGGGAGTCGGTCAAGCTCGTCAGGAAGTCTCCGAATGAGGAACTGAGAGAAGTGGATGTCGATGGGTCGAACGATGTGCTCTCCGGGGCTGGGAAGGTTTCGGGTCTCGTGCTCGTGGCATTCGTAAATTGGCGTTTGACATGACGGGGGAAGTAGATCTTGGGCCTTTCCTGGTCGGCGCAGGCGGTGGTGGCCAGGCCGAGGGCGGCGGCGAGAAGAGCGGATTTGGCGTGCATGATTCCTTGTCCACAGCAATCCCGATTATCGTATTTTGAATTGAGGTTTTAGCGATTGTAAGATACCAGTCTCGGCGGTGTTTAATGGTCTCGGTTGGCAGTCAGTAACGCGCCCGGTAGGCCGTGGACAGCCAGCGACAACTCACTTTGTCAGGGGTGTTCTGAACGAATGTACTTGACAAAATGTCAATGAGTGTGAGTGTGTGTGGGTTGGTGTTTCTGAGGGTATAAAATGAGCGACTCGACGAGAAATCGTCGGATTGGTTGCGAGAAGGACGCGGCTTAGTTGTCCGTCACGGCTTGAAAGATTAGAGCAGTTCCCGATGGCGGATTCATGAGGAAGTTGGCGTTCATGCGCGGGACCTCGTTCAGGTCGTCAAATCGATTCGAGGCACATAAGGGGACGGGACGGGCGGGAGGTGATGCTGGACTCGGTAGACCGCGTGTGCGCGAGGAAGGCGCAGGTTGAGAATCGAAATACCGACGTCGCCCGGGAGATTCTTGACGGAGGCGAAAGAAGGTCGAAGTCTCGAAGTCGACGAGGTCGGGAGAGGTGGGGGCCGGTAGAAAGAGGAGAGCGAGCGAGAGGAGTAAAAAGGGAAGGGAAGGGAAAAGCGAGGGTGGTAAAGGAATGGAAGGGGACAGGAAAGAATGTGGATGGAACGAAGCAGCAGAAGGATGGGAGATTGATTGATTGATGGAAACACACGACAAGGGGGGGGAGGGAGAGGATGGGATGGGATGGGCAGACTGGGGGTGTTGAGGGAACGGGGATGGGGGTGGCAGGAGGGAAGGGAGTGTGAGGGTGGGACGGAGAGGGAATAAGATGGGATGGGCTAAGGTAGGTACCTACGGATAGGTAAGGTAGGATGAGGATGAGGATGAGGACGTGAGCGAGGATGAAGATGGGATGGGATGGAGAGACGGGAGTTGGACTTGGAATGGCAGAAAGTCAGGCAGGGCACTGCTGGGCTGCAGCAATTGGCAGGTCCAGGCACGAAATAGAGGACGTGCAGGGGGGAAGGAGCATGGCCGGCCAATGATACTGGGTTTGGTATATTATTTTTTCCCCCCCTTCTCTCAGGTGCTTGGTCCTCCCCCTACCTTTCCTAGGGATCGTGGTTCCTCCTCCCGGTCGCTACCTATTCCCAGTCCGGGCCAGCCTTGGTAAGGTACCTTACCTAGTCTTGGTCGACCTACCACCTGCACCAACGGCTGCACACACCCAACGCCCACCATCACCACCACACACAGGCACACAAACACGCCCCCTTTTGCACAGCGCTGCGCTGCGCTGCGCAGCTCAGACTCTGAGCTTCCCGTTCCTTGCCCACCTTACAGAGCCAGTGAGGAACACAAGGGCCTGCAGGTGAGCCAAGAGTCCAAGACCGAACTGGCAGATGGCATCACGGATGGAGCACTTCAGCCGGGTTATTCGTACGGATACATTGGGCGTATAGAAGGTTATCCAGATACTAATTGGACGAATACAGAGCACAAGGCCCACGAGTGCCGTCGCCGTCGAATACTCTGTACACGTACTCGCAGGCCGATCAGCCTTACTTATGCCAGCTACCTAGCACTATGCAGTTTGAATCGGTACGAGTTATGCTTGCCGTCCGTCAGCAGCGCCCGATGATTACGCAAGTGGACTACTATAGTATGCGGCAAGCACCAAGAAAGCGCGCCATCTTGGCTGAGCATCTCCGAGTAATCATCACATTCCGTACGCTCTCAGTGCGCCTTCTCGTATACGAAGGTCTACAGAGTAATACCTCTCGCCCGACCAAGACGGCATGTACGGGCTGAATACCGCCTCGTATGTATAGTCGCGGCATGCACGTCACTCACTGAATCAGGCCTCAAGACAGAGTTGCGGGTATCGAACGCTGCAGTTCGGACGACATGAACAACATTCAAATCGAGCGACCATCATCCATTGTCACCCTTCGTCCGACCTCGCCACGCCCCTCGGGTTCTCTGCGCACAACCTTTGACAATTACGCGACTACTGAAGTTTCTACAGATACAACATACGCACCTGGCGCACAGTGGTGTTGTGCACAATTTGCAAGGGGGAGAATCTGCCAGTGGACTGGCACTGGGACTGCGCGGAAGAGATTGGATTTGCTTGCTGAAGCCAGGGTCCCCGTTGCATGGGCAGGTGACCAGATCCAGGATCTCCCCCCCTCACGCAGGTGCAAACAAATTGGGGAGTTTGGGAAAGACAAGCAGACGGGCCGTCCTGGAAGCCAACGTCCCTGCATCGCGCCTGCTGCTGGTCTAAAAAAGCGCGACTTGAAATACCTTAGCGACTTTACTTCAAGGAGAAGAGTGCGGTCAGGAACAGCAATCGGCACAGACGATCTCGATAACTCTCACCGGACGACACTAGGGCGTCGTACTGGCGATGACGGCTCAAAGCACGTTTCTGGTCTGTTGGTGACCATTTTTGACCATTTTGAGCCATGCCGCCCTTCGCCAGCAGCGCTTTGCGGTGGGCCGGGTGGAAAATTTGGAAATGACATTGCTGTTCTGGTCGTGGTCTACCGTCCAGGTCACCTTACCGTTGCGGCGGTGCTGCCAGGGCCCAGGGGCCTATTCGTAGTGTAGGTACACCACGGATACGCACAAGCGCCGTGCCGCCGACAGCGACGGCATGTCCTTCATCCACGGTCCATGGCATGGTTGAACGGCCTCAGGGCTCCAGAAGCTGGCCATGGCCAGGGACTGCCGATGGATCGCATACGAGTCACTGCGTTGATGCGCGGTTGCTTCTCTGTGTGTGTGTGTGTGTGTGTGTGTGTGTGTGTGTGTGTGTTGACGTGCTGGCCAACCGAAAATTCAATACCCGAACGAGGATCCGTAGCTGATCAACAGCCAACACAGATACGCCGTCGCTTACCTTTGATTTTGGGGGACGGATGTCGTTGGAAGGCGGAAAGAGGCGGCGGCATGAATGCTTCCGCAGCCTGGGCCTCTAAGCAGTGCCACCTGCTGAGAGTACCTAAGGATGAACAGCAGCCTTTCGTAGAAGAAAGACTTCATTCATCAGCGGCCACTGCTCACAAGACTCAGAACTCACTCAGGAGGCCAGAGGGACGCCCTGCCGTGCGGCTTTGGCTCTGAGATTTTTTGGGGGGGGCATGGGCTAAAAATGGGTAGTGTGACGGTGGGAACTTGGAGGAGGCGCACTCTGTGGTGGTTATATGATCGGAGGAAGGAGATAGATGGCAAAATACTTTCTTTTAGTCGCAATTCTTGCAGTTAGACAAAGTACTTCGCTATCGGCTGTCTGTTAGGACAATGCCTCTGGCCTATTCTTCTGCCGGGGCTTGTTGCTCCTTCCAGCATGGTCAACAGCGGGGTTCAACAGGGAAAATCTGACAAGCGAGCGTCGATCATTGGCCGAATCTCCTCAGGACGACGCTACGGGCAATTTTGCGCCATTCAGCCCCTGCAGACGTTGCTGGAATGCTCCACGCACATCTCACCTCACCCTTACCCGGGCTTACCATGGAATGCTCTGCACTAAGGTATCCCCGCCTCCCGCCAGGTTAGTGTGCACATCTCTCCAGTCTCCAGGTCTCCATACATCTCCCGTCTTGATGTCAGAATATGGACGCTGCAACTTCCCGGCTGCACAAACCTGCGCCGATGCATGCACATATCGGCCATGCAAGTATCGTCCTCCACCAAACGCAGTATTCGTACGGATACCGTGACTGGCACAGCCCGCCATCTTACTGACGTGGGACGCGCCCGAGTCCAGAACGTTGCCGTTGCTGATCGTTACCTACGCCAGTATGGCTTCACCGCATCATCCACTGGCGATACACTCAAAGCCTGAGAGGATCCCGACCTGGACGAAATGATAATCGGAGGCAATCTGCCTCGAATGTAACGACAATTGTGGAAATCGCGCACCATGTCCCGCCGCAGCCCTTTGCTGTCATGTACAGATCTAGGTACGCATACTTCAGTACGTCTGTCAAGTTGGCGTCTACGACTGTCACTGACGACGACTCATGTCTCAAAGTCCAATGCTGTCGCAGTTTGTCAATCGTCATCTGCTGCTCGGTATGTGTTTGTCTTGAGTCTTGGCTCTTGACTCTTGACACTCTCTTTATCCCTCCCCTCCTCGCCCCGTCCCTTGCTCCCGAGTCTCGTCTCGCCAGGGCTTCGGACCAGATGTGTAGTATTGTCTTGTTGGCGTTGCAACCCGCCATGCTGCCTAAATTGATGTTTATGAGCATAATAGATTGCGGCCTACCTGCCGACCTCGGGAATTGATGTGCTCAGGCCCCCCGCTACCTGCAGTCTACAGTCAATAATGTCACCTTCACCATCACCTCGAGACTCGCCAACTGCGACCGCACCGCACTATTCCTACCTCAGTCCAGACTCTCTCTACAGTCTCTACCCTGTCACCTGTCAACAGCCCTCTCGTTTGGTCACCCTCGTCTACAAGCTCCACGAGAGACTTCAATTTTTGATGCAACATCAACGATGATCGAAGTATTCACACCACGAATAGACTCGAACATGGAACCGCCGGGTCATGTCCAACGGGTCCAACAGCCAACGGCAGATCATGGCCCAACCTATGGGCCGGCGACCAGGCGACACGCGCTGCGGTACTGCTTGGGGCACGGCGTGGCTTTCATCAATAATCTACCTAGTTTGACGGCCGCCGTTTTCATCGGGCCACCAAGAACCTAAGGCTCACGGCAATCTGGTCCACGTCGCAGGCTCTGTACCAAAGGCACCGTCCTCTACGCTCCGTTTCAGTAGATGTTACTGCACACCACAGACGACGGTCCTGCCCGCTGCCAGATCACAGAATACTCGCACCAGTGCCCCTGGACGTTGTGAAGCACAAGTACCACTGTCCGGAGGCGCTCGTGCCGTTGCTGAACAGGGCTACCGTTGACGCAAGATTGGCCTGGTCCGTCTCCCGTTCCTGGCATCCCTGCTCTTCGCTCGCCTTCCCCATGCTC